CCCTTTCCTTCCCCTTTCCTTCCCCTTTCCTTCCCCTTTCCTTCCCCCTTCCTTCCCCTTTCCTTCCCCTTTCCTTCCCCTTTCCTTCCCCTTTCCTTCCCCTTTCCTTCCCCTTTCCTTCCCCTTTCCTTCCCCTTTCCTTCCCCTTTTCCCCTACCCAGAAAACAATTACCTAACCAAGGCTTTGATTTTAGTAGCTTTGACTGCACAGTCCCAAAAAAGTGACTCAGTTGTGTGAGTTCTTTTAAAATAATATGTTAAAAGGATGCTTGAAAATTAAACCCATTGTCCAAAGTAAGATGGAACTGTGGTTTCAGGGTCACATTTTTAGCTTGGATATCGGTGGGGTTTGGAATCTTTTGCTTTGAGGCAATGGGTGACTCAATTATTTCACTACACGTTAATATGATGCCAGAATTATTGTTTATTTTCTATGCTCCAGTTAATTTCCAGGAATAAATTTCTTTTCATTTCAATCCTGTGACATATCTAGATATAATTTTAATTTAATGTAATTTATTTTGTCTAGGTTACATTTTAACCTCTTCTAGAGCTGATTTATTTGCCAGGTGGTTACAGTGCAATGACTGAATAACTTTCATGGCTTTCCCTCCAGTTTCTTTTATTTCTCTCCTCACCTCTCTCAGATATTACTTTTAAGCCCTATTGCCTGGGGTTTCCTCTCCTCCTGTGTTGGATATGTGCTCTGTTTGTTTTTTGGACACATGATAATCAGGAATATGATTGGAAATTTGACTGCTTCTGCATTGGAATCTAGTAATTAGATCCATAATGAAACATGTAGTTTGGACTTTGGACAAATGAATACCTAATGTAGATGTAAATATACTTATTTATTGGTGTGCACACAATTCTTTACCAGAACTCTGTGTCTGTATTTTGTTTCAGCACTTGCAAACTTCGTAAACAAAGAGAAAAGTGGAGGACTTGTCAAGGCCATCACTGGAAAACAGGCTGAATTTGTTTCTGAGACCTCCGAGGCCAATGTCATGGTGAAGTGGTACAAAGATGGGAAAGAAATCACAGCCAGCAAGAAATTCACCCTGGAGGATAAGGGAAAGCTGCACAAGCTCGTGGCTTCGGCTGTGACAAAGGAAGATGAAGGAACTTACACGTGCAAAATTGGAGATGACAGCCTTGTTTTTGATTTAAAAGTCTCAGGTAGGTCCGTGGTGCAAGTGTGGGATCGGAGTCTGTGTGAGAAATTCAAAGTTTTGTTCATTTTACTTGTCCTTCCTTGTAAATTGATGGATTTTTGGGGTCAAGGCTGCACGCCACTGTTTTCAGAGGCTCTGACTCTTGTTGTGGTCCTTATGCAGATCCACAATAATATAAAAATGATGTGATATTTTAAAGTCAACACAAGCCTTAAGTAGGGCTGGAGTCACAACTCAAACACCCCCCTGGCTCAGCAGCTTTATTCTTTTAGCTCAGCACAAACCTCACCTTAGGGCCACCTCAGACAGGAGGTCCAAAATCTTGCTGTGCAAGCCCTGTGTCCTCCTTTGACAAGCTGAACTCCTGCTTTTGAGAGGGAAGCATCCCCTGCTGTTCCCAGAGGACACTGTGATCTCCCTGTGGTACTGCAAGAGAAGCTGTTAGTCCGTGTCACGTGCCCATGGCAGAAAGCACGTGGTTGTCAGGTCAAGCCCAGAAGAGAAATGCTTGTCACCACTGCATTCCAGAGCAGGATGGAGCCAGGGTATGAAGTGACACAGGAATTCATCCGTGAAATTCGATATCTGTGAAATCCAGCTTGAATCAATTTGTGTAGCCCTGTGGGAACCTTTCTTCTAAATGTAGTTTTCTGGTTTATTATACCTGGAACCTAATTTTTAACCTGGTCCTAAGTGAAGTGAAAGCTTCTCGTGGTGTGTCTGCATTGCAAGCACAATGAAATTTAAGAGAAGCATCAACTGAATGCTTGTGACCTGTAGCAGCACATCCAGGTTACTGTGATGCTAAAAATTCAGCAAAGCTGGTTAATTTGGGACAGCACTTGAGGGATTGCTACAGGATTTACTGAGCCAGAGGGATTGCTTCCAGTCCACAGCCAGTGTTTGCTCAGGTATTGACTCTGCATCTCACCTCCAGTTCTCTTTGGCTGAGGATCCAAAGTGATGCAAATTCCCAGTTCCTGACTTTACCCACTGATAAACTTATCTAAAGGAGCCAACCAGGCTCTGCCCATACTGATTCCTAAAAGGCAATTTGTATAAATTGATTTATGCTATCTGATTAGAGCATCCTAAGGTGGATTTAAAGAGTGTTCTGGAGCTGCCTCAGTCTGAACATGAGGTACACAGGAAGCCTTCAGGATTACCTGAGCTGGGTACCTAAATTTTGATAATTATGGTGAATCTCACCTGTAAATACTATGATAAAACATCAAATGTCTCAGGCAAAGAAAATGGGCATCACCTCAGCCATAGAATCCCAGAATGTTTTGGGTCGGACAGGACCTTAAAGCCCATCCAGTTCCACCTCCTGCCATGTCCCTGCCATGGACAGGGACACCTTCCACTATTCCAGGTTGCTCCAAGCCCCGTCCAACCTGGGCTTGGACACTTCCAGGGATGGGGCAGCCACAGCTTCTTCGGGCAACCTGTGCCAGGGCCTCCCCACCCTCACAGGGAACAATTTCTACCTAACACCTAACCTAAATCTACCCTCTTTCAGTTTAAATCTAAACCTGCCCCCTGTCAGTCCTGATAATTACGATTTCCAGTGAAATACTTTCCTGGCATGGCAATTGTCCTTGGGATACTCAGTGACTGAAGGCAACAGTTGCTGCTGAAAGAAATGCAATACTGAGCTAAGGTTGGCTCGAACTGGCAGCCCTCAGCTTGCTCTTGAGGCAAGAGCTGCCCTGGTGGAATGAAGGGTATGAAATCCCTGACATGCCCATCAAATATTCCTTGTTAGGGACGGGGTGTGTAGAATAGGTTTTCTCACATTTCACATCAAGATGCTGTCTCCACTTTGTTGCCTTTGCTTTTACCTTTACAAACACACTTGAGACAAACCTGAGCTGCTAAAAGTGATGTGCTTTTGCTGCCTTCGTGACACAGGTTCTCTGTGGGTGTGTTTGCACAGCTCATACCTGTGCCAGCAGCAGGGTTTGAGCTGAGGCATCAATGCAGGAACCTCAACTACTTGAGCTGTGTGGGCAGTTCTGAGTTCTCTACTGGGAACATCAGTTCCCACAAAAACATATGAGATTCTTGACTTCCCTATTCATAAAATCATAGAATGGTTCGGGTTGGAAGGGACTTTAAAGATTATCTCGTTCCAACCCCTCTGCTGTGGGCAGGGACATGTTCCATGAGACAAGGTTGCTCAGAGCACCATCCTAAATGAAGGTGGAGAATATTTTATCAACTAAGTTATTCCATATATACCCTGCTCTGGGGAAGAATTAGTCCAGGGGGGCTGATATTGTGATCAGGGAGCTGGAATGGCCTCAGAAACATTTAAAAAAGGCTGTCATCACTTCTCACTAGATTTTCTGAGACTTTTTAAGTCTTAAGTGTTTTTAAGTCTTTTCAAGTCTTTTCAAAGCTGTTTCTGTATTCAGGCATCAATATATCCCTAGGACTTTGCTTAAAATCAGAAACAGAATAAAGTACCAGCAGCTGGAGGGCATCTGGACTTGATTTAAAAGATCCATGAGGATGTAGGGGAGATGAATGGGATTGCAGTGTAGCAGAGAGCAATTATCTGAAGATCAGAGAAGGAGTTAGCACCATCTGTTAGAGTCAGGCACCAACATTTGTGTGTGTGATGATGAAATAATGATCAGTGATTACTGTGTCCTCCCTTTTTGCTGATAAACCCGAATCAAGGCATGAACTGCTTTCCCTTTTTCGCTCCAGACGAAGCTGTTACTTTTGTCAACAAGCCCAAGACGGCTCCAGAAGTATCAGTCAGTCCTTCTGAAACCCTGGAGCTGGTGTGTGAGGTGTCAGCTGCCAGTGGAGCTGTGGTGTGGAAGAGGGATCACACCGAGGTGAAGCAGGACCAGAGGACAACAGTGGTGTCCCAGGGGACACAACGAAAGCTCATCGTCAAGAAGGTGACACAGCAAGACCAAGGGAGCTACACCTGCGAGGTGAAGGATGACAGAATAACATTCCAAGTCAAAGTCAGAGGTGAGGAAATGGCTGGAAATGCCAAAGATACGGGAATATTCCATTCAGAGGGTCATCTCATGGGTCTCTCTGGGGTGAAATATCTCAGCCAGAGGGCTTGATTTTTTCGGTCAGATTTAATGACAATACACACGGTTGTGCATCCATGACCAGTTGTGATCACAAAGAAATGATGGGTGGGGATGGAAATTCCCTCTGCTCTCACAATTAGCTGGTGTGTCTGTAGAAAACACAGACAGGGATAGGTAAAAGGGAAGGGTTTGAAGAGCTCTGGTTAGATCCCATCCCTGCAAGTGTTCAAAGCCAGGTTGGATGGGGCTTGGAGCAACCTGGTTGCTTCCACACCTAGTGGAAGGTGTCCTTGCCCATGGCAGGGGGGTTGGAATGAGGTGAACTTTAAAGTCCCTTCCAACCTGAACCATTTTGTGATTAGATGGAGAATGACTGAATTTGAGTGATCCAAATAGGCAGAAAAAGAGCGATGGTGCCTGGATATGAGGATGCAAGGGCTATTCCCTCCAGATTCACTGGAATCTTGGAGAGACATAGGAAGAGAAAAAGAGGGAGAAGGTTTCAGGCAGTGCCTGATGGTGCTCTAAGATCCAGGTTCAAATCTATGCTAAAACTGTGAGGTTTTAACACTACACTAGAATTCCCATAAAATTCCTATATCTATTCACCTCTTAGCAAAATACAGATGAAGGTGCTTTCTTGTACTAATGGGTCATTATGGAGATGGGGAAGGGCCTTGAGGGGCCGTGTGAGGACACTGAGGGCACTTGGTGTGTCCAGCTGGAGAAGAGGAGACTGAGGGGAGACCTCACTGCAGTTCCAATGTCCTGGAAGGGCAGAGAAGGGGCAGGCACTGAGCTCTGCTCTGTGGGGACCAGGGACAGCACTCAGAGAATGGCTGAAGCTGTGTCAGGGGAGGTTTAGGTTGGATCTCAGGAAAACGTTCTTCCCCCAGAGGCTGACTGGGCACTGCCCAGGCTCCCCAGGGCAGTGGGCACAGCCCCAAGGCTGCCAGAGCTCCGGGAGGGTTTGGATGATCCTCTGGGGCACAGGGTGTGACCCTTGGGAATGTTCCTGTGCAGGGCTGAGGGTTGAATTCGATGGTCCTTGCGGGTCCCTTCCAACTCAGGATAGTCTGTAATTCTGTGATACCTGTGAGGGGCAAGTGTAGTGGAAGAGGAGGAACTTGATTAAGCTCTGAAGAAGACAGTTGCAAAAAGCTGTGTGTGACTGCTGTGGTTTTCTGACAGAGCCAGAAGTTGTGTTTACAAACAAGGACAAAGTGAAGAAAGAGGTGAAAGCTGCACTCTCAGAAGATGCCACTCTGAGCTGCGAGGTGGCCCAGGACAAGACTGAGGTGAAGTGGTACAAGGATGGGAAGCTGATCACCTCCAGCAAGAAGTTCAAGGTGGAGTCTGAGGGCAAATCTCGTCGTCTGGTGGTGGGTCAGGTGGAGAAGAAGGATGCTGGGGAGTACAGCTGCGAGGCTGCTGGCCAGAAACTCACCTTCAGGATCCATGTCACAGGTGGGAGACATATTTTGCTTTTTATTTAATTGGCTTTTCTTTGAATCTGAGTGAAGGACTGGGCAGATCAAGAGTTTACCTGTAGGTACCAGTAGTTCTGGGCTCCTCAGTACAAGAATGAGAAGGAGCTACTGGAGAGGGTCCAGTGGAGGACACAAAGATGATGAGGGCTCTGGAGCATCTCTCCTATGAGGAGAGACTGTGGGAGCTGGGCCTGGTTAGTCTGGAGAAAAGAGGACTGAGAGGGGATCTCATTAATGCAGATAAATATCCCCAAGGTGGGTGCCAAGAGGATGGTGCCAGTCTTTTTTGGTGGTGCCCAGAAACAGGAGGAGGAGTAATGGCTATGAACCAAAACACAGGAAGTTTCACTTCAACTTGAAGAAGAAATTCTTTGCATTGAGAGGGGCAGAGCACTGGAACAGCTGCCCAGGGGAGGTTGTGGAGTTTCCTTCCCTGGGGACATTCCAAACCCACCTGGACAAGTTCCTGTGTCACCTGCTCCAGGTGACCCTGCCTTGGTAAGAAGGTTGGACTGGATGGTCTCCAGAGGTCCCTTCCAACCCTAAGGATTCTGTGATTCTTTGATGCTGTATCCTGATATCAGCTCCTCAGCTCCCTGTGTGTGTCCTTAGGCTGAGATGAAGTGAACAGACTTTTCATCAGCAGGCACTGTGTTAAAGGACCTCTTCCAATTTGATCATCAGAGCTGGTATTTCTCCTCCTGTTATGGATATTCTTCTATGAAAGTCACTCTTTCCTCTTCTTTTGCAAGTGAGAGGACAAGAGCAAATGGCTTCAAGTTGCTCCAGGGGAAGTTTAGATTGGATATTAGAAAAAATACTTCACCAAAAGGATTGTCAGGTATTGGAACAGGCTGCCCAGGGCAGTGGTGGGGTCACCACCCCTGGAGGGATTTAAAAGCCCTGTAGACGTGGCCCTTGGGGACATGGTTTAGTGATGGACCTGCCAGCACAGTGTTAATGGTTGGACTTGATGATCTTCCATGCCTAAACGATTCTAGGATTTCTTTGGTCTCAGTATATTTTGCAAGAGGTCTGGTAAATTTTATCTCAGGCTCTAGTCAGCCATGGAATCAGCTCCATTCTGAGTGATTATTTCTGAACTGGATGATAAGAAGGAGTTTGATTTTTTTTTTTTTTTAATTAATATTAATAGCACTCCACTGTCTTTACAGCCAAATCCCTATTTGTTAACACTACAATTGTAGTCTCAGAGCTGATTGGAACAGCGAATCTATTTTCTCCTCTGCTTTCTTACGGCACCAAACCCCCTGGGACCAGAGTCTGGCAGGGGTTTGGCATTTTATCAGCTGTGTAGAAGAGCAACTGTGTTGGGAGTCCATTGACTCCACCCTCTGTGGGGTACCCAGGGTGTGGACTAGGGCACTTTGGCTCTTTGCCATGAATTCTGTAGCTCATCCTTTTGCCTGAGAGAGCTGCCAGTTTCGGTGAAGGATGAGTTACAGTAAGGATAGGATTGAGAGGCACCTTCCAGAGAAAATTCAACATGAACAGTGATGGAAAGATCATCAAAGAAATCTAGAGTGGTTTGGGTTGGAAGGGACCCTAAAGATAACCTAGTTCCAGCCCCCCCTGCCATGGGTAGGGACGTCTTCCACTATCCCAGGTTGCTCCAAGCCCTGTCCAATGTAGCCCTGAACAATTCCAGGGATGGGGCAGCCACAGCTTCTCTGGGCAAAATTGGTATAAACCAAGTACGCGGTCAGCTGTTGAAACTGGTTCATAAGTTCCTGCAGAACTTATGATAGAAAACGCAGAAATTTAGTGCTTTTCCACTGGAATTTCTGTCTCTGAGGGCTATTCTTAGCTGTCTGCCTCAGAACCCAAAGGTTTTCAGCCCTCTCAGACCGGATGACTTCCCGGCGGCGCAGGGTAACGCAACACCCTCCCCCTGTGCCCTAAGAGAAGAGATTGCCTGGCTACAGTTGCTGTATTCCTCACGGGAACAACGGTAACATGACATCCCGGTCCAGCACTGGCTGGAAAACGATCCAGTGTGAAAGTCAGGAGGGATTATGAGTACTCTGGGTGGTTGGATCTTTTGCGGCAGAAATCCGTCTCTTGCTCCGTTATCCCAAAGTCCGGCGGCTTTCTGGGTCTTAATTTATCCCATTACCCTTGCACTTGGAAAGCTTTTCAGAGGGTTCCTGTGCTCCAGGGCTCCACTGGGAGCACAAAGCCTGCCCTTTTTAAGGGCAGGTTGAAGGTTAGATGCTCAGTGTTGAGTTTTGGGATGCAGCTGTGGCTTTTTTGGATTAATATAAAAAGAACGGGGTACTGCACACCTTGGGACTGAGTTGGACGTGTAGAAAAAGAGCTGATTCTGAAATATTATTATTTCAAGATTCATGGTATGCAGGGAAATCCATATTTGAAAATGGAGAAAGCTCCATGTAATGAAAATGGTTTTCCTCAGTTCCACTGAAACTTCCCTGACCAACTTCAGCTGAGGTTGGAAATGTCATCTGCACTGAATAAACTTGCTTAAGTTTAAAATAAATTTATAAGGCAAATTACCATGTAAATCACTTCAGGAGCTGGTTAAAATTTTAGTCCCATTTCCTAATCACTATAAAAATGGTTTATATTAAAGCTCAGGAATTAAGAGGACAAGGGAGATGGAACAGGAATGTTCCTTCCCTGCTAAGTTGACACTTTAAACATAGCACCCATGGACACAGACTGGTCTGTAACTCATTTTAGTGCACCCTGCACATTCCAAATCCAAGTTGTAAATGGACATTAAATCTTTATAATTTTGAAACCGGTTTTGAATGCAAGCCCTGGTGTGTGGTTGAGCTCTTTTAGACACCAAAATGCTGCTGCCACATGCCTTTGAGGGTTTTGCATCACTCAGCATAGGCCACGTGCCTTCTAAATGGCAATGACACCTCCTTACACCCCTGCCACAGCCAATATCAACAGAGGAGCTCAAGTTTAAAGCCTATAAGCCGGATTCCTGCTCTGGTTTGCTCCCTGCAGGGTATCTCTCTTTCCATGGGCTGTGCAATGCTCAGAGCAAGGCTGTGATGTGGCTCCAGGACGGTGGGTAGTGACACAGTCAGCAGTGTAGGAACCTGACCTGAGCTTACCCCTTCCCCTCACCCTCCCAGGCAGCTGCTGCCACTCAGAGCACAGACACGATGAGATGGGATGCAGAGGAGAAAGTCGGCAAGGAGGAGTAAAGGATGGCCCTGGGAGGCTGCAGAGAGTGACTGGGAGAGGAAGGGAGGGACACAGGTTATGGAAGGGGCTCACCATGTCTGCCAGGGAGAACCATGAGCCTTTAAGGTCACAGAATCATTAAGGCTGGGAAACACCTCTGAGGTCATCAAGTCCAACCTGTGACCAATCCCCACCTTGTCCCCCAGCCCAGAGCACTGAGTGCCACATCCAGCCCTTCCCTGGATTCCTCCAGGGGTGGGGACTCCACCACTGCCCTGGGCAGCCCCTTCCAGTGCCTGACCACCCTTTCCAGGAAGACATTTTCCCTAATATCCAATCTCAACCTCCACTGGCACAGCTTGAGGCCATTTCATCTCATCCTGTTGCTAATTACTTGGGAGCAGAGCCTGATCTCCCCTCTCCTGTCAGGGAGTTGTAGAGCCAGAAGGTCCCCCCTGAGCCTCCTTTTCTCCAGGCTGAGTCCCCCCAGCTTCCTCAACCCCTCCTGGCACTCCAGCCCCTTCCCCAGCTCCGTTCCCTTCCCTGGACATGCTCCAGCCCCTCAACACGTTTCTTTCTCAATGTCACCTTCACCAGGTGAGGCCCAAATACCTCAGTCTGGGTGGGTGAATTATCTTCCATGTTTGCACTGCAACTGGAATGCACTGGGAAACCCATCCACTTGCTAATCCAGCATTTCCTGTGGAGCTGGTGCTTCTGTTCAGTAAAATCACGGACTTCAGTGCTCCAGTAAAAACCTGGGAACCCAAACAGTCACAGGCTGCCTTTGCTGCGTGATGTCCATCACGTGGGCCCACCAGAAATATGTTACCCTTCTTGTGCAGTTATGTCCTGTGGAAAATCAGTGGGGACAAAATGTAGCAGCTCATTTATTTAGGGTCCCTTTCTCCTTCCAAATCTCAAATGTACATTAATACAAAAGCCAAAGGTGTGACCACATAAGTTTTTGCTTAAAGGAGAACCAGGCAAAACAATCATTAATGAGTAAAAGATGCAATTTCTCAGTCAGTGCTACTTAGTAAGGTGACAGTTGAATTTTATCAATGCATACACCTAATTAACTGGTAAATACACAAGATATTCTTTTGATGCCAACTGCGCTTGTTGAGATGGAAATTCGAAGTGGTGCCATGGAAGAAAGTTATTTTAAACCCCTGATACTTGTATCTTTTGCTGAGTATTAAAACAAGATTCCCTATGGCCTGTTTGCTGAAAAATCAGAGATATTTTTTTTTTTAGGAAATAAAAGTATACTTCAACTTTTCTAGACCAGTTTTATATGGGATGGAGGTCAAGTATTTTTCCATATTAAGAACTGTGTCTTTGTCATTTCGCTGGGATTGAGTTGCACGATATTTTCTGAACAACACCCCGTCTTAATCTAAAATACCTGTTAAAATCCTGTAAGTAATGTGATAGTGGAGGTGACAACTTGTAGTTGTACTGTATTTGGCTCGTTCCAAACGTGGGGAGTAGGAATATCATAAAGACAAAAGAGGGGAATTTTATCTTTGTCTTCATTACAAGAAATTTGAAAATGAGGAGGTTGAGCTGTTCATGAAGAGGAGTCAGAGAGGTATAACTGCATGGACTGTTTTTTGAGGGGTTTACGTGATAAAAAGAACAAGAAATTATTGTAGAATCAAAGAATGATTTAAGTTGGAAAAGTCCTTTAAGATCATCATGTCCCATGGTTAACCCAGCACTACCAAGCCCAAGTTCCTGCAGAGCACCTACACCAAATACATGTAATATCTTCTTGCCACGAGTTATTTACATCTTATGTATATTTTTAAATTGTTTCCCTATTTCAGAGGCGGAAGATGCCTTTATCCACAAGGAGAAGGTGCAGAAAGAGGTGAAAGCTGTGCTATCAGAAGATGCCACTCTGAGCTGCGAGGTGGCCCAGGACAAGACTGAGGTGAAGTGGTACAAGGATGGGAAGCTGATCACCTCCAGCAAGAAGTTCAAGGTGGAGTCTGAGGGCAAATCTCGCCGTCTGGTGGTGGGTCAGGTGGAGCAGAAGGATGCTGGGGAGTACAGCTGTGAGGCTGCTGGCCAGAAACTCACCTTCAGGATCCATGTTGCAGGTGAGGGATTGCCTTGTTACACCTTTTCTTTTGCTGTAGCTGTGAAGTTTCCTGGTGACACAGGTTAACTTTAAGCCTTGCTCTGTATGGGTCTGCAGCAGAACTTAAATGGTTTTTCTTAAAGATCAGTATTAAGGGCATGTGTTTGGATGCTTTGGGAAAAAGCCCATTTAGGCCCAGTAGTCTTTTCCCTGATTTTGACCAGGAAGGGTAATAAGGAAAAAGGATGTGAGAACAAGACAAGCATAACACAATCCTTCCACTCTTTAAGGGTCTGTAGTTGCATTCTTAGAATTTGTAGTTTCTGTCTCTACTGGGACAGAGTTTTTCTGTCACATCTGTACAAGAGATGTGGCTTTGCTGAGTTTTGCCAACGTGACTTCATGTGGAATTGCACCACACAGAGAGGTTCAAGTGACAGTTCAGATCAATATTCAGAAGTCTGTGTGTGCTGGTAAATCATCAGTGCACCAATTTCTTTCCTTGCTGCCAGTTATTTTTGTGCAAAAAAAAAAATCACGCAGTACTTCCTTTCTCATCTTCCTTTCTTCTGTCCTGCTTGACAGTGTTTCAAGGGAACAATAACTAAATTTGATGTAGATGTTTCTTTTCTGATTGTGGATCACAAGAAAACCTCAAAGAAGCATTCAATTAAAGGCACATCGATTAAAAGCACATCCCAGGGATGTGGGGCAACACAATTGATTTGGTGCAAAGATTTGTCCTTTTTCTCATGAGATTTGCCCAACACAGGAATCTAACCATGTCTTTTTAGAAGTGTTGGCATTTTCCCAGCCTGGTGACCTGGTCACACCACTGAACCTTTTATTTTGGACCTAGCTATGAGTCCTCAAATCTTCGTTCATGAAGCCTAACCATGAACTGTGAGTGATTTTAAGTATCTTCCATGCTGGAGGTGGTTTGGGGCTGGCCTGCTCCCAGGTATCCCATGATGTTACAGCACTGGCACTCATGTGACTGCCAGCTGTGGGCCTTGCTGAGGAACAAACTATTGGGTTTCATTCTGCTTGCTCTGCCACGTCTGCATTCTGTGATATACATTGCTGGGGGATGACCCTGCAAGGAAACTGGAGACAAATCTGCCTCGTTATCCCTTGTGCCAGAAAAACTGTGGTTATACTTATTCCATGGCTCAGATATGTGACCTTTTTTTTTTTTTCCTCTAGCTCTATGCAGGTTGTAGGAACAGTACAGGGTAAGACTGAGGTTGCCATTTTATTTCAAACATGCATTTGATAGAATAAACTCTTAAAAAAGTTGCAGTGGTTTATAAATCGAACTGTGAAAGGCAGAAATTAGCAAAGGATCTTATCACAGTGTTTGAAGGAAAAGCTCTTCGTAGCTTCCCATGGAAGGATCTTCTCATCTGGGTCCAGGAGACCTTTTTCCTTCACTGGAGCAGGAACTGAAGTGGTCCTGGCAATTTTTTGTGTGCAGCTGAGCAAGTGGGGAAAGCTATTGACAGCAATAATGGAAGGTTTCACGGGTCTTTTGGGTTAAAACCCAAAGATTGACCTGCTTTTAGGGCTTCTGAAAGAGTCATGTTCATGACTATGAGGGTTCACTTTTTTTTTTTTTTTGAAATAGCACCATCCTCTGCAGGTTGATGTGGTGGGTCCCTCACTCTCACCAAACTTCTCTGCATCTCACATCCTTTCTGTAAACAAGGGTAAGGAGAGTGTTGTACCTCAAAGTGCTTTTCATATCACAGGATTTGAGGTACTTGGGTACCATGGAAAGAGGGACAGGCATTTTGTTTCCAGTATGTAAGTGACTGTTGCCCATTGCTGCCAAGGAGAGGCCATTTCTCAGATTTAGCAAATGGGTAAATATCAGAAAGTAGAGAAGAAAAGGCCCTCTCTTACCACTGAGAGATTTGCTGGTCACTGTAGGGGCAGAAATGATGGGATTCATTTAGGTACTCCTTCAAGGCTGCTAAGGAAGAATGGTGTGGAACTAGAAAGAGAAAATGGATCTTCTGATCCATTCTGATCTCTTGCTTTAACCCCAGATCATGAGTTTGTGTAAAATACCATTACACTGAGGGAAATTCAAGCAACTGAAAGCTCTCACTGAAGAGAATTACCTGGGATGGAGCACAAATGTGAGCCTAGGAGTCCCTCACTCAGCCTCCTCCTGTGTGATAGAATCCCAGAATGGTTTGGGTTGGAAGGGAACTTCAAGATTTCTCATCCCACCCCCTGCCATGGGCAGGGACACCTTCCACTGGACCAGGTTTTTCCAAGCCTCATCCAACCTGGCCTTGAACAATTCCAGGGATGGGAAGTGTAACATCCATTGCTTATAGTGAAGGGAAAAATATCTGCCTAGAGAGGGTTAGAGCCAAAATGAAGAAATCAGCCTGCAGGACAACACTTTCCAGGAGCATTGGCTTGTTCTCTTCAGAAGTGTCACAGGAAGTGCTCTGAAATTTGTAACCCACACTTTTTTGCACCACTGTCATTTCCTAACCCCAGAGACACAACTTTCCAGCACAGTTCTCCTTTCTTCATTCATTATTTGTGCTCTGTCTTTTAAAGGATTTATATATATACAAAGCATTATATATATATTTTTGCTGGCCTTAGTAATCCTTTTTTTTCTGTTCTTCTGCTGGGTAAGATATAAATTCTGAGCACTTCAGTGGGGAGGTAGCAAGTTCCATACTCAGTATTGAATAAATTGTTGATCTGTTCTTCATGGATCAGTTCTCATAATTCATGCAAGTTCGGTAGTTCCAAAGAAGTTTATTACAGAGATTTTTTTATTATTATTCCTCTATTTACTGTATCATGTTAGGATCCCTATCTCCAATGTTCTTTCCTATGTCCAGCTTCTAAAATTATGTCCTTGGAACTTATCAAAACCAAGCCTAAAATCAAATTACTGTTCTTAATTCAGTGTCTGTTTGATTGGAGTATTTGGCAGTCATTCCATCTGGAAATCCAAGATGCTCCTGGCACAACTCCACTGGAGGTGACCAAGATGATTAAGGGGCTGGAACACATGTCATATGAGGAGAGGCTGAGAGAACTGGATTTGTTCAACCTAGAGATGAGAAGAGAAAGCAAAAGGGAGCTTTAATTACTGCCTGCATCTGTTTAATAAGAGGATATGGAGTCCACAGCTCTGTGTCTTCTCAAAGATCCAGGGTGATGGGAGGAGAGATAAAATATACAAGTTGGAACTTGTATGGGAGGTTCTGAAAAGATATTAGGAAAAATTTGCACCATGAGGATGGCCAAGCTCTGGAACAGGAGCCTTGAGGTTGTGGGGTCTCCATTGCTGGAAATACTCAGGACTCAGTGGGACATGACTGTGCAGAGCTTGGTGTAATTTCATCTGCTCTGAGAGGGGAAGTGGGACTGGGTGGCCTCCAGAAATCACTCCTAACCTGAATTGCTTTATGATTGTGATTTTGTACCATTAGTAGCATGAATTCTGTAGAATATATCTGGGAAGTGATGCTGTTCCATAAGGATATGACGAAGGGGATGAAATATTCTACAAGCAGCTGGCGGATGTCTCGAAATCATCAGCCCTTGTCCTTGTGGGTGACTTTAACCTGCCGGATATCTGCTGGGAGCTCAATACTGCAGAGAAGAGGCAGTCTAGGAAATTCCTGGAGTGTATAGAGGACAATTTCCTCCATCAACTGGTAAATGAACCTACCAGGGGTAAGGCCCCGCTAGACCTGCTGTTTACAAACAGAGAGGGGCTGACGGGAGATGTAGTGGTTGGAGGCCGCCTGGGAAATAGTGACCATGAAATAATAGAATTTTCAATACTCAGAGATTCTAGGAGAAACAACAATAAAACCTCTACGCTGGATTTCCGGAGGGCAGATTTTGACCTATTCAGAAGTCTAGTCCAGAACATACCCTGGGAAACAACCCTTAAAAACAAGGGGGTCCAGGAGGGATGGACGTGCTTCAAGCAGGAAGTTTTGAGTGCACAGGAACAGGCTGTACCAGTGTGCCGAAAGGCAAGCCGGCGGGGAAGACAACCAGCTTGGTTAAACTGGGAGATTCTGAAGGAAATCAGGGATAAAAAGAGAACTTACCGACTGTGGAAGAAAGGGCTGGCTACTTACGAAGAATTCAGGAAGACAGCTAGATCATGCAGAAAGAAAATCAGGGATACAAAAGCGCAATTTGAAGTTAAATTAGCCACTTCTGTTAGGGATAACAAAAAGTCCTTCTATAAATACATTAATAACAAAAGGAGGAGCAAAGAAAACCTTCATTCTTTGAGGGACTTGGAGGGAAACATAGTTAATAGAGATGAGGAGAAGGCTGAGGTACTTAACACTTACTTTGCCTCAGTTTTTACCAGTAGGACAGGTGGCCCTCAAGGCAACCAGCCTCTGGAGCTGGTAGACAGAGATAGGAAACCAAATAGCCCCCTTGTATTCCAGGAGGAAATTGTTAGTGACTTACTGAGTCATCTGGATCCTCACAAGTCTATGGGACCAGATGGGATCCATCCTAGGGTAATGAGGGAGCTGGCAGAAGAGCTTGCCAAGCCGCTCTCCATCATCTTCCAACAATCCTGGCTCACTGGGGAGGTCCCATATGACTGGAAGTTGGCAAATATCACCCCAATCCATAAAAAAGGCTGCAAGGCTGACCCTGGTAACTACAGGCCTGTCAGCCTGACCTCGGTGCCTGGCAGAGTTATGGAGCAGATCATCCTGTGTGAAATCACACAGCAGCTACAGGATGGACAAGGGATCAGACCCAGCCAACATGGGTTTAGGAAGGGCAGATCCTGTTTGACCAACCTGATCTCCTTTTACGATCAGGTGACCCACCTGGTGGATGAGGGAAAGGCTGTGGATGTGGTCTATCTGGACTTCAGCAAAGCCTTTGACACTGTCTCCCATAGCATACTCCTGGAAAAGCTGGCAGCCCACGGCTTGGACAGGGGCACTCTGTGCTGGGTCAGGAACTGGCTCAAGGGCCGGGCCCAGAGAGTGCTGGTGAACGGAGCTGCATCCAATTGGCGACCGGTCACCAGTGGTGTTCCCCAGGGGTCAGTGCTGGGCCCAGTCCTTTTTAACATCTTTATCGATGATTTAGATGAGGGGATTGAGTCCATCATCAGCAAATTTGCTGATGACACCAAATTGGGAGGGAGTGTCGACCTGCCGGAAGGCAGGAGGGCTCTGCAGAGGGATCTGGATAGACTGGAGAGATGGGCTGACTCCAATGGAATGAAGTTCAACAAGGCCAAGTGCCGGGTCCTGCACTTTGGCCACAACAACCCCCTGCAGCGCTACAGGCTGGGCACAGAGTGGCTAGAGAGCAGCCAGGCGGAAAGGGACCTGGGGGTGCTGATCGACAGGAGGCTGAACATGAGCCAGCAGTGTGCTCAGGTGGCCAAGAAGGCCAATGGCATCCTGGCCTGCATCAAGAACAGTGTGGCCAGCAGGAGCAGGGAAGTGATCCTTCCCCTGTACTCTGCATTGGTGAGGCCACACCTGGAGTATTGTGTTCAGCTCTGGGCCCCTCAGTTCAGGAAGGATATTGAGGTGCTGGAGCGGGTCCAAAGAAGAGCAACGAGGCTGGTGAAGGGACTGGAGCACAAGTCCTATGAGGAGAGGCTGAGAGAGCTGGGGTTGTTCAGTCTGGAGAAGAGAAGGCTTAGAGGCGACCTCATCACTCTCTTCAACTACCTGAAGGGAGGTTATAGCCAGGTGGGGGTTGGTCTCTTCTCCCAGGCAACCAACAATAGGACAAGGGGACATGGGCTCAAGCTCTGCCAGGGGAGGTTTAGGTTAGATGTTAGGAAGAAATTCTTTACAGAGAGGGTTATCAGGCATTGGAACGGCCTACCCAGAGAGGTGGTGGATTCACCATCCCTGGAGGTTTTTAAAAAGAGATTGGACGTGGCCCTTAGTGCCATGATATAGTAATTGGAGTTGGATCAGGGGTTGGACTTGATGATCTTGGAGGTCTTTTCCAACCCAATCTATACTATGATACTATACTACTATGGATACAGCTCTATATAAATGTCTGTGAAGGTACTCCACCTGTTATGCATTTATTTCATAACCCTTATTGATTTTTTCCTAAATATCACTTGGGCCCAGCCAGGGGTTTGGCATTGGTAAATGAAGGATCCTGCCTGGAGTTTGTCCTGTTTACTGTGACTGTGCAGCCCAGAATTCCCTTCAAGTGAACAAAACACACCCTGCTTTCCCAGGAGAGCCCATCCTGCTGGCCTGTAGAGAGGGACCCTTCAGAGGGTTTGCAGGAAAGCTGGTACCAGCCCTAAGATCAGGCATGGAAGTTCTTCTTGCTGCCCAAATGAACAGCAGCAGGAAAATGTGATGCCTGGAAGTAAATTGTTCCTGCCAGTGCTTCATCAAGTGTTTGCTTAACTCTGACTCTTTCAGCTTTTTTTTCATTCCACAGCTGATTTATTTAAGCTGTGATGCACCAGGTGGTGTCTCACCAAAACCCCAACACCACATGATCTTGGAGGCAAAGCTTTCATTTTCATGGATTTTTTTCCTACTTTTTTTTCCCCCTGCTTTTCAATCTTGCAGATGACGCGTTTGAACACAGAGACAAAGTGCAGAGGGAGGTGAAGGCAGCACTGAAGGAGGACACCACTCTGAGCTGTGAGGTGGCCCAGGACAAGACTGAGGTGAAGTGGTACAAGGATGGGAAGCTGATCACCTCCAGCAAGAAGTTCAAGGTGGAGTCTGAGGGCAAATCTCGTCGTCTGGTGGTGGGTCAGGTGGAGAGGAAGGATGCTGGGGAGTACAGCTGTGAGGCTGCTGGCCAGAAACTCACCTTCAGGATCCATGTCACAGGTGAGAGAATGTGCTTCATCCCTGTTTTAACCTAAAAAAATTGAAGGAGAGGAAAGTTATGTGGCTTGGCAAACTCCATCTCAACAGGCAGCAACTGAGCCAGCACATAAATGGTGTCTGTTTACTCATGAAACTGTCTTTGTGCTATTATGTCTGTCTCCCTTCTTTTGAAACTAAAAATGCAGTGGATTTCTGTAGTCCAAACTCAGGTTAGGCTGAAGATCATCGGGGAATTTCTCTGGGAATCTGGTGAAAATGCACTGGTAGCAAACTGGGAATTCAGTAGTGGCAGGAGAAATTAAAAGGCACAGCAAATCTGAACACAGGCATTATCTCATGGAAGCTCTTTTCTGAAATAAACTTCATTATAGAGGAAACCTTTTTATTATGAATGGAAATACTACAGCTGTTGTCAGAAGCAGTAGATGAGGAAACCAGATATCACCATGATATCAACAAGAACAAGTTTTAACCTTGGCATCCCTCAGTTGGATCTCAAGGAATTTAAAGCAAATTGGAGGGTTCATACATTAAATATCTTTTTGTCTGTGACATGGTACAGTGCAAAGGAAATTCCATGGGAACTGGCTAATCTTCATTCATTAGAAAAACACAGTTCTGGGATGGCACATCTCTAAAACATTTGGAAAATAAAGATACGGACACAAAACAGGCTCACAAAGTTTGTTTCCTAAAGTTATCTTTGCTTTTGCTGCAATTGCAGCTCTTGGCAAAACTGAATTTAAGTCAGCAAACTGACTTCTTACAGACCTTGTCCACCTATCCTGTCTGCTGCTGGATTTTGGGATATGTGATCTTCTTTTCTGCAGATTTTGGAGAACGATAATGGTGGAAATAAAAACAACTTTGGGGTCATGTCTTGGACTACCAGTAAAGGAGCCCTTCACCAGCATTTGATGTAGTTCAGATGTTACCTGTTCAGTTGATGCTGTTGGAAGGGAATGTAAATAGGAAATCCATTTCAGCACCACACTCCAAAGGCTGGTGTGTGTGCATTTGGGAAGGGATCTGTGTGTGAGAGAGCTTAATTTTCAAAATCTGCCCTTGTACCCTTTAACTGCAGAGGCGGAAGATGCCTTTATCCACAAGGAGAAGGTGCAGAAAGAGGTGAAAGCTGTGCTATCAGAAGATGCCACTCTGAGCTGCGAGGTGGCCCAGGACAAGACTGAGGTGAAGTGGTACAAGGATGGGAAGCTGATCACCTCCAGCAAGAAGTTCAAGGTGGAGTCTGAGGGCAAATCTTGTCGTCTGGTGGTGGGTCAGGTGGAGAAGAAGGATGCTGGGGAGTACAGCTGTGAAGCTGCTGGCCAGAAACTCACCTTCAAGATTGATGTCACAGGTACGAGAAGACTCTTCAGCCCATCATTCCTATTTCTGGAATATTTAGAAAAATCAATATTATTTTTTAAAACCTTTCCGTGCTACGCTTCAAATTTTTGGCAAACGTCGTTGGAATGGCCCAGCTCTGATGTAGAAATGGGGCAAAAAGTTACAAATACAGTTACCTTCATATACTCTACATAAAAGATTAGAAATCCTTAAAACAGGGGTCCTTGGAAGCTACACATCTTTGTAGGAAAAGTAGATTGTACCTCTTCTTCCTCACGTGTTGGTGCAATGGCAATAAACCTGCACCACAGCTTGTTCTCAGTGCAGGGTCATGGTGGACAGTGGTTGGGTGTGTACATTGTTTTATTTCCCTTGGAAGGGCTTGTTTCAGCCTGAAGGGACAACATGGCAACAGAGCTTGATACATATGAAGCCTCTAAGGTGTCAGGTAAAAGGCAAACTGGGGAAAGAAGGTGTCTTGGAGGCTCAATCCAGACACATCTCCCTGCTGGGGCTGTAGAGAGGTAGAATGGATTCAGCTTTACAACTCCCTCAAAACTTCCTGAACCACTTCTGAGTGGTATGACACATGTGTCTTGTGGAGAACAAGAGGATTTCACCATCTGGATGTAAGATGAGCTGAGGTTTTTCCTCAAGGTTGCACTGAGAAGTATTAACAGTGTCCTGGACGTGTCAGTCCTAGTCTAGCACCTTTCTGTCTTAACAAAATGATCTAAGCAGCAACAGAAGCAGCGACTGAGAACCAAAGAAATCAATTATATGGGGCTATGATGCAGCACAGGACAGCTCCTTCCTCTAAAAATTTGTTACTTTGCACTCAACTTCAACTCAAATGTGTCCTGCCTTGACTGGACCCTGCCATACAATGCTTCTGTGAACCATTCAGAGGATCTTCTGTATTCCTGCTGTCAGAAAACCAAAACAGACTAAAAACACATAAAACCCCCACCACAAAATGGTTTGTGTGTTCTTTCAATAGTTTGAGATGTGCATTGTGAAGTCTGGGGTTGTTTTCCAGGGTTTTCCTGTAAGCCACGACAAGGGGACTGGGCAGCAACTTATTTTGGAGAAACTCTGAACTTCTCTCTCTTTTCAGAGCCAGAAGTTGTGTTTACAAACAAGCAGAAGGTGCAGAAAGAGGTGAAAGCTGCACTCTCAGAAGATGCCACTCTGAGCTGCGAGGTGGCCCAGGACAAGACTGAGGTGAAGTGGTACAAGGATGGGAAGCTGATCACCTCCAGCAAGAAGTTCAAGGTGGAGTCCGAGGGCAAATCTCGCTGTCTGGTGGTGGGTCAGGTGGAGCAGAAGGATGCTGGGGAATACAGCTGCGAGGCTGCTGGCCAGAAACTCACCTTCAGGATCCATGTCACAGGTAAGAAATACCTTTCTGAATGACAGGAGAGGACAATAAAGCAATAACTGTGATATCTATTTCACCCTGACTCGGTTGCTGTGCTGTGGGTTTTGTTGCAGCCCGTAGGGTTCACCTGATGTTCTGCACCTTATTGCCTGGATTTGTAGAAATGGGAATATTTGGCTTTAGATGGCACAAAGGCTTATCTCATTTTTAATTGGGCTACATAATAATAGTTGTAGACATAAATATAATTATCAACATATTATTTAACATGATATTCAGCATACATTCATGAACCTGCATGCCTGGGATCCCAGAGAGTGATTCTTTGTGCATTGACCCCCTTGAAAGGAAAGAATCATTCAAAAATCCTCTTTTTATTAGACTTCCAATCCCATTTCTGAAAACTGAGAGACTGGAATAGATTTTTCCATTTGCGTATTCAACATCCGCATGTCTGAAGATGGGTTGAAAACGGAATTTTTTTGGTGAACTGGGCTTCTTGTGTGCTTGAGATCTCAGCCTTTTGAGATGCCTTGCTAATTCTGCCAGGTGCCAAATGCCCCTAAGCTGTGAAAGATTCCAAGAAATTGGTCTTTTGGAACAGGATTCACAAGGTGCCCAAACTGCTTTAAGCATGTGATGTTAAAGGACGTTTTGATGTTGTAACAACCTTGGGGACCTTGCCAACCGTGATCCTGACCCCCCTGAACCCTGGAGGGAGATCATATTTCCTTTTTCTCTTTGACAGTCATGTTTCTGGCAGGGGAAGAGGCCATGAAGAGTCTGTTCCAGAAGCCCATAATTATTTATTGTGTCCTAGGTCTCAACTGAAAGAAATCTGGGAGGTTTTGATGATACACAGGACAGATGTTTTTGGGAATGTTTAAATTAAATATTTTTTTTCATGGTGACTTGCAATCACAGGGTTGATATCAAGGATATTTTGGTCCTTTCCATTCCTAGGCTCTTGATTCCCAATTTCCACATGGCAACTCAGTCCCACAGAAAGGTTGATGCTGCCTAGTGACAGCAGTTGGTTTTGGCAAGTGACAACCTAAATATTTTCCAGACCTGCCTACAGAAGTCTGTAAGATCAATCTCATTCTAGTCCCTCAATCATAAATAATCAATTATTTCCTTCTTTTTCTGTGCCCAGAGCCCAAACCTGCATTTATAAACCAGGAAAAGGTCCAGAAGGAGGTGAAGGCTGTGCTGACAGAAAGTGCCTCCCTCGTGTGCGAGGTAGCACAGGATGCAACCGAAGTGAAATGGTTCAAGGACGGAAAACTTCTGGTTTCCTCCAGAAAATTCAAAATAGAGACCGTGGGGAAAACCCGACGCCTGGTTATAGAGCAGCTGGAGAAGAAGGATGCTGGGGAATACATCTGTGAGGCTGCAGGCCAGAAGATGACATTCAAACTGGAACCAACTGGTGGGTGCTCCCTTTGTGGTGTTAAGCACCAACCTGTGAGGAAAACTGGGTATTCCCTACCCAGCAGCCGTGGTGCAGCCACCATCTCCCCTGGAGCAACGTCAGTGAACCCACAGGGCACATTAATTTTCAATCTAGCAGTGCAGAGGGGGGAAATCTGGACTTTTTTTTTTGGTGTGTGCCCCCAAAATGCCCAGTTTTGTGGCAAAGTGTTGTACAAGATAGAGAAGAGGCCAAGAGTAAGGTACTGGAATCACAGAACGATTTGGGTTGGAAAGAACCTCAAGGATCATTTTACTTCCAACCCTCCTGCCAGTGGAGCAAATAGAAAACAGGCCATAAATTCAGGCTTAGCATATTAATATTCCTTATTAACTTGACCTAAAATCCTAAAAATGGGAGAGGGAAGAATTATACAGGTTATTGTACTTCTTAGCAAGAAGCTTATTGTGGGCAGCAGATAAAATACATATGTTTGCATTTCCTTTCTCTGCTTCTCTACTATGCAGAAGCTCTGAGTTACCTGAGAGATCATTTTGTTTCTTCCCACTCATTAAAAGATGATACCAGCCACAAATCTTCACCCATATTCCCTGGATTATTGCAGGCTGTGGATGAGCTGGCGTTGAGTCAGGAAGAGAGAATAATAGACTATTGCTGTGTTAAAGATTTGATTATCTAAGTTCTTAACTTTCCTGTTTCAATGTCTTTCCTAGAACCAGAGGCTAAATTTGAAAAGAAAGTTGTCCAGAAAGAGCCTCTCGTTGTTCAAGAACATGAAAGTATCACACTGACAACCTCAGTGACGCCTGAAACTGCTGCAGTGAAGTGGCTCAAGGACGGCACAGAAATCAAGGCGAGCAAGAAATGTGTGATCAAGAGTGAGGGGGCATCCAGGACCCTGGTGGTGAACCTGGCTGAGAGCACAGACACTGCTGTCTACACCTGCCAGACCAGGAATGACAAGCAGGAGTTCAAAGTGCAGGTGAAAGGTGAGCAGAGAGCAGAGCACGGGTCATATCCCAACCCAACAGTAACACTTCTCTCATGGTGGGATGGAGGTGAAGTCCAAACTATCCCTAAAGCTGTTCCAACCTCAAGGCTTGTTGTACCTTCTGTGGATGCCCCAGTATGGGCCAGCAAGGATCTCCTGTTTCAAAATACCCACTTTTTGTCCTTTGCTGGCCTCTTGGGGACAATGAAGCTTTCCCTGATGTCTACTCCCCTTCTGTTTCTGTCTCGTCTTAACCCTGGGACATGGCAGAGACTCAGCTCTTCCCCTCTGTGCTCACAGGAAAAGCTGGTGAGGGTGTAGAGGGATGTTGTGTGAGGAAAAAATTGGTGATTTAGTCACAGATGGAAACAGGACCTGAACTGAATCCTCCTCAATTCATGGGATGGAGCACCTGGGATGCTGTTCCCTACTCAAGGCTATAAATTGGCAAGCAGGATGAAGTAGAGCTGGTCCACAGATGGAGATGAGAGGGGTGATGTCCCAGAGAAAAGCCCTGCTCCTTTCTCTTCAGACACTTCCCCTTGGAGATGTCTGGAGCTGAGATGCACTCCCTCAGCTCCCTGAGGAGTCATTGCAGAGGGGAGGTTGCTGATAGGTCATGATGCTTCCAACCTCTTGAAATGTCTCTTTGGGATGAGAGAAATCACACCCTGGATTTCTCCAAAACCACTGGCTGTGTCTGCAGTGACAGAAGAGACAAAGATGGCTGGGGCTTATGTATCCATACAGATTTTAGCATTCAGTCAGGAAAAGCAGACTCTGCTGTAAAAACACCACATGATCTCGTCAGGTAACAGAAAGAAAGGAAGGCAATACTCAACCATGTTTGAAGACATTGTTCTTGCTTTACAGAACGATGGTGATATGAAAATACCACATCAAAGGAACTCACTGAATTCCCACTTTCCTGATTTGTTTCTGTCTTTGATTCCCCAAATATTTTGTAGGGCGAGTTCGTTTGTTTGATTGTTTGTTTCCAAAGTTGTCCAGAACCAGTTCCCTCAAACAAAGTTTATTTATCTTTTCCTTTCTCAACACTTTCCCTTCCTCTGGATCCCAGAAATCCCAGTGAAGTTCGCCAAGAAGCTGGAAGCTGTCAAGGCTGAGATTGGGGGCAGTGTCTCCCTGAGCTGTGAGCTGAGCCACCCCAGGGGGAAGGTGACCTGGTGCAGGAACGGAGTCGAGATCAAGCCCAGCAAACGTTTCCAGGTTCACGAGGAGGGGGTCAAACGGACCCTGACGATAACGGGGATCCGGGCTGAGGATGAGGGGGAGTATTCCTGTGAATCCAGAGATGACAAGAGCAGCATTACCATCACCCCCAAAGGTACATGTCTAGTGGTGACGGTGTTGGAGGGATCCTTGGGTTCTGTCCTCAGCCATTACAGCTCTGCAAAGCTGAGTTTGTTCATGTGTCTGTGTTGTCTCATGTGTTGAGAGCAAAATACAAACCCCCCTTTTCCTCTCAATGTCACTGGAACTCTGTTTGTGAAAAACATAATGATTTCGAGACCTGTGGAGCTCAGGTCTCTTAATATTGACCTTGATGTTGCATTTGAGGCTGGAATTCAATATCTCAAATCTAAGATGGGTTTCCCCCCCCCTTTGTTTACCTCTGGCTTCTGACCTCTTTATGTACAAAACTTACTCAGACATGAGAAACATTCAATGATGACCCATTGTTGTGATCATTCACAGTGAGCAATGAAGGTGACCAGTGGCAGAACCCGAGGGGAGTGGCCTGGAGCTCTGTCAGGGCAGAGTTAGGTTGGATATTAGGAAAACGTTCTTCCCCCAGAGGGTGGTTGGGCACTGAACAGCCTTCCCAGGGCAGTGGGCACAGTACCAAGGCTGACAGAGCTCCAGGAGCTTCTGGATGATCTTCTGGGGCACGGGGTGTGACTCTTGGGGACGGTCCTGTGCAAGGCCAGGATGGACTGGGTGATCCTTGTGGGTTCCTTCCAGCCCAGCATATTCTGTGAAACATGAATGATTCCAATAAAATCAAAGGTTTTGGCTCTTTGAAGGTGCTCATGCCACGCCTGAAAGATTTGCTCTAAGTGTTTTATTCCTATCCATCAGCTCCCAGAGTGGTGAAATTTGTCACCAGCCTCAACAGTGTGGTGTCTGAGGAAGGAAAAGAGGCCGTGTTCAAGTGCACCGTCTCTCCCAGCGACGCCGTGGTCACTTGGCTCAGGAACGGCGTCAAGATTGAAGCCAGCAAGAAGTATGTGATCTCCCAGAAGGACACCAACCACAGCCTCACCATCACTGACCTGACACTGGAAGATGCAGCTGAAATCTGCGCCAGTGCTGAGGGTGTGGAGAGCACAGCCAACCTCAGAGTCCGAGGTGAGAGGTGGTAATGCCCCTTTTTACAGGCTGCCCTGCCCACGGGGGTGGAACTAGATGATCCTTCCCAACCCAAACCATTCTATGATGATGATTCTACAATGTTGTTTTATAATAATGTGTAGTAGGAAAACTCTGCCTTTGCATCATTAAATAGGGATACTCAGAACGCTTTGGGACTGGAGATATATGAGCCACCGTCCTAATTTTCCTCTGAAAACCTGTTTTCTGGATTATCTACTTTCTTACTAAAATTTCTTCTCCTTTGTCAGAGGCCTCGATCTCGTTCAAGAAGAAACTGGAGCCCAGAACAGTTGAAGAGAGGGAGACAGTGACCTTGGAGGTGGAGCTGACCAAGCCTGCAGAGGTGAAGTGGATGAGGAACAGCATCGTGCTGAAGCCCAGTGACAAGATAGAGATCAAAGCTGAGGGAACAAAGCACACCTTGGTGGTGAAGGACATCTCCTTTGCAGACAGGGGCTTCTACTGCTGTGAGAGCCCTGATGACAAGACCCAAGCCAAGATCAACGTGGAAAGTAAGTTCAGTGATCTCCAGTTCTATAAATACCCTGGCCAGGGTTTGGAGGTGGATTCTGGTCTCTGCCATTATCATGGAGACACAGGGACACAACCATGGGCTTGGCCACTAGCCAAATGACCAAGTGGAGGTGAAAGAAAGGGCAGCAAACAGGGAATGTCTGGCTGACTGCTCTTGCCTGCATCTCATCCCACCAGCTTTCAGTCATTCTGTTGACCATCAAACTTCTTACCCATTCTTCTCTTTCCTCTGAAATTTCCCACTCTAGTGGGCTCTATGTTTTTCCTTTGTATGTTTTTTTTTAGCAAACCATTCCCTCTTCAGCCATTCATTGTCTAAATTTTCCTCTGCAAGCAACCTCTTTCAGAATGTCTCTTTATGTTCAGTCAGGGTCAGAAAAACTCCAAGAGCAAATCTTCTATGTGAGGGTGTTGTTCTTTGAGGTCATTTAATGATACTTCATCTGTAGCTCTGTATTTCTGTCCTTTTTCCTACATCCTTTTGTCATGATTGTCAGAAGACAGATGAAGACAGGATTTAAGGACAACCCACCTCAGGCATGTTTGCATTCTTATCCTGGCTGAATTACCGGATTATCTCTGCTAAACATGCATTAGGAAGGTCGAAATATTCCCAGGAGACCCTTTGAGAATTGAAGGTTCTTGTGAATAATTCATGGCTTTTTAGAGGGTTGGGGGTTTAGTATTTTTTTTAATTGGTGTTTTTGGTGGGTTTGTTTGGTTGTTTTGTTTGTTGTTTTTTTGTTTGTTTGGTTGGGGGTTTTTTTGGTTTTTTGTTTTTTTTAATTGGTAACTTAATTACTTCTAGTGGTGAAACAAGTTTAAATACTAAATCCATTTTACTGGCTGATAGGACATGGATGTCTTGTCACAAGAACAGGTAATATCCACCCAAACCACGGATACTTTTCCCCCCTCAAGCTGTGAGGTGTCAGTACACTTTGCACCATGTCACAAATTTTTTTTTCCTTTTACTAAAGGCTTTTCTCTCCCCCTGTTACTTCTTTCCATTGTTTTATCCTAGTTGGAGAACTGCACAATATTGTAGTGCATTAATTTTATTGTGTTTTTTTTTCTTTTTACTAAACCTGGTGGACCTTGATAGGAAAGGGGCCAGATTGCCCTTTTTCTGTGATATTTGGTTGACCTGTTTGTCAACCAGCTGAAAACATCCATGCTAAAAATAGCAACCATGTGCAGGTTTTATTTCCTGTAAAAGTGGTTGTTTAATTGGCAGATACCAATTAATTGGCAAGCACCTGCGTGGGGAATGGGGAAATAATCCATTTTGGAAATCCTCAGGATATTTCACAGCTGTCAATTGTGAGATCTCCAATTTTTCCACGGTGTTTTCCAGTGAGGCAGATCAAACTGGTGAAAGGCCTTCAGCCCCTGGAAGTTGCTGAGAAAGGGACTGTCACCTTCGAGGTGGAGGTGTCACACGAGGATGTGGAAGGGACCTGGCAGAGGGACGGAGTTCGGCTCAAACCCGCACCCAACGTCAGCTTTGGCATCCTGGGCAAGAAACACTCACTGACTCTTTCCTCGGTGGCCCTTGAGGATGCAGGGGTCATCTCCTTCAAGGCAGAAGGCATCAATTCATCAGGGAGACTCACTGTGACAGGTACACTGACCCAAAAGGCTCAGACTCTGCTTGGTGTGGACATGGTTGTTCTTCTCCTGACCTGGAGAGCAAACTCGAGAGGTCAACCAGCCACCCTTGTAACTGCAAGGGGTGTTAAGCACTGGACCACCACCAGTAACATACCCTTATATCATCAGCATTATTGCAGCATCACTGTCCACAGAACAACTCATGATAAAGTGCCCAAAATGTGATGATTCTGTTGTCATGGGTTTTATTAACCATGGAAACCAGGCCTTGCCTACCCATTAGTGCTCATGTCAGACGTCCTCCTGCAAACCTCATTCCCCACTCATTGGACCTTCTCTTTGTTGCTTTTTTTTTTTTTTGTCAGAATTGCCTGTGAGAATCAGCAAACCTCTGGTGGATGTCAGTGTGACTCAGAAACTCAAGGCCACATTTGAGTGTGAGCTGTCCAGGCCCAATGTGAATGTGAAGTGGTTCAAGGTACGGTGTTAATGGATAGTGATATTTTAATTCCCTACTTCTCTGGAAGGGAATGAGAGCCTTTATTTTGACTTCCAGGGGATGTGAGTCTGAGCCTTGGCAATACAGCTCTTGGCATTGCCCTCTTGTCCTTATGTTGATTTACTCTCCTGCTTTATCACTGTTTTTTATTTACTGGGTGTGTTTATTGGGTTTTAAAGTTAAACTTCTTTATTCCCATACAAAATGTGAGTACTGCTGTTATAACAATGCAGTTTTGTGCTTTACTTCATGCCTAGCAGTTCTCACCCAGCATTTACGAGGTCTTTTGGAACCGTGATTGAAGGGAAACCTCAGTTTCCTTTGTCAGTGAAAGTCCAGTTCCCTTTCCCTTGACATTTTGTGGATCAGCTCTTGCATTTCATGTACCTTCCTTGGGCTTAGCTGATACTTTCCTTAATTTGGGATAACAACAATTCTTCAAGATAATCATAGAATCACAGAACAGTTTGGGTTGGAAGGGACCCTTAAAGGTCACCTAGTTTCAACCCCCCTGCAATGAACAGGGACATGTTCAGCTAGATCAGGTTGCTCAGAGCCCTGTTCAACCTGACCTTGACATTTCCAGGAATGGGACATCCACCAACCTCATTGTAAAAAACTTCTTTCTTATATCTAGTCTAGATCTACCCTCTTTTAGTTTAAGACCATTTGTGTCTGAAGGGGCTTACTGCCAAACCCTGTGCAGTGTTTTAAGCCTTCAAATAGGTGTCTGAGACCATCAAAAAGTTATGTGAGTTCTTCAGCCACTCCAACTTGTTGAAAGCTTTTTGCCATGCTGATGTTGCACCACATGTTCCATTAAGTCCAATGAGGCAGGTGAACAAAACACAGCTCTGAATGTCTGTTTTGCTCACTGCAGATGTTCAAGAGTAGATGGTGATCTGGTTTTGGCCTTTTCCCCTTCTAGGATGGGAAAGAGATCCGTCAAAGTCAAAACGTGGGGTTTGTTTCCCAGGGAAATAAGAGAAGCCTCATTATTCACAAGTGTGAATATGAAGACCAGGGAACCTACAGCTGTCAAGCAGCTGAAGACAAGACATCAGCTACTCTAAAGGTTCATGGTATGTTTGGCTGAAGTAGGAAATTACATTTACTGCAGTATTTTTGGCCACACAGCGAGAAATTCTTTGTGGACAGTTTATGTATTTCATAATTGCTCATTTTGGTTAAGTTTCTCTTCCTAGTGAGGAAGTGCTGGCAGAGCTCTTCTGTGCTTGCTGTATCATTCCAGTAAAAAAACATCTAGTTTTCCATTTATCTTTAGTTATTTCTATTCTCTAGAATTTCAGTGGTGTTTCTGGATTGACACATTAACAAATCCTGGACAGCCTGGCACAAAGCAGGGATTCAATGGCTGGTGCTGATGTGGTTTGGTTTAATTTCTGCCATTGTCACAGGGGGACTTTGCCTGAACAGGAACTAGATAAATTTTGAGTATGAGCTAAAGAGGTGCCCTAATTTTTAGGTTGTAAATGCTAAAGAGATGTTCATTTTTTCTGCCTGCACCTCTCCTTTATGCACCAAGCAGCTGCTCAAGCACCAGGAGTATTTGGTCACCAGGCTCTGAAGCACCAGAGATAAGCTGGTGCTAAGGGCAAGTTACTCAACAGACAGGTTTGCTGTGCCCTGGCAGAGGTTATTTCCCAGAGGGACATATGAAAAATAGATCTTGCTGGAAAATAGAGCATCCTTCTTATTGCTTACTAGCTGCTGTCCTCATGTGGCCGTTTGGGTTTAGCAATATCTTCTCAAACGTGTGCCCTGTTTCCTTGCTCTGTTGAGCTCCCCCTTTTCTCCCTGATTTTGTGATTGGGAAGGGTTGTTGTTTGCACTTCTCTGCTCCTGAGGCTGATCCAAGGGGTATCAAGGCCTTCCCTTTCAAAAGGAAAGGGCTGCAATAGCACAGAAATACAGAGCAGTTCTGACAAAGTGAGTGCCAAACTGTTAAAGAGGATTATACTGAGTTCAGAACACTCTGCAGAAAAGGCTTTTCCTGGGTGGAACAGGAGAGCGTGAAGAGGAGCACATGAATGAGACAGATTTATAGTGACCCTCAAAACTGTAGGCTTGTGTTTAGTTTTTCCTTGGCAGATTCTCTTGCATTAACATGTTTAACATCTTTTAAAACCTGTATGAAATTCCAGCACCCACAAAATCCTTCTGCAGTGAGCTCCAGTGTAGCTGGTATTTCTACCTGCCAGTTCAAGCATAAAATGTATTCACTGTCTTAAGGTGAGAACTCCCGAGGAAGGGAGGCTGGGCTAGAACAAAACACAATCCCACTTTTTTCTGTGCATTTATGCAGGAGGCAAACACCCCACACTTGGGTATGGAGAAACCCCGAATAAATATTTCTCTCTTTGGTTTCACAGCCCGAGATATCAAGATTGTAAAGCCACTGGAAGATGTGGAAGTGAATGAATACGAGAGTGCATCCTTTGTCTGTGAGATTTCACATGATGAGGTCGAAACCCAGTGGTACAAAAATGACAACAAGCTGAAGACTTCAGACAATATCAAAATGCGACAGGATGGTAGGAGGGAAAAGAGGGATCTCCTTCTCGAATGGGGGTGTGTTGGGATGGGAGACTAGAAAAAAGGGTGTGACCTCCAAAATCAGGTTAAGAAGGTTCAGCAGAGGGTCCTGCTTTGGTTTTGGGGCTGCAGCTGTGCTGGGATAGTGTTGTGGTTGGGAACTTAAACAAGGCAAATTTGGTGTCATCCCAAATGACAGCAGTGGGTAGGAATTCATATCATCAGGCAGTGGGTGGGATTCTTCTGTTTCAAGCTCTTTCCCAATGGTGTGAGGGTGATGTTAAGTCAGCCTTTGGAGGAGTTGAGCTTGGGTTATCCTCTGGTACAGGGACACGGGGGAATGGTTGGCCCTGCAGCCGTGAGAGCAGGTGGTGCTGAGCTCAGACCAGATGGGGGATGCTCAACCTGGCAGAGCTCCTTGGAGGGTGAAGCTGTTTGCTCCAGGGAAACTGAGCAGTGTCTGGTTGTGTGTCTGTACTCAGGGAAGACCTACTCTCTGACCTACGCCCGTGTCCACGTGGAGGATGCGGCAGAGATCAAATTTGTGGCAGAAAAGGCAGAATCTCGTGCTCAGCTGACCGTAAAAGGTAATCACGATTTTCGTGCCAGTGCTGCTCATGCTCTCTCACATTACAAACCAACCAACCTCCCTGTGAAGAAAGCTAAACAACACCTGCAGCTCCCAGGGGAAGACAAATTCCTGCCTGCCTTACTGCCCGTCAGATATCAGCCTGGGAATTTGCTTTGGCTAAATAACAGTTAATTTTCTCAGAAGGCTGGTTTTGTACCTTTTAGACACTAAAAGTTGTGTGAGAAATTGAAGGGACAAAAAACTGTTCCTTTTCTCCTGCATTTTCACTTTCTTGTGTACGTTATAATAGAAAACAGTATTTTTTGTGTGTGTTTAACTAAAACAATGTGGTAGAGTGAGAGAGAAGGAAGACATTTGAATTAACCCACTGATCAGGAGCTCAGTAAATAGGTGATCAGTCCTCGGCTTTGCCACAGCACTGCTGTGTAGTGTTGAGGGAATTACCTTTATCTCTGCAGTTCAGCCACTCAAGTGGTAAAATAGGGAGGAAAAACTTCCCTTTAATCAGCCCTTTACTTGCTGTGTGCCAGTTGAGTGCTGAACATACTGGGGATCCCTGTCAAATAACTGCCCACAAACGAAATATTCCTAATGAGTTTTTAACTGGCGCCTGTCATGGAAACCGCACCGATAACTCCATTTTTTTAAAATTTTTTTTTAAACTTTTTTTTTTTTTTAGAGTTGCCTGTAAAAATAGTGAAGCCTTTGAGAGATAAGATCGCCCTCGAGAAGCACCGGGGGTTCCTGGAGTGCCAAGTGTCTCGTGCCAACGCCAAGGTCAGGTGGTTCAAAAGGGACGTGGAAATTCGCCCCAGCGACAAATACGAGATCGTGAGCGAAGGCGTCTACAGGAAACTCATCATCAACGACGCCGACTACGAGGATGAGGACACCTACACCTGTGATGCCTTTGACGACAAAAGCAGTGCTAATTTCTTTGTTGAAGGTAGAGAACCCTCTCTTCGCCTCTGGAAGGAGGATTGGCCAACTGCCTTTGTGTTCGGAAACACGATACCACAGAAAGAAAGTGTTTTTAATTCAATGTTGGTTTATTATTGAGTCCATTGGTATTGAACCCTTTCAGGATTATCAGCGCAGGAACATCCTGAAAAATTAATATATGGCATATTCTCCTAAGGAAAGTGATGAAATTCCTGTTCCAGAGAAGCTTGTCAAGTGTATTGCAGGAAGCTGGTTTTTCAGAAAAACGATGCAGTTCCTTGTGTCAACATCTGCATTTCGATGAACCCTTTTTTTTTTTTTTCATTTTGTAGTGCCACAAGTTTGATACCAGGATAGAAAGGTGGCTTTAGAAACAGGGCTGGGAATCAGGAGATATGGATTTTTGAGGCAGTGGTTGCAATCTCACTGTCTGGCCTGTGACCAGATAGATATAGTTGTTTTTATGTAAATATATACATATATATATAGCTGGTTTTATATATATAAAAGGATATTTTAAGGCCTTTCGAGATAATAAGTTCAGTATTGAAGAGGAGGAAAGACGGCATCAGTGTTCAGGTTGATAATGGAAAAGTTTTCATGACTCCTAAATCCCTGCTCTCTTGTTCCATGCAGAGCAAGCCATTAATATCGTGAAGGAGTTGTGTGATGAGGATGTGACTGAGCCTGAGGAAGCCAATTTTGAATGTGAGACATCCATTCCATCTGTGAAACCCGCCAAGTGGTTTCTACGTGGAGAAGCTTTACAGCCTGGCAGAAACTTCATCATGCAGCAGGAAGGCACCATCCACAGGCTGACAATAGTGAAAACAAGTGCTGATATGACAGGAACCATCCAGTTCTCCATTGGCAAATCAAAATCTACAGCAAACCTGCTTGTCAGAGGTATTGTGACATGTCCTGGCTTGAATTAGAAAGCAATTTGTCATACGTGCTGTCTAATGTGCAGTATCCACTGGGTTCTTGGAAATGTGTGTGTACCTGGAAGATCTGCTTAGTTCCCAATTGCAATTTGCAGGGAGCAATGTCGGGCACACTAAATGAGCCAGTAATGTTTTAGGAAGGGATCTGATTAAATGACTTTGGTGTCCTTGGTATTCAAACCTGATATTAAAATCCGTCACGCTAAAACTGGTTTGGGATTTATTTTTGTCCTCTTGACTTTACCAAAGAGGACAAAACAGATGAAATTTGCCAGGAGAGTTTATTTTGTCCCATTTCTGAACTAGACAAGTTTGATAGCTCATTTACTTAATTCATGTTGTCGTTGACTTGATCCAGGAAAAAGCTTCAAGGCTTTTTGTCTTCCGCTGTCACCATGGCAAATATGTCCAATCACATCCTGAAGTCCTTGTTTTGTCTTTAATTTGCTCTTACTTGAATAAAAACTTCAATTAGAGAGCAATTCTGTGGGCACTGAACCAAAAGTGGACTATGAATTTGGTGCTTAATGTGTGATATTATCTTATAGAATGAAATTTGTAGGATCTATAGATCATCATGATGATGTAGCTTCAAAGCACATCAGCTCTATGAGACACTTGAGCAGTTCGTAAAACAGTTGTGAACATCATACGTGAGATTAATCAGCACGAAATACAGACTAAAAACCTCCTTTTTCTCCAGACTGATCCTTTGTTCTTTCCCAACCCTGCAGATTACCACATACAGATCACCAGGAAGCTGGAGGACAAGACCGTCCTGGAGAAACACTCGGCCGTCCTGTCCTGTGACTTCAGGCCCTCTCCAAAGATTGTGAAGTGGTTCAAGGACCACGTGCTCATCGAGCCCTCTGAGAAGTACAAGATCAAGCGGGAGCAATACTCAGCAGAGCTCAAGATCTTGAAGGTGAAGCCTGAAGATGCCGGAATGTACAAGTGCCGGGCTGGGAATGCAGAGACCAGAGCCACACTCACTGTCGAAGGTACGAGAGTTTTCCAGCAGCAGGGCTTGCCTGTTGCATGTCTTCAGGGCTCACTGTTTCACTCCGGATTCCTCTTCTTGAGGTGGATTCCCATGTTTATCTTCTAATTTTATATAAATGCAATGTCTTTGGTGAACTGACATTCCATGACACTGAAATCCAGCCCTTGCCATGAAGTAGGTGATGCATGTGGAAAAGCACCAGCTGGGTGATGTAGAAATTAATGTTTGTCAAGGCACATTATTTTCTATTGCATCAGAGCAATTAGACTTCTGGTGCTTCTAACAAAAAATGTTCTTTATGTTAAACTGCACAGGTCGTTGATTCTGGTGGTCTTGGCTGTGGTTTTCATTTCCTGACCACTGTGTCAGCCTTTATATCTGCTATACATTTTTATATCTGCTATACATTTTTATATCTGCAACAGATACATGTCACAGCTGCTATTTTATATCTGCATATATTTGTTATTCATAATGACATTCTCCTCCCTCATCTGGGTGTGGAACTGTATTTAGCCAGTTCTTCCCCTCTGGTGAAACTAAGAAAAGCTGTTCACTGCTTTTGGCAAGACTTGGAGACGAGCCACAGAATCATTTCTAAAAGCCCAGGGAGCACCTCTTGTTTGCAGTTTGGCCTTGCAGAGGTTCTTCACTGAATGTGTTGTCAAACACTGAAATGGGCTTCCCAAGGCAGTGGTGGAGTCACCTGAAGGCATTTAAAAGATGTGACCCTTGGGGACATGGTTTAGTGGTGGCCTTGGCAGTGCTGAATTAACAGTTGGACTCGATGATCTTACAGGTCTTTTCCAACCTTGATGATTTTATGGTTCTATTCTATCTGAACAACAGAATTATTTAATACTCCAAACCCTTTCTCTGAGTTGTCTAATCCTTGAGAAACAACATTCCCTGGGCAGAGAAACTGCAAAGAGAAACCTCTGGCCAAGGGCTGGGAAAGAAAATAATCAAACTCGTTGCTTCTTAAACCTAAGCAAGCTACTTAATCTCTTTGTACTTTTCCTTTGTGGCCAAAATTATTGCCTTCATCTTGTCCTGTGTCATAGTTTCACTGGAAGAGAATCAAGGACAATTTGATCATAACATGTTTGTGTGTGTGCAGTGATTAGAACTCAGGGGCTGGAGCTCCGTGGGATACTTAGACATCTCTGTAACATCACTTTAGAAAGATTGACTTATTTTTAAATTAAAAAGGGAAAGGAAAAAAAGAAAACCTGATTTATGTATAAAAAGAGAACTGAAGGTTCTAAACAATATACTCTTTTCGATGGATTTTTTTTGTTGTTGTTGTTGGAGCAAATGCAGAACCAAGCAGATGAAATGAGGTGATCCACAGTGTGAAGGAGACCAGACTAAATCACCTGATTAACCCTAAACAGTATGAAATTGTCAGTGGTAACAGCTGATTTATGATAATGGTGCTGATGGTGCCCCTTGGTCTTCCGCAGCCCGGAACGTGGAAGTCCTCAAACACCTGCAGGACGTGGAAATTGAGGAAGACAGCTCTGCCGTGTTCTCCTGCGAGCTGTCCCACGACGACGAGGACGTGGAGTGGTTCCTCAACGGCACCCTCCTCTACACCAACAACTTCAACGACATCAAGAACGTCGGCAAGGTCTACACGCTCACCATGAAGCAGGTGAAGCCTGAGGACGCTGGCACGGTGACAATGAAGTCAGACAAGGTGTCAGAGAGCGTGAGGCTGAAGGTCATAGGTGGGTTGTGATCACACTCCTCCTGAATGCAAATAAGAGATGCCAATGAGATATTATTTACCATATCCACGCAACAATCCTGCTTAAAAACTTCATCCCTCCAGGACTGAGTGAAAGGCATGGAGGGGTTTTCTTCCGGTGTGAATTTCTCTTGTGGTTGGTCATTTTTCTAGGGAAAATTGTTTTCATGTCCTGCCAAAATTTTCCATAGATCTTTTCCATCCTTTCACTCATTTCAGGCATTGGAATGGGCTGCCCAGAGAGGTGGTGGATTCACCATCCCTGGAGATTTTTAAACGCAGATTGGACGTGGCACTGAGTGCCATGATCTAGTAAATGGACTGGATTTGGACCAAGGGTTGGACTCGATGATCTCGGAGGTCTTTTCCAACCCAATCGATTCTATGATTCTATGATTCATCAGGATAGTCTCAAGAGCAATCTTCTGTACTTGTAGGTCTCTTCAGCACTATATAGTTGATAAATTGTTGTTTCCAAAGATTTATGGCTGCAGGGACCTGAGGTTCGGTGTACCCCCAAGAGTAGGGCATGCTGAGTTGGGGGAGGTTTAGGCTGGATATCAGGAGGAAGTTTTTCACCCAGAGGGTGGCTGAGCACTGTAACAGGATCCCCAGGGCAGTGGTCACACCCCAAGCCTGTCTGAGTTCAAGAAACATTTGGACAATAGCCTCAGGCACATGGTGGGATTGTCGGAGTGTCCTGTGCAGGGCCAGGAGTTGGACTCAATGATCCTTATGGGTCCCTTCCAACTCAGGGTATTCTCTGATTCTCTGATTTTTAATGCATCATTTCTGGAGCTGAAATGAATCAGCAAAGAGAAGGCAGTTTGCTGCTGTCCTTCATATGTCTTAAAGTTCAGTCAAAAAGCTGAGTTTCTGTGGTTTAACATGTTCTTGTGCAGCCTCATCAAGTTTGACACCAAGATGAGTGGTGGGTTTGGGATACCATCCACAGGGACCTGGCCAAGCTCAAGAATGGGTCCATGTGAACCTCTGGAGGTTCAACAAGGCCACGTGCAAAATGCTGCACCTGGGCTAGAGCAGCCTCTGTGTGAATCCAGGCTGTGGAATGAAGGGATTGAGAGCAGCCCTGCCCAGAAGGACTCGGGGGTGCTGGCGGATGACACTGGTTTAGGTTATGCTTTGATGTCAGTAGCATTGCCATTACTTAATCTGTCTTTCAATATTTGATGATGACTGAAAGTGTTTCAACTTAGATATCCTGGTTGTTCTCTGTTTTTCCTGTTTAACCTTCAGAGAAACCTGCTGTCTTCATGAAAGCCTTGGATGACGTTTTTGGTGAGGAGCGAGGTGTGATTAAACTGGAATGTGAAGTCTCCAAAGAGAAGGTCAAACCCGTTTGGAAAAAGGATGGTGTGAAGATCCCTTCTAGTGACAAGTACGAGGAGATACAGTCTGGGAAGACCCTGTGCCTCCTTATCCACGACCTTGAAAAGACAGATGCCGGTTTATACACCTGTGACATTGGCACTGATATTGCCAAGTCAAAGGTCAGCGTTCAGGGTAAGTATTGTAGACAATGGCCAGTCAAGGGGTGCTGGAAATATGGGTGGGACCGGTAACTTGATCTCCCATCTTCTCCTGCCTAATCCTCACATAACATTGGAATGTTTGAACAATCCCTGTTACTCATTGATTTAAGTATATCTGGTGTTTCGGTGAAAATCAGGTGTCAAGAGTATAGTGACAATGTTTCCTTCTTGAACATCCATAAGGTGCAGAAATCTTCCCAGAAGAGGGAACAATTTCTCAGGAAAAATCCCAACTAACAACAAAAAAATTGACAAAAACCCCTCCAAGCAGCCCGTGTTTCTTATTTTAATTCAAAGTCCATTGCAGGAACATAAAAGTGGGACAACATGGTCTATTGAAGAACCCAGCAGTTCATCCGACCCTCTAATCCTTGTGTCCACCTGAAGGAAAAAGAATTGTTCGTGGCCTCCAAACTCATGTCAATAATGAGAAATATTTTGAGTTTGTCTGATTTGAACACAAGTTAAAAAATCCAAATGTTTCAATTCTCATATGAGCACGGAGAAGAAGCTCACACATCATCCCAGAGGCTGCTTTTCTGACATCTTTTCTCCCTTGTACCACATTAAATCTTGATTCTTCCCCACTGATTGAGCTGTTCTTCATTCAGTCCTTCTGGAGCAGAGCCACGAGATTCACATTTCCCTTTTTCTATAACTTTGTGCTGATTCTGGGTGGATAATGCCTGAGGAATCCTTCTCACGTCACAGACACCTGTGTTGTTGCAGTGTTGTCCTGCCAATCCAGCAGACAAACCACTCTTATTAAAAGTTAAAAACATCACTACTCAAAACTATCATAAACCCCTTTTTCCATTAGTTGTGTTAATCTGCTTCTCATCCTCCAGAACTGAACATCGGCATCACCAAACGGCTGAAGAACACCGAAATCCAGCTGGGAGAGGACTGCACCTTTGAGTGCATTTTGTCCCACGAGAGCATCGATGACTTCAGCTGGACGCTGAACGGGAGAAAAGTGGAGAGTGGGGGGAGGTTTAAAGCCTCCAACGCGGGTCGGAAATACACCCTCAGCATCCAAAGGGTGACTCCCGACGATGCCGGGGAGGTCGTGTTCACTGCCCGAGGTCTGACCTCCAAGGCTTCTCTGGCTGTGAAAGGTAACGAGGTCAGAAGGGTACTGGGAATTGCTTTCCTGGGCGTACTTTCATAGGGTTTGTCAGCAAGCACTTGTTGTGATCCAAGTAAATAATAAGCTTCACCGCGAGCCTTGAAGAAAGGAGATTTTTCCTTAAAAACAAGAGGAAGGTTGAAGGTTTTCATAGATATTTGAGAACTGGATACACTGGGTAGTGTGTACAGGGAATTACAAGCCAGACTGTTTTCCACAGAGATAATCATCCAAGGCTCCCTGGGTGGTCAATGGAGAGAAGAAATAGGTGATTTTCAGACATAGTTCATAACATGCAATTAGTCCTTTTTCATAGAATCAGAGAATCCCAGAATGGTTTGGGTTGGAAGGGACATTAAAGATCATCCAGTTCCACCCCCTTCCATGGGCAGGGACACCTTCCACCAGCCCAGGTTCCTCCAAGCCCTGTCCAACCTGGCCTTGGACACTTCCAGAGATGGGGCAGCCACAGCTTCTCTGGGCAACCTGTGCCAGGGAGGGGCTTTGAGCAACCTGGTCTAGTGGAAGGTGTCCCTGCAGGGGTGGAACAAGATGATCTTTAAGGTCCCTTCCAACCTAAACCTTTCTGTGATTCTATAATGTGAATTGCAAAAACCTCAACCACACAGTGATAATGATTTTTACTCAAATGTCCTTTTTTTAATTTTTCCTCTCCAGAGAAACCAACTGAGGTTATAAAACAGCTGGAGGATAAGACATCACAAGCAGGGCAGGACATCAACCTGAGCTGTGAACTGTCCAAACCTGATGTGAGCATCAGGTGGTACAAGGATGGCAAAGCAATCCGAAAAAGCCAGAAATACGACCTGCAGCAAGAGGGAACACGGGCCATCCTGATCATCCATGATTCCACGGTCAAGGACAGTGGGGAATACACCTGTGAGACAGAGAGCTCCAAAACAACAGCCAGGATCACAGTGCAAGGTCAGTCAAAGAGTGAAGAGGGGCTGGCAGGGACAGAGGTTGGGGTAAATATCTGCAACCCGCTGGAGGTGTTCTTCTCTTCTGTCTCCCTAAACAGGATCAATTTTTAGTTTTCAAAAAATGCTATTGGTTAAAAGCTTAAAAAAAAAATTAGGTATGAAAAAAAACACCTTTGTAGGTACCGAAGAATCTTGTGTGCTGTGTAATGACCCGAAGAGAAAAAGCAATTTTAATTAGTCTGTTTTGGATGTGGGACATGAAAACTGTGCATGTTCTGTAACATGAGACCTCACTAGTGCCTGGACAATGGCATTAAGCTTTGCTGGAGATATTTTACCTGATCTGTCCTGTGACAGGATGTTGACCTGGTGATCTTCTTGGATCCATTCCATCTGAAAGGATGAGAGGAAATGGCCTCAGGTTGCACCAGGGGAGGCTTAGATTAGATACTAGGAAAAATTTCCTCATAGAAAGGAGGGTATTAGCATTAAAACAGGAGGTCAGGCATTAAAACAGGAGAATTGTGGAGTCACAATCCCTGGAGGAATCTAAAAGACATGTAGATGTGGCACTTGGGGACGTGGGTTAGTGGTGGACTTCGTAGTGTTAAGTTAATGGTTGGACTTGATCTTAAGAGTCTATTTCAAACTAAATGCTTCTATGATTCTTTATTCTGTAATTCTCCAAATGGGGGCAGTTGGGAATCCAAGACCACCCTGCATGCTCAGGATTAGTCTGGGCAACAAATCAGTCTGTCTCTCTCATTTTTATTTCTTTTTTTTTTTTTTTTCTGATTTGTTTTTTTCCTTCCAGAAAAACCTAATTATTTTGTCAAGGAGCTTTCAGACCTGAAAGTCGATGAGAGTGGAACCGCAGTTTTCACGTGCCAGAGCGAGAGAGCTGCATCCTCTGTGGTCTGGAGGAAAGGCATCGCTGAGCTCAGGGCCGGCAGGAAATACGAGATCACACAGAAAGGACAAGACCTCCAGCTGACCATAAAGAACCTGGAGAAAAGCGACAGTGACACTTACAGCTGTGACATTGGTGATGCCCAGTCCAGAGCCAAGCTGGTCGTGCAAGGTACGGATGGGAGGAATGTGACTGTACATCCCATTTCTCCGTGGGAAACATTATATGCACAGGCACACCCGTTTCTCTGCATGTGGGTGGCAGATCCATGGATTTCTGGCTCTGGCTCGCCCATGATGTAAGGAATATGTAGGGGAAAATATAGACGTGGAGCTGGACATGCCAAGTAACTTGAAGCAATTACACCTGGAGTGTTTTGGGTGTGATTTAACCCCAAAATGCTGGTGTGAGGAGGGGCTGGTGTTTCTCTGTGAACATACAATGGACAGGGTTCAGAGAGCCTGCTGTTAGAAAATCATTCTGCATCCAGGCTTTTCTTTGTATCCCTTGATGCCTCTTCCCAGTAGTGGTTTCTAAGAGGTGATGGGTTAATAATGATCCATAGAATTACAGAATGGTTTGCGTTGGAAGGGATCTTAAAGATCATCTCATTCCAACCTCCTGCCGTGGGCAGGGACGCCTTCCACTAGCCCAGGATGCTCCAGGCCCATCCAACCTGGTCTTGGACACTTCCAGGGATCCAGAGGCAGTCACAGCTTCTCTGGGCAACCTGTGCCAGGGCCTCCCCACTCTCACAGCCAAGAATTTCTCCCTAAAATCTGATCCAAACTTGCTCTCTTTCAGTTAAAGCCATTCCCCCTTGTCCTGTCCCTCCAACGACCTTATCCCAAGTCCCTCTCCAGCTCTCCTGGAGCCCCTTTAGGCCCTGGAAGGGGCTCTCAGCTCTCCCTGGAGCCTTCTATTCTCCAGGTGAACCCCCCCAGCTCTCCCAGCCTGGCTCCAGAGCAGAGGGGCTCCAGCCTTTGGAGCATCTCCAGGGCCAGAATCTTTAAGTGCTTCATATCCCTCTGCACCTCAGAGGTGAAGGGAACAACCCAACCTCCATCTGAAGAGCACTACCAGTACAGTAGGGTTTTTTTGGCTCTCTGGGCAGTTAATGAGCTGTGGTGGCCAATGCTGGTGGTAGGGCAGTGTTTGAGGGGAGGAAGGGAAGGCTGGTTGTTACTGTTCCTCACAGGTCTCAGGATGGGAGAAACCCCTGAGAGGAAATAGATAAAACAATGAAGAGAACAGGAGAAATTATTCCAGAACAGTCAGATGGAGATGTCCACTGTGGCAGTGTCCACTTGCTAATTGTTATGTTTTCTAAAGACAAGGGGGTGAAGTCAGACTCCTCCATCTCTGATCATCTGCTAGAACAGATGTTGAGAAGCAAAGAAATGTGTTTAATCCTCCCCATAATGCCAGGCTCTGAGCTACCTGAATTCACTGTGATCTTTCTAACAGCAGCTTTTCTGAGTGGACAAAATACTTAACTGTCAAGAAGATAAAACTAAAAAATCTCTTTACTAGTTTTGTAAGTAGGAGGAATATCAGAGGTGTTTTTGTATACAGCAATAACCTTTTTTTATGTATATTTATAGTTAGGTTTATCTTTATATATATATATATATTTATATATTTATTTCTAGTTAGGTGTATATCTGTTTATACAGGCAGGTTTTCGGGGCAGATGTTTTGTTTCTTTTTACCAAAGCTGCAGTCAGACACTCTCTCCCCTTCCCACTGTGCTTATGGTTGTACTGAGCTCAAAGAAGGTGAAGGCTCTGTGGTCCCATCCCATAGAAATGAAATTATATTTGCTCTAGAAAAAAACAGAAATTGTCACGGGAGGGATTATCTGCTCAGTGATGTCTAGAGCCCAACAATGCTGTCAGAGACCCACCCTTTCAAACTTTCCAGGTAGTTTAATTAGGAGAAGGTTTATAACACTGGATCTGCATTCTACTTGTTCTGCTTTATGTTTTCTGGTGCTTTAAAGTTGTCCTCATCCTATTTTAGTGTGTGTGTCCTGTATATATTCTCTTCCTGTTGAGTGGGTTTTATGTTCAGTATCAGGGGGATTATGTTTCAGTCTTCTGTATCATGAACATATTTCTTTCTTGAAAAAAAAACTCACATGGGAAATCCTGAGAATTTTCCATATGGCTTTTCATGCTAGAAGCAGAAGATTCCAGTAATTGATGTATCTATGTTCCTTTCAGGCCAGAAAGTGCTAATAACAGAAGACCTGGAAGATGTCACTGTGTTAGAAGGAGAATCTGCCACGTTCAAGTGCAGAATCTCTCCCGTAGACTGTAGCAGAGTGCAGTGGTTTTTGGATAAAACCCCACTCCATACCAATGAACTTAATGAGATCCAGTCCCAGCCTGGGGGATATCACCTGCTAACGCTGAGAAAGCTCTCACTGAAGGACTCGGGGGTCATTACATTTGAAGCTGGTGATAAGAAAACATCTGCCAGTTTGGTTGTGAAAGGTAAATCCGTCATAAAAAACCTGCAGGAGAGGAAAATAACGAGGGGAAATAAGCGGGGTTAACGTGGGTAGGTGGAAAAAAAAAATAAAAAGGAAAAAAGAAAGGACAAAAATGCTACAAATTTAGCCCCATCATATGTATATCTGTCTATGTTCAAGAACAGAATCACTTATATATAATTAAATTACAGCTGGAGAATGAACACTTTGTAATCCTGGACAACCCTTGGAGTGTTTATTGGATCTTAGGTGGGAATGTTATTCTGCAGTGATGGTACATTGGAGGCCTAGTTCAGTTTTCCTGAAGTGGGCTGATAAGGTGCTGATTAACGAGGAGGAATCAATTAATTCGATGAAAAAAAAGTGCAAGCAATAAGTTTTAAATTTGGTTTTTCGCTGTTTGAAAGGCAACATTGCATGTTGTTCTCTGCTATTCATTCTTGACAATGGATTGTTTTCTCTGGAAAAGTTAAAGTGAGTTAAAACTGCAGTGTTAGTCTGCTTCTACGGCAAGGAAACGAAATGAATGCCAAACAGCCCAAGAATGTGGGATTAGAGACAAGTTTTCTTCCTGGAAATGTAAATATTTCTGTTGCCCAGAGATAAAAAACACACAGTCTCCCCCGTGTCAGATCACGGCCTCGTTTTTCACAACCACCTCGTTTATTTCAAAGAATATTTTTCTTTTTTCAGAGTTTGAAAAGGTACCCAAATTTTTCCAACCTACAGAAATGAAAATAGATTATTATGTTTGTGGTTGGTGGGGTTTTTTTTTTTGGGGGGGGGGGGGTTTGGGTTGGGTTGTGGGGTTTTTTTGTTGTTTTGTTTTGCTTATTTTCTGAAGGAAAATGAAAGGTTTTATTTGCAAAAGACTAGTATGTAATGTTGTAGTACCATAACCAGGTTTTGCTCTCCTGATTGATTGAATTTTTAGGAATTAAAAAGCCTTAAGCTGGGAGGGAGGAGATTTACATTGGCCAATTTAGCTACTGGTATCTACCTTAGGTTACTTCTATAAGCTGTGTAGAAAGATAAGCACTTCCAGGGAGTTTCTCTGTCCCACTGGCCTATTTTGGAATTAAATATTTGGTTTCTGGAGGTGTGTGTCACCTTCCAGAGGCTACAGAAACATCCTAAATGACCTATCTGAGCTATCTGATTTTTAGAGGACTTGTTCTACTGAGATCTGCTCTAGATGAGAGAAACCTGTATTGCACCTCAATTCATGAAGAATTAACTTTTCCACATTCATGTAAAAGGTTCAAACTAATCAGCTACCATGGGAAAAGGCTTAGAAAAATTGTGCTTCAGTCTTATTGCTATTTACTGGGAAGTGAGAGAGGTTTTATTTATGTTCCTCAACAGGAATATTGTCTTCTCAGTTTCTCCCAGATGTCAATGGGTATTTAAACAACAGTTTATGGCATCACTGGTGCTTCCTGAGGCTTTAGGGACACAAACACCAAATTATTTGTCAATAACCTTGACCTGCAGCTTTGATACAAGTAATCCTGGATGCAAATCTCGTGGATTACTTGTGACCTGAGAATCCACACCTCTTCTGAAACATCTCAGATGGGTTTTATGTGATTCTAGAGAAGCCCTGAGCCTTCACAAAGGAGCTGATTGATACTGGAGAGTGTGAGAGAGAGGATGTGATCCTTCCTTCACTGTGAAACCTCCAAATCAGACAGGCCTGTAAAGTGGTGCAAAGGTGGGAAGAGCCTCAGGAATTCTTCCAAGTACAACATCATCTGGTTGGGATTTGAAGCCAAGTTTGTTGTTCACAGGGCAGAAGAGACAGTGGCAGATGTGAGTGTGAGGCTGGAGCAGTTAAAAGCAGTGCAGTTATTACTGTCAGGGGTAATAACTTGGAGTTATTAATTAATATTATAATTTTGGAGTGATAGTTTGGGTCCTAAATCATCACCTAACATCTAGGTCAGAGTAATTAATGGCAGGAGATGCCATCCTGTTTGATAAGACAAGGGGTGATGGTTTTAAACTAAAAACCATTTAGATTAAAACCAGTTTAGATTACGTGTAAGGGAGAGGTTTTTTACAATGAAAGTGGTAAAACACTGTAAGAGGTTGCCCAGAGAGGTGGTGGATGCTCCATCTCTGGAAACATTCAAGGCCAGGGTGGATGGGGCTTGGAGCAACCTGATGTGGTTGAAGACGTCTCTGCTCATTGCAGGGGGAGTGGGTTTGATGACCTTTAAAGGTCCCTTCCAACCCAAACTCTTCTATGATTCCATGATCTAAAGGGTTATTATCTAAGCTGAAGCAAAAGTTCTCTTCTTAGATGAGCCTTTAGTGCAATTCTCTGAGTTAGAACTGGGTTTATCTATAATCACCTCACAATTGCTCCTGCCTGTCCTGAGTCATTGCCCCAGCCTGAGGTTTAGGAGGAGCTCAAGTTTCTGTGCCTTAAATCACCTGGGCAGGTTTGAACAGGTACAGAAGGCTGTTAAAGGCACAGGCTGTGTTTAACCAGAGCAGTGGATATCCTGTGTAGTATTTGACACATGGAATGCAGGAACAGAACCTGCACTGGGATTAGAGGATTCAGTGTGAACAGAGAAAGGCATTTGGGTTGTTGGAACAGTCAACCTGAACCTCAGAGCGTGGAGTTGGGAGGACAAGCTGCTCACAGGGTTTATCCAGAGCACCAAGAAACAAACCAACTTAAGCCTGAGGTCTGCTGTGCAAGGAAAGAGAAGACCTTGATGATGTAGTGAAGAAGAGGTGGTCCCAATTTTCTCTGTCCTTCTCTACACAAGGACGTTTTCTCAATACCCAAAGGTCTGTGTTGGCTCCAGTAGGACCTGGACCTCATCCATGGTGAACAATTCTCTGTTAGAAGAAAATCACACTGATAATGTTCCACCCCAGCCCCTTTTTCTCCCTTCATGGAGAGGGTTGTGGAGTTGAAACACATGGATTCGGATCACCAGGAGATGTGAAGGAGTCAGGTCATAATGACGTCTACAACAAATTGCACCTTTGGAGCTTTCCTTTAGGGAACTTTTCTATTAAAGTCACATCAGAACAGCAGAATGCAAATATAGGAAAAAAAAAAGGGAAAAAAATAGGAAAAAATAGGAAAAAAATTCAGTGGTCATGTGACACTGAGTGTCCCAAAGTAGAATTAAAAGGGAAACAAAAGAACAAGCTGTAGTTTTTCAACAGCCACAAATTAAGTGCATCTCAAATCATATTCATAAGACTTGCATATTCATAAGGCAGCAGAATTCAGGAAGGATTTTTTTTTTCATTATCTAAAGGGAGAACACTTCAGTTGAGGTATTTTTCCAGTAAGTTCCTTCCCTGCCCTAGCTCAGCTTAAAACCTTGAATCCCAGGCTGTGACAGACCCTGTGGAGGAAGCTCCCCAGGGATCCTGCCATGTACAGCTGTGCTTCCCCCTCTGTGTTTGCTCTGTGCTGGTTTTAAGTCTGTGTTCATGTTGAGTAAAAAACACATTATGGGTTTGTTTTGTTTTTTTTTTTTTTAATCATGATAAATCAATACTGCTGGTTGTGACAGAAAGTGCTTTGCCATTGCTGTGTCCTCCGTGCTGTGTGTGAGTTGACCTCCTGAAGTTTTATGGGGTTTGTGCCAGTGGTCCAGCCCTGAGCACCCATCTGTGACACAGTTTGTGCCATTTATAGCAGTGCATAGTCTGCCACTGATGTTAATAATGAAAGCAGTGATAGCAGCAATGTCTCCAATGGTGCAGACAGTGGTTAAAAGCAAAATAAACATATGGTCTCAATTTTTTTTTCTGCTGCTGTGAAGTGCTGGCAGCCAGATGTGAGATGTCAGAATCTGTTTACTGTTTGCCGGTGCTTTTCCATTCCTGCAGTTTTCTGTCTCAAGAACAAAGTCTGACACTAAAAGGGGGAGCATGATTGCCAGTCTCACGTGTTTCCTTCAACATCTTTTTCAGAAAAGCCACTCCTTTTCAAGCAGGAGCTCCAAAACGAAGAGGCTAAAGAAGGAAAACAGGTCAAGCTGACCTGTGAGCTCAGCAAACCTGGTGCCCCAGTGAAATGGATGAAGGGAGACACTGTCCTCCATGCCAGTGAGAAGTATGAATTTAAGCAGCACGGAACTGTGGCAGAGCTCATTATCCGAGACCTCAAATCCATGGATGCTGGGGAATACACCTGCAGCTCTGGGGAGCTCAAAACCACTGCCCGGGTGAAAGTGAACGGTGGGTAGAGTTAGAGACACTAAACACATCCTTAATCACATGCTTAATAGGTCTATTAAACAAGAATCACATAATACTTCATTTTTTTTTGTGGCAGTACCATCTTTAACATGTAGAATTTAAAGGTAATATTGCACAGTTTTTATCACCTGTATATATTTAATTCACGTCATGTCACATTCTGTGTTTGGGGTTTTAAATCTGTAACTTCCCACTGAGCAAAAACTAATTAAGTGGAGCGCAGAGGATTATTTTTCTATGCCCTACGTGCTGTATTTCCTGACCTATGAGCTGTTTTACATGGCTGGGGTTAAGAAATGGAGTTACAGATGGAGACCAGTAGTGTTGGAGCACAAGAATATGAAAACATAAATGCAGTCCGTGAAAAATTGCAGGTGGCCAAGTGATTAATTTTTAGACCCCCAAACTCCCACAAACATCCTTTTCAAAGGCTCTCAGGTGCCATCTGCACTCCCCAATGGCCTTTAACAAATATAGTAGCTTTAGTAACATAGGAAAAGTAGTTTGTGCTGGAGCAGAGAGTAGGAGAAATATAGGATATGAATATTGTTTCAGAGCCCTGCAGGAGCAGGGAATTCATTAGGTGATGATGCCCAGGGCATTCTGAAAGGGTCCTTACTAAAAATGAGGAATAACTTCCCCCATATTCCCAGGAATCCACAGTGAGATGATAACATCTGGGGGAGAGATTTATTCCTGCTCCCAGGCAGGATCATGTTGATGCCACACAGCCAAGGGAGGCTTAAGGGCTGCTCTGCTCACTTGGAAAAGGGCTGGTTTTAAGAGGTGAAAGCTCTCGTGGGGGCACTTGTTGTAGAGCCAGGTCAAGAGGGCATGTCCTAATCCCTGGATCTGTGTTCCAGCTGTGCCTGTCCTTTTTAAACAAGCCCTGGAGAACACGGATATGGAAGAGGGGAAATCCGTCTCCTTGCGCTGCGAACTCACAAAAGCCGATGCCACCGTGGTGTGGAAGAAGGGAGGAGCCACGCTCCAGGCAAGTGCCAAATATGAAATGAAGCAGAAGGGGACAGTGGCAGAGCTGGTGATTCATAATGCAGAGCCAGAAGATGCGGGAAGATACACCTGTGACACTGGAGACCAGCAGAGCACAGCCCAAGTCAAAATCCATGGTAGGAACGAGACACCTGCTTGTGACCATTTGTTGTTGTCCTTGCCATGGTCCTGCTACCTCCTGCACATTTAGAGTTCTGAAAAATAGGGATGAGTACAAACAAAAGGGTCTGTTGTGTTTTCTGGGATGGTAACTTCATGCTAAAACATATAAATCAAATATATCTGATAACAAAATATCTTTTTTTCCCTTATGAAATATCTCTTATGCTTTGGATAGAGACAACTGTCCAAGCTCTAAGTCAAGAGGTAAGAAGGGCCTCAGCTACACCTTTTATTAAAGAATATGCAGTTCTTTTCTCCTCTTTCTCAGCAAGTTTTTACGTGTCTTTGACCACCAGTGTTAGGGCAGCAGAAGGGTAATTGCTTTGACATTCTAATTATTGGTAAATAATTGCTGTCTTTTCATTTGGTTCAAAACTCTTGGTGTGTTGTCATAAATACAAATGGAGTCCTGGAAGTGCAGGTAGGTTAGAGTTCATTTGCTGTGTGTGCCAAGAGAATTTGTTTTGGCTTTGGGTCCCGTATGAGGTCACTGGATGGTGATGGTGCTCCCAAAGTAAACTGAGAATGCTTCATTCCTCAGCTGCCTCTGTGCTCTTCAAGGAAGAGCTGAAGCCCGTGGAAGCTGTGGAAGGTGGGACAGCCACCCTGCAGTGCCAACTGAGCAGAGAGGCCCCCGTGGAGTGGAGGAAAGGGCAAACTCTTCTCCGGCCGAGTAACAAGTACAAGATGAGGCAGGAGGGCACAGTGGCTGAGCTGCTCATCCATGATCTGGACCCAAAGGATGCTGGAGACTATTCGTGTCTAGTGGGGAACCAAAAAACCACGACAGCCTTGTCAGTGAATGGTAAAAAGGCAGAAATAACCTGTGAAACTCTGGAATGGTTTTGTCCACCTCTTCCCTCCTCCTCTCTGTACATTCCCTCACAGCACCCACCTCCATGTCCTGCTTCCACTGCTTCCATCCATCCTCTTTTTCTTGTTGCCATGTCACTCCTGTCCCCAGTCTTCATCCTCAGTCGGCTTTCATTATGCCCAGTGTTGGATATTTGTGTGTGTGTGTTGTCTTCTTACCTTTCCTCAACTGAAGGGAGCTGTCCTGCACGTGTGTTTTCCTGAATTAACATGGAAATATAAGATTCCTTGGGATTTTCTGTGAAGGAGGGTTTAATGATGAGGATGAGTTTGTCATTTACATGCACGATCCCAATCAAGACCATGAATCGATTCCCACAGAACAAGTTACTAGAAAATTTCTTTCACCATCCATGAAAAAAAAGACGGGACGTGCTTAAGGACAGAGGGTGTTGGAAGAAGGCTTGGGTGGATACACAACAAATAACGAGTGAGCCTCTGAGCAGAGATCTGAGCAGGGTCTTGGGTTGCAACCCCTTTCCATTCTGCATCTCCCAGCCTTGCCAGTGCGTTTCAAGAAGGAGCTGAGGAACGAGGAGGCCACGGAGAGCGGGACGGCGACACTGCAGTGTGAACTGAGCCGGCCCGGGGGCTCAGTCCAGTGGAGCAGGGATGGGAAGGTGCTGGAGCCAAATGGAAAGTACAAAATGAGACGGGAAGGGCGCTTTGTTGAGCTGGTTATCCAAGACCTGGACTTGGCGGATGCCGGGAGCTACACCTGCACATGTGGAGACCAGAAGACAACGGCTGCTCTGAGAGTGAATGGTAACTGTCCTACCCATGTTTCTCTCTAAGCCCCAAACACACCTTAAATTGCAGCATTTTCTGGTCAACCAAAGCTTGGTCAGTGTGTTTTCTTAGAGGTTTCGTGTTCTTGGCTCTGTGGTACCAAAGAGTCATCCTGTTGGAGAATATTCCCTTGTGCTTTTTTTGCAGCACATCTATGATGTATATTGTTTTCTTTAATTTGTTTCTCTCTCTTCTAGGAGGTTTCACCCCCATTTCAACAACACACCCCCAGAAATAATGCATTTTTGGTTAAATGTATACACTGAGCCCAGTAACTTACAGCACAGTCCAGTTCATTCCAATGCTGATTCCCTTTCTGTTGGTATTGCATCCCTCAGCCTTGCCTGTCCTCTTCCAAGAAGAACTGATGAACAAGGAAGCTACAGAGGGGGAAGCAGTGACTTTGCACTGTAAACTGAGCAAATCGGCCCCAGTTGAGTGGAAAAAGGGGAATGTGGTCCTCAAGCCAAGTGAAAAATACAAAATAGAGCAGGAAGGTCCCTTTGCAGAGCTGAGGATCCAGGATTTGGGATTGGCAGATGCTGGTGATTATCACTGTGTGTGTGGAGACCAACAGACCACGGCTACTTTGACAGTAAATGGTAAAAAAGAATTTCTCAGCACGTGCCCAAGCAAACCTGTGTGATTCCAAGACCTCTTCCTCTTTTTCTTCTGCTTCCTCTGATCTTTGTATACTTCCTACCCTCCCCTCTTCTGATTAATTTTCCTCTCCTGTTTTCCTTCTCTCTCTCTCTCTTTCTCCTTTCACCTGATGCCCTCTTGATGTGCTGTTTGTCTTCCTGGGTGCTGAGTGAGCACAGACCCCCAGCTCAACACAACCTCCCTAGTCCAGAGTAGCTGCTTGTTTTGAAGTTTTTCCACTGGGATTGACCTAAAAATATTTACGTTTTCTGACTCACACTGTCACACTTGTTGCTCCTAAGGGGAACAAGTTTCCCTCAATATATGCTGCTACACAAGGACAACCTTTTTTTTAATACTCCTGCTACTCCCAGCTCCATTTTGACCAATTTTGGCTTAACTCTTCCAAAGCAAATACTTTATCTCTGCAGAACACTGACAGCATGTTTGTGACTGCTCTGCTTTAAGGGACTCTATTTATTTCAGACAATGCCATAAATCAGGTACTTCTGTAGAGCTACTGCTCTTCTCAAGGGAAACAAAATGTTCTGGGTATCATATTGAAACGTGGCCTCTGATTTTATGGTATATAAAGGAAAGGATAGATGGCTTGGCAACTATTTTTTCAGATAGACTTGCTTTTAAAGAATGTTTTAAAGCACGAGGAAAGAAAAACAAAGTAAAAATCAAACTAAATTGTCTTTTGAAGCATTAGAGATTGGAGGAACAAAATCCTGGAGGAGATGAAGAAGGTCTTATGGCTTCTGAGAGATAAGAGAGTGATTAGATCTTGGGTCAGGCTTTCTCAGGGTTGATGCCATGTCCATGTTGCATTTACTCTGCAGTCCTGCCTGCTCTTTTCACCAAAGAACTGACAGACCAAGAAGCCACTGAAGGTAAAAGTGTCTCCCTGCACTGTGAGCTGAACAAGGCAGCTGCCAAGGTGGAGTGGAAGAAGGGATTCAAGACCCTCAAGCCAAGTGACAAATACAAAATGAAACGGGAAGGTGTCTCTGCTGAGCTCACAATCCAGAACCTGGACACGACGGACGCTGGGAATTACTCCTGTGTGTGTGGGGACCAGCAGACCATGGCAGTTTTGACAGTTCATGGTAAAACAAACAAAACAAGGCGCACACTGGAAGTAACTATCCTGTTTTCTCTGCTCATTTGGACAGGTCACACTCCCATCTCCTTCTTTTGCCAGAGCTTTATCCACAGTTCCATCAACTGGAATGTGTGGCACAAGAGGGGTATCAGGGTCCGAGCTCAGAGTGAACCAACCAGGGTTGTTCCCACTGTTTTAGTTAAGGATCCATCATTTTGCTTTTCCCTTGAAAGTTCCTTTATTAGACTCCCCGTTGTGCTCAAACCAAAAACTGTCTTTCCTCAAAGGGGTTATGAGACTTTTTTTTTAAAGTCTCATAAAATTCCCAAAGGTGAGGTTGTTCCATGGAATCTTATGCCCACACTTCATTCCTGAGACAACAAGGTGATTTTACACTTACAAGCCAGTTGTCATGGCATTCAGTTGGTGTCCTGTGTAAAAGCCCAAATCTTCTAAGGGAGGACAAAAGGGAGAGCTTTGATTTTTTTACTGAACCTGACATCTTCGAAAGGGTATGTCAGTTCAGGTGAAAATGCTTGTTTTCCCACCCTGTATTGAAATGAACAATTTCATTTCAAACTGACATTTAGAATGAAACTCCAATGTTTCATTTATTTTTTTTTTTTAATGTGAAATGTCTCTTTGTTTGCCTGAGGATGTGAAAACACAGCAAACATCCTCCCCTTACAGTTTAAAAAGTCATATAAGAAAACCATTTTTTCCCCCTAGAAATTTCAAACTAGTCTTTTTGCTTGAAATTTCAAAGGGAAAAAAATGGACTTTCTACTTCTGTTTGTATTGATTTATGACTCTAAGTACATGTTAAATACTTCTATGGATTGCTGGAAGCTTTAAATCCTTTCCTGGTAATGACATTTCTTTCCTAATACTGATTCATGGAGACTCTCGAGAATCTGTGTTCTTGTATCAAAAAATCCATTAAGATAAGAGGGAAAATGGGAAGTTAAACATAATTTTAACTCTTTGGATCATTACATCTCACTGCTCATGTTGCTGTCCTTCAGCTCTGCCTGCATTTTTCAAAGAAGGGTTGAAGAACAGGGAGGCCACAGACGGTGGAACAGCCACCCTGCACTGCGAGCTCAGCAAGGTCGGGGTCCCCGTGGAGTGGAAAAAAGGGGACAAGACACTCAAACCCAGTGAAAAGTTCAGGATGAGACAAGAAGACACGGCTGCAGAGCTGCTGATCCGAGATCTGGAGGTGCAAGACACAGGAGAATATACCTGTGTGTGTGGAGAGCAGAAGACCTCGGCTGTCTTGACAGTCCACGGTAAAAAAGCCATTCTGGGTTGTGATTTCAGTGTCTCCAGGACATCCCTTTTCTCTCTCTTTCCCACTTGCTTTGATGTTTTGATTCTGCAGTGTTTTCTTGGTTTGCTGGTGGTGTTTCATCCCGTCTCCCGCTGTCTGTCAGTTCAAAACTGGTGACTTTACAGCAAAGTAAAGAAGAGTTATGAGAATTTTTCATCTTGGGCACTTAAAAGACCTCAGTAGCAAGATTATTCTTAGAGGGTTTGTCCTTGTGTGTCACTGCTGTCAGTGGGTTTTGGTGCTTAACCTGAGGAAAGCTCTTTAAAACTGCTGAGCTCAGTTAGTGAGAGGTTTTTCCATTCAAGAATTAATGACTGTCCTCCTCTTTTTCAGGACTTTGATATATCCTGCTGAGGATAAATTAAATAAATCCCACCCCACAGCATTATTCTGCAGATCCTGACTTAAGGGGTAGTGGGACAGGTTTTGTTCCTGTCTCTCCTTTGGTGAACAATGATGAGCTCTGGTTGCCCCTCCAGAAGAAGTAGTTCATGTACAATCCAATAGATAAGAGAACAGGTTTTATTTGAGATATATCTTAAGGGATAAGGTGGTTGTAAGGACAGGTGGACAACTGTGGAGTCAAAACTCTTCTCCTAGATTTTCTGCACACTTTTGCTTCCTCTTCTTTCTTCCACCTGGAGTTTATTTCTGTTCCTCCCCTTCTCTGACCCAGCACTTCCATCCCAGTGCAAGTCTCTTTGTTTATACTTCAGTGGCAAAAAGCAGCTTGAATGCTGCTAAAAAAAAGCCCTGTATTCCTGACATTAGAGACATTTATGTCCTTGGAAATTGTGGCTGAAAGGTGCACCCGAAGTTATGTTACTAATTTATTTTCTCAACCAAAAAGATAAGTTATGGTGTTAGGAAAGGTAGGGATCTCCAGATGGCAGTGCTGTCACCTGGGTTGAGGACTTCCAATCCAAAGTCAGGTCTTTGATGTTCAAGATAGATGATTTCAGACTGAAATAGGTGAGAGGACTACTGGAATCATATGGGAAGTGATGAGCATGCTGATAAATCAATGTTAGAAGCAGGTCATGGCAGTAACATCCCTGAGGGATCCTGCAGTAGTTTTCTAATAGATGCAGTTTTCCAGACTCTATGATTTGTTTTCCTGTGTAATCGTGAAGGACTGGCCTCAGCACCTAGCTCTGAGTTCCTCAAGGTCTGGTTGATGGTTTTGATGCCCTCTCTGTTTATATCACACCCCATAGCTTTGCCTGCACTGTTCAAAAAGGATCTTGTCCCTGTGGAAGCCACGGAAAGCAGGGCGGCTGTTCTGCAGTGTGAGCTGACCAAACCCGCCCCAGTGGAGTGGAGGAAGGGGCAGGAGGTGCTCCAGCCTAGTGAGAAGTACAAAATGAGGCTGAAGGACACCGTTGCTGAGCTGACAATCCATGGTCTGGAGGAACAGGATGCAGGAGATTACACGTGTGTGTGTGGAGACAAGGCAACCACAGCTTCCCTGACAGTGCATGGTAAAATATCTGGGTTTAATAGGAGTTTTCTGTGTTGTCATCTGTGGTCTCATGGGGGATCACAATCTGGTCTTGGTCCCATCTATTACTTTAAATTGTTATGACAGCTGTACCAACCACTGGAAATATCTTCCACTAAAAGTCCTTCCCTTGGGACTCACAAATAACATCCTTTCAGTTCCTGCTTTTTCCTGTTGATGGAATCTGGAAGCAGACAATGAAGAGCTTGATGAAGTCATAAATAGCACTTGGATTATTTCCACTAATTAATTTCTTTAGGGCATATCACTGAGATTTCAGTTGTTTTTTTTTTCTGGAATGAAATTGAAAAGTTATGAAAGCATTGCAACCTGTAATTTTAAATCACATAATGTTCATTTTAATTATTAAGCTGGTTTTAAGAAAGAGCTGTGCATAGTTCCTTGAGATCTTGGGATCAGTTTTGTGTTGTTATATCCTAAACTGCCTTTAAAACATCCCTGAGAATACTGAAATTATAGTTTTACAACACTGATTTCCAAATCAGTGAGAGCTGAGAAGCTGAGACTGGGGTGGTGCTCCATTTCATGCCCTGGATCGTACCATAAAGAAACCCCTCTGACTTATGAATAAGGTGTTTTCCAGCTGTCCAAAGTCAGTCTTTTATGGTTCTTGGAGCTATTATTAATCAGTGTGACATGCTCAGTGTGATCCATTGCAAAGCACAAGGCAGAGGTGCCCCCTGAAATAATTCTTTGCCTCTCGGGTACTTTATGTTCTAAACCTTTATAGAGCAAAAGGCTTTAACTCAGTGGAGCAGTCAAGACACAGTTTTCCCTCGATTTTTAAAGTGCTCTCTCTTCACCTGTGACCTTCAGCCCTCCCTCCACGTTTCAAAGAGGAGCTGAGGAACGTGGAAGGCACGGAAAAAGGCACGGCCACTTTCTGCTGCGAACTGAACAAACCCGGAGCCGCCGTGGGGTGGAGGAAAGGAGACACAGCCCTGGGGACAGGTGACAAGTTCACCATGAGATGCCAGGGCACGATTGCTGAGCTGGTGATCCATGATTTGGATCTGGCAGATGCTGGGGATTACACATGCTGCTGTGGAGATCAGAGAACCACGGCCGCGCTGAGAGTGAACGGTAAAGAAAAAGGAAATATGTAGCAAATTCAAAGGGGTTGTTTTAAAACAGTTATTTTTCTAAGAGCTTAGTAGTGTCAGCTCTGAAAGTGCAGCCTCATTTCTGATGAATTTAGCAATATGTGCTTGGACATAAATGCCTGAATGGACTGATCAGTACCGGGCACAGGTCAGGTGTTAAGGTAAAAATCTGAGATATTCATCTTGGTATTAACTCATTTCTTTGATGCTCATATTCAGTGCTAAGAAATGGGAGATCATATTATTGTGATGGTGGTTGTGAAGATTCTAATCTAAAATCCTAAAGCTGAGAGGATAATTTGTTGCTGAGATATTTTTGATGCAGTTTTTAAGTGTTTCAGAACAACTCGAGGGTCAAGCTGTGCCTGACCACTGTCTGAGGAGGGACAGAATTCACAGAATAGTTTGTGTTGGAAGGGACATTTAAAGGTCCCTCACAGTCTCAAGGAAAAGAGAAGTTGATGCCTCAGATAAAGTTTCATTTGTGAAGTTTTAAAGCAATTAATTGTATTCCAACAGAATGTAGACACTCTGGTCAGGCTTTATTTTCCATTCTGGCAGGTAATATCCAAGGAATGTAGGGCTCAATCTTGCAGGTCTGGAGAAGCTGAGACTTGCTGTGGTTCTCCATTTCATGCCAAGGACTTTACCATAATAAAAAACCTCCTCATATTGATGAATAAGGTGTTTTCCTGCTTTCCAAAGCCACTCTTTTATGTTTCTCAGAGGGGACATCAATCCTGCTTGATTAGGAAAGGCTTTGCTTGTCACACGTGGTTGACAGACCACAGCTAAGCGGTTGCTTGAGTAGCTGCCATGGTCACACTTTGTGCTCATTTTGAACTCCTCAGCCTTGCCTGTGCACTTCAAGAAGGAGATGACAAACGAGGAAGCCACAGAAGGTGGAACAGCCACCCTCCAGTGTGAACTGTCCAGACCTGCCCCTGTGGAGTGGAAAAAGAAGCACAAGGTGCTCAAACCGAGTGAAAAATACACTGTGAGGCAGGAGGGCACCACAGCACAGCTGCTGATCCACGCTCTGGAGGTCAAGGATGCTGGGGAATACACCTGTGTGTGTGGAGAGGAGAAGACAACTGCAGCACTGACAGTGCATGGTAAAGGAAACAGAAATGGGGGATTTTTGTGGGATGTTTCTCCCTTCTCCTCTGGAAGCCTCAGTCCTGACACACAGTGAATTCTTTCCCTAATCTTGCCATCATTAATTCTGTTGATAAGAGATTTTCTTCTTTTATTGTTATTTTTATCTAATTCTCACTAGAATTACAGTTCCATTGATTAAACTAATATTTTCCCTGTTTTCTTCTCCCTGCTCTTGTTGGTGCACGGCTTTGCACCACGCCAAAGGCTGAAGATGCCACACACTTGCTTTTTTTATTCTGTTTTACTCACTTTTAACTTGAGCCTTGGAGAGGTGGAGCAGCAAGAATATTCATACTTCTTGAAAAGGATGATTAGATTTCAAACTGTGTTAGGATTTGAGAAATAATTTTTGATTTTGGTTCAATGCAACTTTTCTATATAACTCCAACCTAGGATAATGTAGATTTGCACCCAAGTGTTGCAGAATACTCAGCATTATAGTGGAAGAATAATTCACAGTCTTCAGTCAAATTTATCTACAACTTTCCTTGGAAGAACAGCAAACTTTATTTTTATTATTAACACAGGACAGTCAGAAGTATTTTCAGCCTCTTTCACACCTGGAAATTCAGTAGGTCTGAATTCAGGGAGCTGATTTCTTTGCTTTACTGCCCAGACCTTTTCATCTTTGTATTTATCAATAACACAAGGATTGTTTCAGTCTTCAACTTCCAATATAACCATGGAAAATAGAGTTGGAAACGTCGTTTAGTCCATCCTCAAACCCGAGGTCACCATCATTCCAGCCAGAAAGTTTTTCTTGATTTCAGTAATAGTCTTTCTTGAACTGGCTTGTCATTTTTCCTGTTTCAAATTTTATGAAAAAATGATAAATACTTGAGTTTTGATTTTTTTTTTTTTTTGAAACGTCCTCCTTTTGAAACTATTTTACAGAATTGAAAACTTTCCTCATGTCTCCATTTTGTCTTTTCTTTTCTGGGCTGAGAACCTTGATTCCTTTTAGCCTTCCTTCATAGGCCATGTTTGCTAGACTTCAGTCCATCTTTGCTGCTTTCTGGACCACCTTGAGTTAATCCACATCTTTCTGGAAGTGTGGTGGCCAAAAGCAGAACTGCAGCTCTGCACCTGAGGCTTTGCCAGAGGGGAGCAGGATGGAAGGAATTCCTGTGTCTTGTGTGGGACACTCTGTTTTATACATCCCAATTATGATTTCTTTATTTGCATCCGGGTTGCGTTTTTCAACTTCCATTTTTAACAAGATCTCTTGTAATCCCAAATCCTTTCGTACCTGTTGTTCTCCTCCTTGTATTTGTGTAGTTGATCATTCCTAAACAGGATATTTTCCACCTGCTCTTGCTGAATTGCAGCCTGTTTTTCCACCACTGCTTCACTGAGGTTTTTTATATCTTAATCCACTTTGACAAAGTGCTTTCACTGTCTCTTCTTTCCCACCTTGGGATCATCTGCAAAATCAATGACAACTCTGCATTTCATTGTCCAAGTCACTAAAGAAAATGCTGAATAATACTGGATTCCAGAGGACTGAGGAACTCAACTCATTCTTTCATTGTGAGTGTAAATCACAGCTGAATATTCTTCAACTGTAGTTTTCAAATTAGTGGCACGTTTCTTCTGTAGTTTCACCTGTACCTGAGTTAAAGTAAGAGCTCTACTAAATTAATAATGTACAGCATATACTGGGTCTTTCTGTCTGCGAAGCTTAATCTACGTCAAGAAAAAATTACACTGGTCCACTTCAGGAAGAGAAAAGCTCTTGGCAAATCCAAGTTTTTCAAAGAATTAAATTGAGATGGATATAATTCCTTGGATCCTCTCTCTGCCATCTCTCTCTTTTTCCAAGAAGGTGAAGGGGATTCATCTTGTAGGTCAAGACTGATGAGTATTCCTAAATTCCCATTTTTGTCAGTGGAGATCCAGTCAGCACAGTCCATGGAAGACAGGGATGCATCCAGTTCACCTTATTTAGTAGACATGTGGCCAGCAGATACCTCTGCTGACTCCACTGACTTCACCTGGATCTTTCTTGACTGCCTGGGAGTTTAGACTCCTGTTTTGCATGGCAAGAACCAAATGTGTGTGTGTCAATGTGTGAGGCCTTTTTCACCTCTTAGCTTCTGGTTTTTTTCTTACTCGTGGAAGGTCATCCACTCATGCTCTTTGATTTCTCCAGTGTAAATGTTGATGTCTGATATTCATTGATCCTGTGCCTTCCATGATGAATTTCATCACCCCAAGGTGCTTTAAGAATAGTCAGACTATTTAAATATTCTCTAATAATTTTTTTTTCTTATCCTGGCCAGAATTCCTATTACTTTCTTCACTATCCTTTACCTTTAATATCAGAGAAGAAGGAATTAAACACTTTAGCTTTCCCATGTTGCTCACCATCAACTTACATTCCTGAAAGAGAGGTGAGCCAACATGGTTTAGTGGTGGCTTTGGCAGTGCTGGGTTAAAGGTTGGACTCACTGACCTTAGAGGGCTTTTCCAAACTAAATAATTCTATGATTCCATGATATCAGCATCATTTTGCAGATCACTTTTAGCCCCTCTTTCATGTTGATCTTTTGCCCAGGAGGTGACAGAGATTGGAAATGGGGAACTGCCCTTGACCTTCTTAAGACACTCAGAGAACCTGCCCTTTCTGGGTTTGTCTCTACATTCAGCAGTATTTCTTTTGCACTCATCTAAACCTCTTGTATTTTACAGTCCTCTTGAGTTTTGGGACATCAAAAAGTTTGTGATTTAGATAGACTATTTCTGATGATCCTTGGAGTGAATTAGTCTCTAATTATGCTCTAAATATTGTTTCTTTGAGAAGTTTTCCACTCTCTTAAACTGTTTTGTCCTTTAAGTTGGCATCTGCACGATCATAAGTAACAATTCTCAAATTATTGGAGCTTGTTCTCTTGTTATCCACAGAATTTTCTTTTGTTCTTCTCCATCAGTACCTGTCTTAAAAGCCACGAGCTTTCCTGCTTCATAATTAATGTCTGCACAATTATTCTCCACATCCTTATTCTCAAATATTTATTTCTTTTTGGTCAGAGAATGAATTGGACACCCTTCTCTGCTGTTCCCGCTCTGAGTTCCCGCTCAATTCCAAAGACTTACCAGGTGTTGTCCCAACCTGCTGCTCCCAGAGTACATATTAGCACATTACCATCCAGTCTTACACTCTGAATTACTCTATTCATTGTTCCTAAAGGGATGGGGTTTTAGGATGCACCTGAATTTCTTGGTGTGAAGATTACGGCAGATCTCCACACTGGAGACATCATCCTTTTCTTTTTATTGCTACCCAAGCACTTTCAAGAGATCTCTCTGCTCTTCATCTTGTTCTAACTCTGGGTTATGCCTATAGGCATCCTTAACACCTAAATTCAAACCTGATCAATTTTTCCTTTATTTTTTTAATGAATGGATTTTCCACGCTGAATTATACTGAGGAAGTTACAGTTTTGACCATACATGAAGTTTGCCCACTCCTACTGTTTATTCTCCATCCACATCTAAACCAATCAGAAAACTTGCTTAAAATTTACTTTAAAAAAGAAAATGATAAGACCCTTTTTTATCTGCGATACAAATTAGCATCTTCCTTGCATGGGATGATCCTCACGTCAACAACCAGGCATGGATAGATAGAAACACCAGGTTCATTTAGTTTGGTGGCCCGGAACTGCTTGTCATGAAAACATTTGCTGCTCTGTTTCTCAGCCCTCCCTGCCCTCTTCAAAGAGGAACTGAGAGACGAGGAAGCCGAGGAGGGCGAAGCTGTGACTCTGCGCTGTGAGCTGACCAAACCCGCCCTGGTGGAGTGGAGAAAGGGCCACGTGGTGCTCAGACCTAGTGAGAAGTACAAAATGAGGCAGAAGGATGTAACTGCAGAGCTGGTGATCCAGGGCCTGGCTGAGAGTGATGCTGGTGATTACACCTGTGTGTGTGGGGACAAGGAGTCCACGGCTGCCTTGGCAGTGCACGGTAATGCCCAATTCCACCTGGATGTCCTTGTTAACAAGTTTGAGTTACTTTTATCACCCTGTTCATTGTTATCTGTGCATAGTTCCTGTGAGTCTGACTTTGCGTTGAGCCGTCATGAGGATTAATTTTGTGATTTAGGGGTAAAACCTTCCAGCAATTCCATATACAAAGTGGTTTTAGGATGCCTAAAGCAGATGTGAGATCAAACCTGAGGAGAGCCCCCCACTGGTCCCCTCACCTTTCCTTCCCCTCAGCAGGAGGCTGTTTTTCTGTTTTAACCCTCTTCCCATTGCATCCTCAGTGCTGCCTGTGGGGATCAGGGAGAGCCTGAAGGACCAGGAGGTGACAGAGGGTCAAGAGGTCACTCTGTGCTGTGAGCTGACCAAGGCTGCCCCAGTGGAGTGGAGAAAGGGCAGCTCTCTGCTGAGAGCCAGTGACAAGTACAAGATGAGGCAGGAGGGCGCAGTCATGAAGCTGCTTATCCATGATGTGGAGCTGAAAGATGCTGGAGAATACACGTGTGTGTGTGGAGAGCAGGAGACAACAGCTGCCTTGATAGTGCATGGTAAAAAAAAACATATACAAATATCTGTATTACTGTACATTTCTTTGTCAGCTCACTAATATTGGTTGTGGGTGAATTGTTCCTTTCCATTTGTAAGCTCTCTGTAAGATCTGGTTGTGTCCAGGCTGCTTTTCTCCTCCTGTCTGTTGGTTTGTCCGATGTCCCAGAATGAAAACCTCTCACCCTAAAGTGTCCTCTGCCTCTGTACCACCCCATCCCTCCTGTAATCTGTGTGCCATGTGTCATGTTTAACGTCCTCTGTCCACTTTGTGACCTTCAGCCCTGCCAGCACTTTTCAAAGAAGGCCTGAAGGACCTGCAAGCCCTGGAAAGCCAAACGGCCACTCTGCGCTGTGAGCTGACCAAGGCTGCAGCTGTGGCGTGGAAGAAAGGGAACAAAATGCTCAGGGCAAGTGAAAAACACATCATGAGGCAGGAGAGTGGCCTTGCTGAGCTGGAAATCCGTGACCTGGAGCTGCAGGATGCAGGAGATTACACCTGTGTGTGTGGAGACCAGCACACCACGGCGTCTCTGGTAGTGAATGGTAAATGCAGATGACTGTCCACTTTTTGTTTCCCTGAAACACCCTGTTGGCTGTGTGAAGTGTCGACCCATCAGCTTTTCCTTTGGGATTAATTTGTGTGCAGAAAAGGAGAGCTTCTTGTCCTGACATTTAATTTTGGTCTGATATTCCTGAAAAGGAAGCTGAGGATTTGGCTGTTTCTCCACGCAAACTCCAGTGTTGTAGGTTTAAGGGAATAAACACCTAGAAGAGACTCCTGTTAGACCAGCTGATTTGTCCTGTCCCTGTGATAAATTCTTTAAATTTCACCTTGAATCCATCCAGCCTGTTGTACCTTGACCTGTCAGCTCAGCACTTCTTTGCCTTACAGTCACTGCTGGATTCAGTTTTCCAGATCATCGTAACAATAACCTCAGTCCCAAAGTCCAAACCCCCTGATTTGGTCAGATTTCAACTTCATCATGCTGATGGCTTAGTTTAAACACGCTATTAACTTTCCATTCCCAGCCCTGCCAGTGCTTTTCAAGGAAGAACTGAAGAGTGAAGAAGCCCAGGAAGGAGCATCAGTCACTCTGAGTTGTGAATTAACCAAAGAAGCTCCAGTGAAGTGGAAAATTGGGCCCAAAGTGCTCAAAGCAAGTGACAAATATCAAATGAGACAGTCTGACACCACTGCAGAGCTGGTCATTCGTGACCTAGAAGTAAAAGATGCTGGAGATTACACCTGTGTGTGTGGTGACCAGAAGACAACAGCAACCTTGGCAGTTCATGGTAAAAAGACCTTATTAAAATTGATAAATAACTCTAGAGACAGGCATCATTCTGAAGTTCAGTTGTTTCTTCCCTGGGTCAGAAACTTGTCTTTGTTTTTATCCCTTTCTCTTCGTTCTATTTATAACTCATTTCTTGCTGAGAGAGAGTCGCTCTTGGCAAATTTTGGGGTCATTATTAATCTGCCCTCTGAAAGGAGAAAACAAGATGTTTCTTTCTGCCCAAATCCCTTCTTCTCCATCGATATTTACATTTTCCAGCTCCAGCCCTGTGGTTCACTTCAGTCAACCCCAGTTTTCCCCAAAACACACGGGTATGGTCTGTCAGCACCTGCCCAGGAACTGGACAGCGGAGAAGTGAGGGTTAAATAAACCAACCCATAAATAAATCCTTTTGTTAATAACCTCATTACCTGATCTCTGCTCTCCTCCCATTGATGAATATCCATGTTAATGAATTAACAGTCCTTGACTTTGAGGAACTTGACCAGAGTTTCAGTTCTGCCCCTCCAGATTCTTCCAAAAACAGGGATCTGGGCTTTCCTGAGATATGGACTTTTCCTGAGGCATTTGGGGTGTACCCCTTTACACAAGGCACTTTTGTGGGTAAATGTCAATAATTAGTTTTCCTGAAGGTTGCTTCCTGTAGGTTGTTCTGTCTTTGGGCTGTGATTCCAAAATGGGAAATAGCAAGAATCTGAAATTCTTGTTACATGTAATGACCCTTCAAACTTCAATTTAAAACTAGAGCTAGTTTTATTTTTAAATCTGACTGCTTTCAGGTAGGTGGGGCTATAATATTTTAAATTAAAAACCCCCAGAAAATAACAATATCAACCTCCAAGAAATGCTACTTGTGTGGGTAAAATAATCCTGTGTGCAGCAGTGTTATTTGTGAGTGCTGCTGATCTCAGATCTGGGTCTTTCTGTCGTCTTCTTTCACCATGAATAACAACAGACACCCAGGGAACTGTCCCTTAGGGTGACTGAAATCACATCACACTTGAAGTAGGATGCTTTTGGAGTTTCTAAACTTGGTTATGGCTAAACATGTCTATAATAGGCTGGGGGAAAACAAAAAAAGAGGTATGAGGGGAAATGATCTCAAGCGTGAAAAAGAAATTGGGATTTTAATTCTGGTTTTCTGCTGACCATCTGTCCGTGTTGCATCCTTCAGCTCTGCCCCCACTCTTTAAGGAAGAGCTCCAGGACAAGGAAGCAGGAGAAGGTGGAGAAGTCGCCCTGCACTGTGAGCTCACCAAGGCTGCTCCAGTGCAGTGGTGGAAGGACCAGAGGATGCTCAAAGCGAGCGAGAAATACAAAATGAGGCAGGAAGGGACCAAGGCAGAGCTGGTGATCCATGAAATAGCTGAGGAGGATGCAGGAGGCTACACCTGTGTGTGTGGGGAGCACCGGAGCACAGCTGTCCTGACAGTCCAGGGTAAAGCCATCCTGACCTCCTGTTTCCTGACTGGAACCTCTGCTCTCTGCTGTAACCGTTCAGTTTTACATACCTGTTTGTTCAACCTTATTAACTAAACTCCCATTCATTTGAAAATATTCCCTGCCCCTCCTCACCTGCAGGCTGTGCCAACTGGAAAATTCCAGTCTGCCTTTCTCTGTCCCATCCTCTTGTCTTCTTCTTTCCTTAAACACATGCCTGCTATCCTTTCATCTTTCCCTTCTGCCATTCCTTTCCTAACACACAAACCCACTATTCTTTGGTCTTTCCTTTCCTGCCTTTGATCTCCAAAGCACAAATCTGCTTATTCTTTGCCATTCCTTTCTGGCATTCTCAATACTGACTGTTGTAATATGGGGAAAAAGAAGCATTAGTAAGTTACAATTTCTTCTGTACTGAGCTATGCTTATATTGGGCTTTGTGCCCATAACCTCTGTCCTAATGGACAGATTTCCATTGGGAGACTTATTTTCTAAGGCTGTAGATCTCCTGCCAGTCTTGTTTTGTTGGAAGAACCACTTGCTGTGCAAACAAAACTGGTGTTTCAGCTTCAGAGTGCTGGAGATGGGAAATGTGCCAAATCTGGCTAAACCCGATTTCTAGCTTGGATATTTTAACTTAGTCTCACTGCTGGGGACACTACATTTTTTAGATCTGAGGTATCTAACCTTGTCAAACAGGTGGAATGTCCCATTATCCCATTTACTTAATAGAGGGACATATGTGAAGGTCACCACATTTATTTCAAGGACACGACTTGCAATGGGTTACAGGAATGATGTGCAGTGAGGAAAACCATGTTTTGAGACAAGAACACAGGCTGGGATTCAGCATCTGGAGATTTTCTTTGGGGTCAGGAAGAACCTCTGAGTCCTGGATGAACCTTTTCAAGGATAGCTCAAGGAAGAAGGGATGAGGATGAGCGAGGAGCTGTGCCAACACTCAGAACACAGTAGAACAGCTCAATAAGTAGGAAAAGAGAGCACAAAGATATGAAGTTTGTGGGAGACACCAACACAGGGGAACTAAGGAGCTCAGAGATGATATTCTTGGTTTTTCTCTCATGGAAATTGGTAGAAAGCAGGTTGTTGAGGACGGGGCAGTTTTGCTAGTAGGAAGCCAGCATAAACCCCAAAGGATTAGGATATATATTCCCACTAGGATATTTTCACTTCTCTTCCCTCTCTTCTTTGCTGATGCTCGACCTTCCATAACTTTCAGAACTTCCCCCCCTGTCAGTTCCTCACCCATTCCTGGAGACATCCTCAGTCTGTAACACTTTTTACCTGCATCCTTCAGCTGTTCCTCCATTTTTCCAAGAAGAAATGACCAGCAAGGAAGCAGTAGAAGGTGGAATGGCCACTTTTCAGTGTGAGCTCAGCAAGGCATCGGCCCCTGTGCAGTGGAAGAAGGGCCACCACGTCCTCACCTCGGGCAAGAAGCACAGCATGAGGCAGGAAGGCCGTGTTGTGGAGCTGGTGGTTCATGACTTGGACCTGGATGACAGTGGAGATTATACCTGTGTGTGTGGAGACAAGAGCACCACAGCTGCCTTAACAGTGCATGGTAAAGTAACCCTTGGGATGGTTCTCCAAGCCTTAGAACTCCCCAAGCCTCTGTTGTTATGATCTGTTCCCATTCCCTTTCTGTTTGCTTGGGTTTTCCTGTTCCTTTGGACTTTATGTGCTTCCTCCTTGTGTCATAATTGGGATAAGAGTTCCCTGTTGGTGTTTGTCCCCTTCAACTGCATTGGTTCCTCTCACTTTCTCAGTGTCCAGGGAATTTGGGGGAGATTTTCCATTGTGTCCCACTGACCTGCATCAGGGCTCAGCATTTCACCATCCATCCATCCATCCTCTCCCACAGGACTTTTGCTTTTTAAGGAATATTCACACTCTCTGTGGTACCCTTTTACTCTTCAGCACTGCCTCCAGAATTCAAGAGAGGCCTGAAGGACCTTGAGGCCGTGGAAGATGGCACAGCTGCTCTGCACTGTGAGCTGACTAAACCTGCTGTGGTGGAGTGGAAGAAAGGGCAGGAGGTGCTCAAGGCAAGCAGCAAGTATAAAATGAGTCAAGAAGGTGCTGTTGCAAAGCTGATTATCCGTGAGCTGGATGTGGAGGATGCTGGAGATTACACCTGTGTGTGTGGAGATCAGCAGACAACTGCCACTCTGACAGTCAATGGTAAAAACAAAGGAAAAAAGCCACAAGGTTTTCTGAAAATATAAATAAGAATGTGTATAAATAGTGTTGCTGAAGGAAAAGACCTGATTGTAAATAGTGAGGTGTGCAGGACAGCGTGGTTTTAAACAGTCTCAGAGACAGGCAGAAAATGGGAATTGCAGTGCAAAACAGTGCATTCTTCAGCATGTTACTGTCAGGATAATAATAATCTCTCCTGCAAGTGGCCTGCCCTAAGAGGGAATTTGAACTCCTAGAATTCCCTGCCTTAAGAGGGAATCTGAACTCTTGCAATTCCCTGCCCTTAGAGGGAGTCTGATCTCTCAAAATTCCCCACTTTAAGAGAGAATATGAACTCCTAAAATTCCCTGCCTTAAGAAGGAGTCTGAGCTCTTACAACTCCCTGCTGACCTTCAGAACACCTTCAGTGATCAGGGCAACGTGTTGGCTACATTTGGAGTAGGAAAACGATTGTGCCATTTTTAGATCACAGATTAGATTAAACTTCCATACACTTCATGGCAAAATGTAACTTCTTGAAATCCATCTCTTCTTGTTCTGTAGATGTTCCTATTTCATCTCTGGGGGAATAGCCTTGTACTTTGAGTGTAGGATATGGAGGTTTAGAGACATCAGCAAAACAAGCTCTTTTGGTGCTTTCATTTTCTTTCAATTCCCTCTTTCCCAAGCCCCAACTGCGGAATGTTGCAAGTCATTTTTTCTATTTTATAGCCCTACCAGCACTTTTTAAACAACAGCTCCAGGATGCCAAGGCAGAGGAAGGTGGTACAGCCACACTGAGGTGTGAGCTGACCAAACCCAAGGCTCCAGTGGAGTGGAGGAAAGGGGATGTCACCCTCTACCCTGGTTTGAAATACGAGATGAAGCAGCAGGGCTGCACTGCTGAACTGGCCATTTCTGACCTAGAACTGGATGATTCAGGAATATACACCTGTGACTCTGGACACCAGCAGACAACAGCTGTGGTGACTGTACATGGTAGGCACAGTGTTGACCCTTGGCTCAACAAATGTGGAGTGGAAGGAGGTTCTCTTGGTGTTCTCTACTTGCTTTGCTGCTGGTCCTTGCCAGAATAAATGTTCTTCTCTGGCACGACAAGTGGTCAGGTTAAAAAGGTTGTTCTTGCGGTATCTTGAGTGATTAATGAGCATCAAAGCTTATTAGAATCATAGAATGGCTTGGGTTGGAAAGGACCTCATAGATCACCTCATTCCAACCCCTTGCCATGGGCAGGGACACCTTCCACTAGACCAGGTTGCTCAGAGCCCCGTCCAACCTGGCCTTGGACATTGTCATGATGTCAAAATATGCTGAACTCTCCCCCCCTGAGTGCAGGGAGTGTGGCTGGGTATGGGAATGGCATAAGGGATGCCTAGTTAGATGTAATGTCTTATTAGAGTGATAAGAGAGGCAACAATTAGGGGATAAAGGATTTCTCTGACAGGTGACTGTGCTCTATTGTTACTGAAGGCTTTGAACTTCAGGTGTAAACATTCCTCCACCCCTTCTTCTACCATTCAGGGCAAGACCTTGCCTGAAATCCGAATTTCCTCTGTAATTTATCAGTTACTTTGTTTTGAATATCAATTTGATCACTATATATTTATACAAGCTCTATTTGGGTGAAACAATACTCTTTGCTTAGTATTGCAAACTCAGAGACCTCTCTTAAGGAACAAGGGTTTGTGTGAGAGAGAGCATGTCCCAGGGATCTTTGCCTAAAGCACCTGTACTTGCCATGGAGACACTTCCATGGGAAAGTCTGGCTCCTTCAGACCACAAACCAGACCACAAACCACTCTCTAAGACCAGGTCTTTCCTCACTTCACTGTCAGTCCTCAGCTCTTTGTTCACACAATGGTTCAAGAAAGATGCTGCCGAGACAGGGAGTTGCAGCCCGAGGATTACGGAATCATTTCTGGAGAATGACGGTAGGACTGTGTCCTTCTTGGGCTCAAACACTCTTGAAACGTTTCCCTCTCAAATTTTGCAGCACTGCCTGTCACGTTTAAGCAACCCCTGCAGAATCAGGAATCCGAGGAGGGAAGCACAGCCACGTTCTGCTGTGAGCTGTCGAAACCCAAAGCTGCTGTGGAGTGGAGGAAAGGAGGAGTGGAGCTGCAGCCCAGCCAGAAATATGAAATGAGGCAGAGGGAATGCCTGGTAGAGCTCTTGATACATAACCTCAAATTAGAAGATACAGGAGAGTACAGCTGTGACACTGGGGATGAGGAAACCAAGGCAGCTTTAAACGTGAAAGGTACGTGGGCTGAGCTGACTCCTAAAGCAGCAGATCCCATCCAACGTGCAAAGCAGCAGTTGCAGTGTGCATATTTTTAAGTACATTATTCTTTTTCTCTATAAATATTTTCCTTTTCACCTGACATACTGGGATTTAATTTTGTTCTAATGAGAATTGAAGAGGATGATACTTTGTTCTTCCGGTGCTGCATTTGAGTTTTGCGTTCTAATAGGAAATAATTTCCAGCTCTGTGGCTGACAAGAAATTAAAGAAAGAACAGTAATTTAACATAACATCTGCATATTTCACTTGACACGTTGTTTAAATATTTTAAAAAAGTATTTTCTTCCAAATCCTGTAAGAAGACAGACAACGACCTTCCTGATCTGTCAAGGCTGCTCACGGAGTTTTGAATTTCTAGCTCTTGAGATCACTGTTAGACCAACTGAAGGATAAATTCACTCAAAGAATTCAACCCTGGGAAGGATTTGAGTCAAGAAACAAAGGAAATGAAGGCAATAAATGTTATGGGTTCTTCTGATGTAGCAAGATCTAGTAGCTCCAGGCAAATTAGAAAACACGGATCCTGCCCAGGAATATCTCACTTGAAAAGCAGAGTATCTTCTCTGGAGTGTCAGTCTGTGTCAACCAGGACTTGACTCAGGCTTCAATAAAAGCTTCTTTTTTTGTCTCCTTTAGCTCTGCCAGTTCTTTTCAAAAAGCAGCTCAAAGATGAGGAGGCAGAAGAAGGAGCTGCAGTGAAATTCCAGTGTGAGCTGACGAAGGATAACGCAGCAGTGGAGTGGAGGAAAGGCACCGTGGAGCTCTTCCCCTGTGCCAAATATGACATTAAATTAAGTGGTCGCACGGCTGAACTTGTGATTCACAGTGTGGAGCCAGAGGATGCTTCTGATTACACGTGTGACACCGGAGACCAGCAGAGCACTGCAGTCCTCAGAGTGCATGGTTAGCGTTGTATCAGATTGGAACAGAGGAGAAAAGGCACTTGTGGAAATGTGTGAATGGTGTTATTTAATTTACTGGTGAATATGAGTCCTTCTAAAAGTTGAGAGATTGAGGAAAACTGGTGCCCAGACATAAACAGAGCACAGAGAAGTGGATCTTGTGGGAGAGGGTTCCTATTTCAGCCTGTAAAGCACAGTGTGCAGTGCACTGACAGCTTTCTCTGATGTGACAAAAGCAAGAAACTCTGAATTGTGGGGACTTTTATATTCTAATAGATCTTTATTTCTAGCACTTTGCATTCATTCCTGGCTCACTTGAATCAAAAACAAATCATGCATTGTTTAAAAAAGCATTTTATGTTTAACTATATTTAATCTATCCATGAAGACCCTGAGAATGTTGTGTTTAACCAAACCACAGATGATGTTTGTGATTGATCACAGAATTACAGCATGGCTAAAGTTAGGAGGGACCACAGCCGGTCATTTGGTCCAACCTTCCTGCTCAGGCAGGGCCATCCCAGCATCATCTGTGAAATGTCTGTGGTCATCCCAAACAGTTGGGTGGAACTTGTGGCTTTGATCTAAACCACAACCTTTCAAACTACATCCTCTGGCTGAACCTGACCCACGAAGCAGCCACAGGGTCAGCTCTGAGTGAGAGAGCCTGTGACTGCTTTCCATGTCTCACAGCAGGGTTTAGACAGAGGAACCACAAGCACTGAGATTCCAGTTCCCCCAGCTGCTCACACACACACACACAGGATATTCCCTTCTGGTTTCCACCCGTTGTCTGAGCAGATCCACGTCCTCTTGATTAAATGTCTGTTTATGCATCATCTGGAAAGACTCACTGGTGCTGGTCCAGAGTCTTGAAAAGATAACTGAGAAACCAGAAAGGAGTTTAAAGCTTTACATAATTTAGGTGTTGGAAATCATGAGTATTTCTATAAAAATTAAGAAATTTATGCCTGTTTTAATCAGAAAGTACCAGGTTTTGCTTAGTCAAAATCTTTCTGTGTGTGTAAGTTTTCAATCTCCAGAACAGGTGCATAAAAGGTTTGATGTGGATGCCCTTGACTTTAAGGGAAACATATCCGAGGAAGTTTCTGATCCTCTCTTTATCTGGATATATGCAGTATAAGTCTCTTTGTAGGCAAAAAAAAGGTGGTTTTATTATCATATAACCCCCTAATGCAAAACTGCCCCGGAGCATCAGAGCCTGGGCGCTTGTGCTGAGCTGTGCATTCCAGGGAACAGATCCCGTATTATTTATTTCTTCCTCACTTTTGCAGCCACCAAACCCCGGCTGAGGCAACAGCTGAAGAACGAAGAGGTGGAAGTGGGGGGGACAGCCAGGCTGCGCTGCGAGATCTCCATCAGCAAGGCAGAGGTGGAGTGGAGGAAGGACGGAGCTGTCCTGCACTCCAGCTCCAAGTACGAGATGTGGCAGGACGGGACCCTCCGGGAGCTCCGTGTTCACCGCCTGGAGCCTGGAGATGCCGGGGAATATTCCTGCAAGGCTGGGGATGAGACGACCTCTGCCAAACTGACAGTGAAAGGCAAGAACTGTTTGCTGGGGCAAGGAGGTTTTCTCTTCAGGAGACTAAGGTTTCACCACGTCATCATTATTACTGTGAAGAACGCAGGGCATAGGAAGGGTGTCCTAAAAAAAGTCTGGTGGTCAATGGATGCACCAAAGCAAAGATTGACGTGGTGGACAGGGGAGGATGAAGCAGCTGTGATTTGTGACTTATAGCTTGAAATATTTTCTTGACATCATATGCAGGGGGGTGAACAGATGGTCCATCCCCAGATTCCAGTCACACGGCAGCTGCATCTGGCCTTAATGCCATCACAGAGCTTGGACCACTAGTGTGGAACAAACACTGCCAGCATCTCTGTAGGCTGCTCCATGTTGTAGATCCTCTGCACATTACACCCAGCTGCACCATTTGTCGTGCAGATGGCCACCTCAGTTGTAGGAATATCTGCTGTGCTTGCTCACGTGAAGATTTCACTGCTTTTTTTGACGGTTGGACTCGACAATCTTAGAGGTGTTTTCCAACCTTAAGGATTCTATGATTCCTTTGGTATTCCCCAGTAGATTTGGGGTACATACAGGTTTGGGGGTATATTGGGGGGCTGTCTGTGTGATCTTTGCACAGATCTGCAGGAGTTCAGCTGGCTTAGAAGCAGGACTCAAGTCAACTGCGCTCACATTAATCCAGTGACTCCTGCTGAGAGGACAAAGCCATCCAGCTCCTCAAGACATTTGGAGCATCAGCATGGAGTAAATGCAATTCTGTTTGCAAAAATATGATAAAAAGGATCAGGTTTTAATGTTACTCTATGAAGATATCTAAGTTCAAGTGTAATAAATTTCAAAACCCTGATTTTGGCATCTGGCATTCATGCCTTGTTCACCCAATTAGCGTGTCAAACATTAAATTAAAAAATCAATATGTAATGTACCTCTGAGAAAGGACAAGCGATAAAACCAATATCTAAAAGTTAATTGCCCTTTTACCAAGTACACTGAAAGCAGAATTTGGGATGTGATTTGAGAGGCTGTGCTGTCTCCATCCTTGGGAGATACTTGAAGCTCAGCTGGACAAGATGCTGAGCAACCTGCTGTAAAAGCCGGCCCTGCCTTGAGCAGTGGTTGGACCAAGTGACCTCCAGAAGTCCCCTATAACCTGTTTTATTAACGATTCGATGATCTGATCCATGTTTTCCCGTCCACTCCCTGTTCCTGACTGTTTGCAGAGCCCGACGTGACCATCGTGAGCGGCCTGAAGGACATGGAGGTGTTCGAGGGGGACGACGTCACGTTCCGGTGCCAGGTTTCCCACGAGAACGCCAGGGATGTGGAATGGAAGCTGCAGGATGTCGCCCTGCAAAGCAACGAGATGAACGAGATCTCGGTGGAAAAAGGGAAGGTTCACACCCTGACCCTGAGGAAGGTGACTGAGCAGGACATTGGCACCGTCACCTTCCGGGTGGGATGTCACACGACCACGGCAGAGCTCATGGTGAAAGGTAAAGGCTCTGTGTGATGTGGGATGGGATCAGTGAGAACAACCGATGTTTTGCTTATGCTGACAGTAAATTCATGTCTGTAATTCACCCCTTTTCAGGTCATGTTAGTGCTTCAGAGCACACGTGATGTACTGGTGTGGTCTCATAGACTCCAGTCACCATGGATAGACAGTGAATATGTCAAGAGGGTCCTGAAGCTGACTGATTCCTAAAGAAACTCCTGTGTTTGCCTTAGTAGTTGGATTGAAAAACCTGGAATTTTCACTGTTTCCATTCTCCCTTTTAGAAACATAGAATGGTTTGGGTTTGAAGGGACCTTTAAAGGCCGTCTAGCCCAACCCTCCTGCATTGAGCAGGGACATCTTCATCAGATCACATTGCTCAGATCTTTTTTTTCCTTCTTTGGTGTCTTTCTTTCTCCAAACTTTATTTATTTGGAAAAATTCTCCACCCAACATCCTTCTCTTTGATGCTTGTTTTAACCCCTCAGTAGAAATTGAAGTTTGGTCTTGTTTTTTTTTTTTTTTTTAATAATGCTTAACCATTCAGCTGTGGATTTAACACCACAGGGAAAAGAGACGAAGATGCCTGGAAATGCCTTTGCTGTGTTTGTAATTTCAGTGCCACCTCCAGTATTTAAGGAGAAACTGCAGAGCCTGGAACTGCAGGAGGAAGACACAGCCGTGCTCAGCTGCCAGGTCTCCCAGCCCAACGCTCAGGTGAAGTGGAAGAAGGGCACTCAGGTGATCTCCTCGAGCTCCAAGTATGAAATCAGGCAGGAAGGAACAGTCCACACCTTAAAGATTTTTCACTTAAACCCAGAAGACTCTGGCAAATACACCTGTGATAATGGAAACGAACAAACGACGGCCACTGTGACTGTTAAAGGTGAGTTGTTTTAAGATGAGAAACTTGCTTCACTTCCTCAGTTTGGCTCTACTAAGAGGGCTCTATCGACTCTCCTTGACTTTAGATAGATGTCCTTTGCTGGCATAAAGCAGCTGAGACCTTTTGCTCTCAGAGATTAGGTCCTGTGGTGTCCTGAGTAAAGAAAATGGAGGGACCCAAAGTGCAGCAACTACTTCCACGATCTGAGACCCAAGGGCCTCTTTCTGGTCACTCAGAAAACCAAGGCTGGAGCTAAGATTAGAATAAGACCATTTTTGATGTCTCAGCATCCCTTGAGCTGTAGTTCTACCTCAGAAAATGATGCTCAAGCATGACAGTGTTCCAACTTGGGCACTCAGCTCCAGTTGACAAGCAGCATTTCTAGTCCCAAAGATCTGAAAGTAGGTATAATGTGGCAATATATCAGTTTTTCCAAATCTAGTCTGATATAAATACAGCGCTAAGGTGACTTTTCTGAGATACCAGATCAGCAGAAGCAAAGAGGATCCAGAGTGTTATTGTGAATTACTGTCTTTTGGAATATCCCTTGAGGATTCTCCCGTTAAGGACACTCACCTGCCTGCTATCACACTAATGCCAGGATTTGGTGAGACCAGAATATCAGTGCTCTGAGCAGATCCTCTGGTGGTGGTTGCCTGTTTGTGTCTCTGTGTGTGGTCTCAGCCACTCCAGCACTCCTTGAAAAAAATTACAAACCCAGGAAGCTGAGGAAGGCTCTACAGTCACCCTCCAGCCTTGATCCAGTCGTTCCCCATCCATCCCACAAAATACACCATCCATTCCTACATCACCTATAGGGACCTTCAGATCTCTCCTTTTATAAGTGTCTGACGCCCAGTTCCTGTGAATTCCCTCTGATTCCTGGAGCCCAACCTCCTCCCCTTGTAAATAACAACTCATAAACGTGGAGCCACTGAGGTAATTCCAGGCAACTGTACCCAAGGAGCTAAACATGTGGGACATCATAAATCAACCCATCAAAACTCCATCATGACCCATCAGTGACAATATCAGTGCAGAGGCTTCCAGGGTTCATTTCTCTGCTGGGTCCAGTTTTCAAACAAGGGACATTATGTAAAGATGTTTCTCCTAGATACCTAAGAACTTAGGCCAGGAGTTGTGGCTTTGGTACCCATCTGGAGAGACGTGCACTTAGATTCTCAAGACTCTGTGTCCATGATCATTCCAGAAGGAGCATAATCTTAGAGGTGCTTGGTCTGTGCAGTGTCCAGTGACTCTCCAGGAGTGCAGAGTTCTTAAAGCTCCTGGAAACCCAGCACTTTCTGTCATTCCTTGTTTCAGTTTTAAAGTAATTTTGGAATTGAGTTTGAACCATATTTGGAATGGCACCAGAGTTTCATTTAACACAAGTCTTAGTGACACAAGCATTGAAACATAATTTTTCCCCTCTGATTTCTCCTGGTTCAGCTTTGCCTGTAACCTTCACACAACCACTGCAGAACCAACAGGCTGAAGAAGGTGGCACCATCACTTTGAGCTGTGAGGTGTCGAGACCAAACACCACAGTGCAGTGGAAGAAGGGTGGGACTGTGCTGAGGCCAAGTGACAAATTCAAGATGCGTCAGGCCGGGCCCGTGGCTGAGCTGACCATCCACAACCTGAGCAGAGCTGATGCCGGGGAATACACCTGTGACACAGGGGACCAGCAAACCACAGCTGTGGTGCACCTGAAAGGTGGGGCTTTGGGTGTGGGAGAGCTGAGCAGGGCTTGGTGTCACAGCAGGGGCGTGTTTATTTAATAATCTGGCAGCTAAACGTTTTCCCCAAACTGAATCGTGGGGATGTCAGAGATGAGTGATTTCAGAGGGGTGTAAGAACTGGGTCAGTTATCTCTGGGGAATGGGAAATGGGTCTTTAGTCACTGATTACGATCATGGCACCCACTGAAATTTGTTGACAGTGCTTTCCCAATATATAGATTGAATTATAAATATATATTTTATGCATTCCTTATCACAGAATCACAGAATATTCTGAGTTGGAAGGGACCCAGAAGTCCAGCTCTTAAGTGAATGGCTCATAGAGGGATCAAATGCATGACCTTGATGTTATTAGCACCATGTTCTGACCAACTGAGCTAATCTCAGGGTCCTTATATATTTATTATATGCATAATACAGTATAAGATGCATACTTTTTAGACTATATGTGCATAATATATATGCACACATACATAAATCATGGATCTGGAAGGTTGTAACATGTTACTACATGACTGTGCACCTACATTTCCATGAATTTAGAATCATAGAGCCACAGAATGGTTTGGGTTGGAAGGAACCTTGAAGAACATTTAATTCCAACACCCCTGCCATGGGTAGGGATGCCACCCACTAGATCAGGTTGCTCAGGGCCCCATCCAGCCTTTCCTTGAACACTTCCATGGATGGGGCAGCCACAGCTTCTCTGGGTAACCTGTACCAGGGCCTCCCCACCCTCACAGGGAAGAATTTCTTTCTAACATCTAATCTAAACCTGTCCTCTTTTGGTTTAAAACCATTGCCCCTTGTCCCGTTACTACCTGCCCGTGTAGAAAGTCCCTCTCCCTCCTTTTTATGAGCCCCCTTAAGGTCTTGGAAGGCAATGAGGTCTCCCCAAAGCCTTCTCTTCTCCAGGCTGAACACCACCAGATTTAGTATTTAGGGCTTAAAATAACAATAGCATAGTCCTGTCAAGGAAGAGCAGAAGGAAATGTTTAACCCAGGAAGCATCACTTGAAAGTAGATACCAAACTCTGTTGACCTTTCCATAAAGAACCAGCAGTGACCATAGTGGAGATGCTGAAGGACGTCACCTCGTACGAAGGGGAGGACGCGGTGTTCGAGTGCAGGCTGTCCCGGGAAACAACTCAGGATGCCAAGTGGTTCCTGGGGGATGTGCCCCTGCAGTCCAACGAGATGAATGAGATCAGAGTCCAGGGGACACGTCACAGTCTGATCCTGAGGAAGGTGACCCTGGAAGACTGCGGGTCCATCAGCTTCAAAGTCGGGGAGCACACGTCGGCAGCACAGCTGAAGGTCCAAGGTGAGCAACGCCCCAGGGAGAGGGACTGGGGAGGTGCTGGTACACTTGCTTTGGCTTCTGGAGAGGTATATTTGGGATTAGGGGTCCTTGGAAATTTTGGGATATCCTGCTAACCTAATTTAGGCATTTAAGAGTTAGATATGTACATCTGAGCTGGTCATTTCGGTAATTTTTATTGTCCGTGGATGAAGATTAATATTAACATCCTTTGGAGACCATCCAGCTAAGCAGCCAATCATATGTCAGAATCAACGCTGAAAGATGTCAATAATATACTCTGAATTAATCTTCTACTCATGATGTTTTTAGATCATATTTACTGAAAAAAATGTCTGAAAATTTAAAAAAAACCTTTCTATTAAGTCACATAAAATGATTTGGAAAGATGATCCATGGCAATATTGTAGGTTCCTCTCTGATCTGATTCAAAATATAACCACAGACCCCCAGCTCTGACCTGGGGGAGACATGGATCAGGCTGTTGCAGAACTGATGGTTCCCTCTTCCCCACAGCTGCTCCGGTCATCTTTGTGAAGGCGCTCCAGAACCTGGAGCTGCAGGAGGGTGGCACAGCTCACCTGTCCTGCGAGGTGTCCAAGCCTGACGTCCCCGTGGAGTGGAAGAAAGGCACGTCTGTGATCCACTCCAGCCAGAAGTGCAGCATCAAGCAGGAGGGGAAGGTGCACACGCTGGTGATCCGCGATCTGAACCGTGCAGACGCGGGCGAGTACAGCTGCCAGACGGCTGACGGGAGGACCGTGGCCAAGCTGGAGGTTAAAGGTATGGTTTCCTCTCCGTTCAGCAGCGGTGAAAAGAGGACACATCAATTTTCGGAGCTCTCTAGTGCAAGAGAGATAATGATTAGTGGAGCAAGTGCAACAGAGGCTGACAAGATTCTCAGGGGGCCGGAGAAAGTGAAATAGGGGGGACAAACTTTTTAGTGGGGCCTGTTATGATAAGAAAAAAGGTGATGGATATAAACTAAAAGAGGGGCAATTTAGATTAGATATAAGAAAGATGTTTTTCACAATGAGGGTGGTGAGGCCCTGGCACAGGTTGCCCAGAGAAGCTGTGGCTGCCCCTGGATCCCTGGAAGTGTCCAAGGTCAGGTTGGATGGGGCTTGGAGCAGCCTGGTCTAGTGGAAGGTGTCCCTGCCCATGGCAGGGGTTTGGAATGGGTTGGTCTTTAAGGTCCCTTCCAATTTAAACCATTCTAGGATTCTAAGTAAAAAGAGAGGTAAGGGTGGCTGCATTTGTTAAGAGTGGGGAAGATAAGGTTGAAGGGGGAACTTCTTTGCTGTTGGTAGCTTCTTAATGGAGGCCTGCAGAGGAAAGAGAGAATTTTCTTGGAATGCTCAGTAAAGAGATGACAGGCAACAATTGAAAGCTGCAGTAAAAGAAATTACAGTTAGAAAAAAAACAACCTTTCACAATGGTGGTCAGACATTGGAACACAGATCCAGAGGGGTGGAGGAACCTCCATCCATGGAGGATCTCCAGAGGTCCCTTCAGCCTTAATTATTCTGTAATTGATCCCTGGCTGCATGATCTGATGCCTCAGGTCTGCAGGTGTGTGTTCTTTGAATGATTCTGTGATTTTTATTTCAAGGATGAAAAGCTACCTGGCCTTCTGAAATAATTACTGAAATTAGTTGGGAATTCTTTGTGAAAAGAAGACTGGGATATGGGGACAGAAATGTAGCTCCTATAGAACTCAATTTTTTCCTGCTGATTAACTCCCCTTCCTCCTCCTCCTCCTCTGTCTAGCTCAGGCCTAGTCATCCCTGTTCCTGGCAGCTCCCCTTAGGTAAATGCAGCCAGAATCATGTGTGAACTTCATGAATGGCACTATCAGTACCTTAAAAATCAAACATTCCTATTTTTTCTATTTTTGCTTCACCCATATTTTTTTTTTCCCTCTTTGCACCATTCCCCCCCTCTCAAGGCCTCCCTGTGCTGTTCAAGCACTGGCTGAAGAACGAGGAGGTGGAGGAAGGTCGCACGGCCCTGTTGTTCTGTGAGCTGACAAAGCCCAACGCACACGTGGAGTGGAGGAAAGGGGACACTGTTCTGCAGACAGGTGACAAGTACGAGATCCGGCAGGAGGGGACGCGTGTGGAGCTCCTCATCTACGATGCTGAGGCTCAGGATGCTGGGGAGTACACGTGTGACTCGGGGGATCAGCAGACCACGGCATCGCTGCAAGTCAAAGGTAGGAGAAGGATTTTTTGGAGGCAGGGAAGTCGTGGCTGTGGCTGTTCTCCACAGGGGTGATCATGGAATCATCTGGGGAAGGCTGGACGGGGCTCTGAGCAACCTGGTCTAGTAGATGGTTTCCTGCCCATGGCGTTGGAATGAGATGATCTTTAAGGTCCCTTCCAAGCCAAACCATTCTGTGATTTAGGTTGGAAAAGACCTCTATTGAGTTAACCCAACCATTAACCCAACACTGCCAAGTCCACCACTAAACCATGTCCCCAAGTGCCCAATCTACACAGAAGTTTTGTTGCTGAATTGCCATCAACACTCTGTATCTCTGAGTTACAACTGCAGGAAAAGGTTTGATTCACAATCTGCCCTTCAGAGATGAATTTATTCCCTTTTAAATCCAGTTCTAATTCTGCAGTTGCAGTTTTCATCTCGCTGTGACAGCTGGGGAGCAAAACTGCAGCTGCTGGTAAGGAAGGGTATATACAAGAGCAGTCAGAAAATTTACCTACTACCTGACAATAAAACAAGGATATTTCACCATATCTAGAATAAACTCACTTTAAATGGAGCCCTTGTACCTATTACTGCCTGAGCAACCCAACAATTGTGGCTCTTGGCCTTTTTCTAGTGGCTTTGTTTCGGGATTTTATACTAAGAGTTCTGTGTCTTTTGGCTTGAACATCAAGACCATATTTTTAGATCTTGGGTTTGGTCACCATAACCCACTCCTGCTCACTGTGAGATTTCAATGACTAAATGCCCAAAGTCTTATGTCCCAGCTGAAGGAACAGGGTTTTTTTTAAAACCTGGAGTAAAGCAGGCTCAGGGGAGATGTTATCACTCTCTACAACTACATGAAAGGATGTTGTCATGAGGTAGAGGTTGGTCTCTTCTCCCAAGTGAAAAGCAATAAGACAAGAGGAAATGGGCCCAAGTTGCACCAGGGGGCGTTTAGACTGGAACTAAGGAAAAAATTCTTCACTGGAAGGGTGGTCAGACATTGGAACAGGCTGCCCAGGGAAGAGGTGGATTCATCATCCCTAGAAATATTTAAAAGACGTGTTGATGTGGCACTTGGGACATTGGTTTAGGAGTGGCCTCGACAGTGCTGGGTTAATGGTTGGACTCGAAGATCTTAAAGGTCTTTTCCAACCTAAATGATTCCTGTTCTCAGTGCTGTGATTAGTACTGTTGTGCCTCTGTCTGCTTATACTGAAAATAGTGGCTATGCCCATGTGGAGACCTTTAGAGCCCCCGTGACCTCTAAAAACCCTTTATGGAGCAGCAGTGGACACCCTCCCAGGATCAGCAGCTGATCCCATGAGCGTCTGGCTGTGGCACAGCTCAGGGTGTGGCTCAGAACGAGGGGAGCAGCCAAACTGGAGAAGTTACAAGCGAGTTCCTCACCTCTGAGAGCTGTCACTGATGCAGTTGCTTCTCCACCACAGTACTGCCAGTGCTGTTTAACAAAGAGCTGAGAAACGTAGAGACTGAAGAAGGGGGAACGGCTGTTTTGCACTGTGAGATCTCCAGGCCGGACGCCCCCGTTGAGTGGAGGAAAGGAGGGGTGGTCATTGAGCCCAGTGACAAGTACGAGATGAAGCTGAAGGGCAGCATAGCTGAGCTGATCATCCATGGTGTAGAGCCTGATGACTGTGGGGATTATACCTGCAGCACTGGATACGAGATAACCACAGGTTCTGTGTACGTGCAAGGTAAGGGGAAGCGTGGTGGAAATGCTCCCGTTTGGCTGCCTGGATTTCTTGCTCCAAAGTCTTTGAGAGTAACTGGACAAAATGGTCTCAGATGCAAACAGCTGAAAGGCCATTCATTTCTTTCCTGATTCCAGTGAAGGTATAAACACTGACCTCCAGGCTGGGGTTGGACCAATGTTTTTAAGTTAAACTAGTTCAAAGTGCTGTGCACTGTAACAGATGGTGGTACTGCTGAAAAACTGCTTGCTTGGAGCAGTGGTCGTAAAAAATACTGACATTCTTGTTATAACTGATTTCAGCCTCTATCGTTGTTATTCTTATTACTCTTTTAAAGCACTCAAGTGAACATTTAAATCTTAAGTAACATCTCTGCCTCCCGCCTCCTACAATGCCACTGCAGATGGCTGCAATGCACAGGCATGACCTGGTCATGGAGTGGAGTTTCCTCCCAATGAAATGGTGTTTGCAGAGACACACACTGCTCCTGCAAGCAGGTGGAGGATGGAAGGTGGTTTCTAACTCCTTTCAAGAAAATTTTAGCTCTTTTTTATTTTTTCCCCCTGGAAAAGCGCTACAAGTTTAACTCTCCAAGGATGACTCACACTTGTGTTAGTTCTGCAGGGAACCACATGTGTGTGTGTGTGTGTTTATGCTCTTGTTTTCCTTTGGCACCTTCTCTTGCTCTGTCGTGCAGAAGAAGCAGCAGTGGTAGTTTCTGGTTTAAGGAACACAGACGTCTTTGTGGGCGAGTCAGCCACGTTCACCTGCGAGCTCTCGCACCCGGGCGTGAGGAACGTGCAGTGGTGGCTCGATGGGACCCCCCTCCACAACAACCTGGTGACTGAAATCTCTGAGCAGGACGGGAGGATCCACACTCTGACCCTAAATGATGTGGCCTGCCACGACTCAGGCACTGTCACCTTCAGAGCTGGGTCCCTTATATCTTCAGCTAAATTATTAGTCAAAGGTATTTCCTTGTTGGAAAGAAACACACGGCCACCTCTGGACCTGCTCCATGTGCTGGTGCTTCTGCCTTCCAGGCTACCCTTACTAAACCCCTTCACAGCTCTTCTGTGCCCTGCAACCCTCCACTTCTGCAAGTCACCAATACCCAACCCAGAAGTCTTACAGGTACAACCACATCGATTTTTGAAGTGGTTCAGGTGAGGGTTGCAGTCTCAGGGCTGCTTCTTTCACCTGATGTCAAAGAAGAGATGAACATAAACAACTGTAAAAGCACCTGACTTTGTATCCCCACTTCAACTTTTTTGAATAATACCCCAAAATCTTATGGAGCTGGTAATTCACAAAATTATCACAGTCAGGCTACTGCTGCTCAGCTCATCCTGTTCCCAGCACAAGACTTTGGGCTGTTCCTGGAAAGCAAATGATGTATGACATTGCAGGAACACAGTGACAAAATGAGCCTAGTTTGTTGAATGGTCATCACTGCCCTAGCAGAGCTTTCTGGCCTGTTAAATAACTATTTTTCTCATTTGGTAAGGGTAGCCACAAGCTGCAAATAACACCGAGCTCCAGACTTGATAAAGCAAGTTCCCTCCTAGTCAGTCCTTTTACAGACATGGGGAAAAGCTGCTATTTTTCAGACAAAATTAATGCTTGTTCTTTGCTTGGAGAAGGGATTTGTATGTACAGAGATATAAAGGGTTAAAAGATCCTTATTTAAATCTACCCCAACAGAAGCAATCCACAATTTGGAATTGTAGTCAGTGGTTGATGTCTCCTCTGTATAAAGAGTCCCTTGTACATTCAGAAAACTTGAGTCTCTATGAAGATAAAATGCCAAAGCACTTCTTCCTGATCTCAGAATGGTGCAGCAACAACAGAGTGTGCAAACCCCACACATCCTGTGTCTGCTTGTATCAATCTGAATTTCAGGTTTTCAGAGACAGAACCTGGTTATGAGCTCTCTAGGGAAGAAATGCCAGTGGGCCTAATACGTAAATTAAAAATAAATGCATCACTAGGTGTCCTGCTCAGTCAAATAAAAGGCTCCTGAGAAGTTTCCGTTTCACAGAATCACAGTATATTTGATGTTGGAAGGGACATTTGGAGATCATCTAGAGATGCTAGTACACAGAGGAATGGGGATATTTTTTGCTTCTCTGAAGGAAAGATTTCTTTATTGTGAGCCTGAATCACAGTAGTATTTAATTATAATTGTATTAACAGACAATTTCAGGCACTTTTTGTGCCTCGTTCTCCTGCCTTAAGGCATGCTGGTAACTGGATATATTCCATAATAACTGAGGTCTTGGCTCTTCTTATTGGGCCTCTACCATATCATTGCCCTACAACTGCACTTGTTCAGTGGCCCAGTGTGACAACATCTTCATGTATGGGAGGGGGGGAGAATGGGAAAGGGTGAAGGAGCTGCTGCCTCCTTCTGACTCCTTTGGGCGGGTGAGAATTACAGGTCCTGGTGCCTACATTGGCTCCCAAGTCCCAGGGAGCTTTCTGCCATTCTGCACAGGTGAATAGGGACACCAAAGTCCTTTCCCAGCAGTGGCAAAGAGGGAAGGGGCAGTGGAACCAGGACACTTCCCTTCTCCAGTGCCACAGGTGATATTTGCTGTGAGAGATCTTATGAAGGGAGATGGTGTTGTGCTCCCCATCTGCACAGATCCCTTCTTGCTTCTTCAGTCCTGGTGTCACCAAAACATCTCCATGGTCTTCCATCAAGGCCTCCTCTCCATAAACACACCTGCAGACATAGGGAGTGGCAGAGGGAACCCCAGGGAGCAGGATCAAGCTTGGCTACAAAGTTCCCAAAAGATGTTTGCAAAACTGCCTTTGCTTCCCAAGGTCTGCTTGTAGCATCCCAAATCCTCAACTTGATGCACCGGTTTTGGGAGGAGCATTCCCAGACTGAGGTTCTGTGTAGTTTATTATCTCTGGCTTGTGAGCAGAACAACTATTTGAAAGATAAGGGCATACCAAAGAATCATAGAATGTCCTGGGTTGGAAGGGATCCACAAGGATTATCGAACCCAATTCCTGATGGTATATCAACTTTCTCTTTGTAGCCCTATCAATTTTTTTTGGAAGTTGACATAATTCTGCTGAGAATGATGTTGCAGAGAGACTTCCACTTTCAGACTTCATTGAGGTTTTTCTTTTGAGCATTAGTGGTCCAACCTGAAAACTCAGGAGGGACTCCTTGGCTGCTTTAGAAGCTCATAATATTTTAGGTTAGACATATCTACAGTGCCCTACAGCTGCCTGACAAGAAACAAAACCAGTATTTTAAAAGAAAGAATGGATGCTTAAAAGCAGCCTCACAGATCTCACATTCTTCAGAGGAGCTGCACATCCAGCAGCATTTTATGGGCTCTCAGTCTGAGATGTCAGTGGCTCCTGGTACATCTCTAGATGAGCTGCTGTAAAGGAAATCATATTGTTTTTCCCCCATCTATGTGTCTGCTGCAGAGGAACACGTGGCTAACCAAAACAGTATGTACCTGTCCCTGTGGAATGCCCTTTTTTGTCACAGTTATCCTGGATATTTGCTCCTCACACTGCCAATGACTCCTGACAGCCCAGGACAGGAATGGGTGTTTGCATTTGAGGACTGGGTTTCTTTCCCATGGGTAGTTGCAGTTTGCTCATACAAGGAGCCTCCAGCAGAGTTTGGGATGTGTTGCTATTTCTCTGTGAGGCTGAGTTACAGGGAACCACTCCCAGCAGCCCACCCACTGCTCTCTCCTCTGTTTTACCCTTGTGCTCCACCTCCAGGAAGCAGAACTGTTTCACACCCAGTGCTTCCCAGTCTGGGAGATCTCAGTGATGCTGGGAGAAAAACTAAGCCCAGAGGGAATCCCCCCATATGTTCTGCTCAGAAGTCCACATTCAGAAGTTTTAAAGCACGAGCCTTAACTGCTGGTGGCCCGTTTTCCAGTGTGATGATCATGTTCTAACATACCAGTTTGGCTTCAACCCTGCTTGATGCTGACACAAGCACACACTAAACTGCTAATTCCCAGCTTGCACTGACGCTCTACCTGCTCCTCACGAGCCCTGTGCTTGTCAAAAAACTCTCCAAATTGCCATTTCCATGGGGATCCACTAATGCATGTCCTTCCTGACGTGTTGGTTAACAGATCCCACCATTGAAGTGGTCAGTCCCATGCAGGACATAACTGTTGATGAAGATGGCCCAGCAGAGTTCATATGCCAATATTCTAGGCCAGTGCACGCCATCTGGAAGAAAAATGATCAGGAAATACATGCAGATGGGCAGCGAGTGATTATCGATCAGGACTGGAATGTGAGCATGCTAAAAATTAACCCTACGGTCCCAGAAGACACTGGCATCTATTCTTGTGAAGCTGGAGGCACTAAAGTGATGGCTACACTTGATGTTCAAGGTGAGGCCTTCCAGCCAAAGAGGGAGACTGTCATGGTTTCCAAATAAAGGAGGCAGAAAACTCATGGCAGCACTTCGGAACACATCAGATACCTGCTCTTGGTGTTCACTCCAAGTACTTATAATAAATTGGGAATTAGTGGGCATTGCATATGAAAATGCAGCATTAGCTCAGTTCTAATTAACTCTCACTTATGACACCACTCACCTGTTGCACCTCTTCTGCAAAGAACTGGAACATTGGTGTGATGGTTTGTGTCCTGCTGAATTTTTGTGAAACCACAGATGCAATCTTGGTCCAAAGGAATAATAAGAATTTTTTTGCTCTTAAATAGCACTTTTTACACCCAGTGTGCCTTAAAACCAGTAAATAATGGATAGCATGGAATTCCATTTGATTTCTGCTGAACCAAGGTAATTTACTTATTTCAAAGAGTGATTCCTCAGAAGTTACCTTCTCACTTGGCATCAGGGAAGGCCCTGAGGAACAGTAAATAAAAACATTAAAAATAAATTTAGGATTTTCCGTGGATGTCTTTTTTTTTTTTCCTACTGCATATGGAATTAACTGTGTTTACTTTACCAAGTGAATTATTGTGATCAACAAGAGCAGTGTTTCTGATTTCTGAATATTTGTGGCTGTTTTGCCTTCTTGCTTAGCTGGAGCTGTTAATGCAGAAGAACAGGGTGTTATTTATTATAATGTTTTCTGCATCTATAAGCACTTTCCATTTTAGGGATTTAAAAGGATTTTAATGAATAAAAGCATCCCAGAGGAGGTAGACTTAGCAATTGGCTGCTTTCCATAATTAGGAAAACCAGTACTTCAAAAGATAAACAGCTTTGATTTGTTCTAAGAAAATGATACATTCTCCAAGAAGGATTTTCAAACACCTCATTGTTCTCCATAAGTGTGAATATTATAAAATATAGGATTTTTTTGCTATCATAGAATCCTAGAGTGGTTTGGGTTGGAAGGGACCTTAAAGATCATCCAGTTTCACCCTTCTGCCTTGGGCAGGGACACCTTCCACTAATCCCAGGCTGCTCCAAGCTCCGTCCAACCTGGCTTTGAACACTTCCAGGAATGGAGAGCCCACACACAATCTCTCTGGGCAACTTGTAATTAGCAATAAGTTAATACCTAGTAACTTTTTCCTTTTGCTATTAAATTAATTGTTGAGTCTGTTGGTATTTTTTTAAATTTTATTTATTTTTACTAGGTTTTTTTTTTTTGCTTAGCACACTTCCAGATAATGGCTGTAGGAACCTAAACAGGAATGTCTGTTGGGTTATATCACAGATCATTCTGGCCATTCGATGGTATTTGTGTGAACTATATTTACTCAGCTGTGTGTCCCCACCCCTGTGCATGTCACTTGTCCCTGTAGCTGCTGCAATACAGGTTATATCCCTCACACCAGCCCACATTTAATTTTGCATCGGGCTGATTGTTCCTGTCCAGGTGCCAACTGATGCATGACCACGTAGGAAAATGGAGTTTGGAGGTTTGTGCATGTTTCTGACCCCACAATTCACCCCACAAGCGTGGGAAAATCAACCTAATTGTCACAGGGCTTTTGTGATAATTCAGAAATTTCTGTTCAAAGTACTCTTAATACAGATTTTAACTTTTTGTGTGTTCACTAGAGGCAGAATTAGCTCAGATGACAGTCGCTGTAGCTTTGCCAGCCATAATGTTCTCTTATATTTGCTTTGCAAGAAAAGTAGTAAGATTTTACCACGAGCTGTCAGTGGATTCACAGCTCCCCAGTTATGACGATAATTGTGCTGTCTGAGACATCTTTGGGAAATGTTTCTTGCCATGGGACAGAAGGAACTTGGTTCTACTTTGTCTTCCTGAGCTATCCCTTCCTAACGACTGTTGACCTGTTTTATACAAACACCACTTTTTTTCTTTATTTGTAAAGAAAAGTCGGGTATTTGGAGGAAAGATAGATGAAATACTAGAGGTCTTAGAGTTTATTGTTATTTTTAAACTGTCTCACTACTTTAAATCTTTTTAATTTTAGTTAGAGTGTGGTTGAAGTAATTTAAACCTACGAGCACACTTTATCACATCCATGTTTTTCCATCAGCTTTCCAGCAGCGGGAATCATCCAGTAGCTTGTTGATATTCAGATAGACATGGCCAAATAATTAATGCTGTTCATTGTCCTTCTTTTCCAGCCAAGAACAGCATCGTCCAGGGCTTGGAGAACGTGGAAGCCGTGGAAGGAGGGGAAGCCCTGTTCGAGTGTTACCTCTCCAAGCCCGAGACCTACAATTACAACTGGCTGATTGACGACGAACCTGCCAAGACCACAGAGAACACCGAGATGGTTTACTTTGAAAATGGGCTCAGGCACATCCTGCTGATGAAGAACCTCACCCCCCAGGACAGCTGCAGGGTGACTTTCATGTGCAGCGACGCGGTGACCTCGGCCTTCCTGACGGTGAAAGGTAACTCGAGCGCTCGGGCGTGGGGGAGTCCTCAACTTCTGGTTGGAAAGAGGAGAGGAACCAGGAGGATGTGATGAGTAGTGGGGAGAAAAAGTTGCATTTGTTACCTGCTTCTTACTTATAATCTTCTTCCTGCACAATGAATCATAGAATCGTTAAGGTTGGAAAAGATCTCTTGGATCGCTGAGTCCAACCATTAACCCAACGCTGCCAAGCAACCACTAAACCAAGGAATCACAGAACCATAAAATCAAAGAATGGTTTGGGTTGGAAGGGACCTTAAAGATCACCTAGTTTTAACCCCCTTGGCATGGACAGGGACACCTTCCACTATCCCACGTTGCTCCAACCTGACCTTGGACACTTCCAGGGATGGGGTAGCCATAACTTCTCTGGGCAACCTGTGCCAGGACCTCCCCACCCTCACAGGGAAGAATTTCTTACTAATATCCAATCTAAATGTACTCTCAGTTGAATTCCATTCCTCTTTGTTCTGTCACTCCAAGCTCTTGTAAAAAGTCTCTCTCCATCTTTCTTGTAGCTCCCTTCAGGTACTGGAAAGTTGCAATTAGGTCACCTTGAAACCTTCTCTCTTCCAGGCTGAACAAACCCAATTCTCTCTTCCTTTAATGGATGACGTTTTACAGTTTTTCGTATTTTCTTGTTCTGTAAGACATGACAGGGTTAAAAGCAACAACACCTGGCACTGAGTGAGCAGCAAATGACTTTCTCACAGTTGTCATTATTCTGATGAGTTGGGTTGTGTTTATTTGTTCTCCAGGGCTTTAGAGATGACAGTTGTATCAACAATGATATTATCTCTATATCCTTGTACTTTATGCTATTGCTGGAGATTCCTGTGGGGATCAGGACCCCTTTCAGAGTACAAGAACAGCCATCAGTCCCCAGTTTTGGGTTGGATGGGGCTTTGAACTTTGTCTAGTGGAAGGTGTCCTTGCCCATGGCAGGGGGGGTTGGAACAAGACGGTCTTTAAAGTCCCTCCCAACTCAAACCATTCTGTGATTCTATACCTTCTGTTCTGGTGATAACCATAACCTCCCTTTTAATGACCTCCCTGGTCTCCAAGGCCTGACTGCCCAGAGCTTCAACATCAATATTCCCAGCATCTCTTGATTGTTTCTGTAACAGGGGCCTTGATTCCCGATTTTAATCTACAGGATGGCGCCTGCAGTTCTTGCAGCCTCTCAAGGATGTGGAAGTCTCTGTGGGGGAGAAAGCCACATTTAGCTGTGTTCTGAGTGAAGCTGTGCCCATTAATGAAGTGGCCTGGTATAGCAATGACATAGAGATCCAGTCGGGTGAGGACTGGGAGGTACAAGCAGATGGAAACAAATACAAACTTATTCTGAAAAAAGCCCAGCTGCACCATTCTGGAGAGGTGACCTTTGCTTCCAGGGAAGCAATTTCATCAGCCAAGCTTTCAGTGATAGGTAAGTGTCTGTTGTTTCAGCCCGGTGGCACCTGGAATCTCAAAATCTGGTATTGAGCTACAGCACTGAAATGTCTGATCTTTGCTCCAATTCTTTTCCCTTTGCCTCTCACATACCAAAATGGTGTTCTTAGTCCGAGAAGATGCTACTGGGCTACCTGTTCTTTGACCAGAAATAGTCCATCTCATCAGGCTGGTGATGGTAGAAATTTTCAACAACTTTCTTTAGCTGCAGTCTTTTGTAAAATGTAACATAGGCTCCAACGAAAATCAATTTTCTCAGAGTTCAACATCACCCTCAGCAAATGTGGGTGTAGGAGGGATCCGAACTGGAGTTCACATGGAAAAATTATCCAGGATAGCAAAGAAGTCTTTGTAATCTGTTAATCAACTCAAGACCAGAGCAATCATTTTTCCAGGGTAATGAGCTCCATATTAAAACCTCCACGTGTGGGACATCCATGAAACACACACCTTGTTTTCTGACAGATTTAAATTTTCTTTATCTTATTGTGGGCACCTGCATTTTAGGAACTCCAAAATACCAGTCCTCATGAACTCCTTCTGTTGACAGATTTTTCTGTATGAAATTTAGCTGACAATAGAGAAAAAAAAGGTTTTTATGTTACTTTTATTGTGTCCAGAGTTAAAGAACTGGTTGTTGACCACATTTGCCTGGTACATCATGGTAGATAATTTAAATGGTAAAGGTCTTGAACTTAAAGACTAAAACAATTATTTCTGTCTTCCAAGCCAATGTATAATTTAATTACAATTTAATTTCCAGTGTACTGAGTATGGGGGTTGGAACTGGATGATCTTCAAGGTCCCTTCCAACCCAAACCATTCTATCATCAGTAACCCATCTGATAGGGCACCAGATCCTTCCAATTACATATTTATTTTTTATTGCCTGATGACGTGACATGTATCACAATTGCACAGAAACTGAGTGATTTGCTATTAAAATACTGGAGTTACAGTTTAGTTGCCTCTTTAGTCCATCAATAACTTGATTTCCATTAAGGCCAGACCTAAAATAAACATAATCAAGGCCCAAATATACCTGAAGTTTGCAACTAAACTCCTCGATGATATAGGCAGTGTAGGGTTATCTTTATTTTGAGCTGGGTGGGGCAAACCAACAGGAAAACGTATCACAAAATATGGCATTAAGTATGTGATATGAGAGCTGGAAAAGGAATGTTTGTGTAGAAAAGGACAGAGAAAAGGCAAAGTTGGCGATGCACAGCTAAGCTGCTGTAGACCTTATTTTTTGCATAGCATGCCTGCTTCACCCATTCCAGGCATCTCCTGGAAGAATTCACTCCGTGGCATCTTTCAGTGCTTGTCTGCCAACACAAGAGAGGAGGAAGAGCTTGGGGAAAAAGTTGTTTTGGGCTGTCTCAAACAAAACCTGGTGTGTTGTTAGTGCTCAGCACTTGTTCCCTCCAAACTGCACAGCCTGTGCCACATCCATCACCACAGGTTTCATTTCTGGTGGAGTTAGGATGGAATGAGGCAAAAGGAGCATGTTGGAATGAGTTTGAGGTGACCAAGACCCTGTAGGGGAGTGGGAAGTGTTGTCTTCTTTGCCCATCTTTCTCTTTTGTTGTATTATTTGTGTGTATTTTTCAATAACCTCCTCAAAGGAAGGAGCTGGAGGACACAGTGTCTTTTCTGCCTGATGGTGGAACTTTTGAAGCTACAGTGGGATGGGGAACCGCTCCCTCAGTCTTTCTTTTCTTGCAACTCTTTCTGTGAAAGCTGAATGCCAAAAAAAATTCCTCAAACTGAGAATAATAACCTAAAAATCCTCTTTTACTTAAGGCTCAGACACACGATGATGATTTTGTCACATAATTGCTGCCAGTGCCGGACTCTGGTGACTCTGCACATGCTGACTTTGTGACAAACCCAAGGCATTTTAGGCAGGGGTTCCCTCTCCCTGGTGAAATGTGCAGAAAAGGGGTAGATCATGCTCAGGAATGTGCTGCTTTTGGGAATGTAGCAGTGACATCCCAGTCAACCCCTCCGTGTTTAATGCACTTGCCACAACTTTATTTTGAGTATCACTGTCGTACAAACACCCTTCCACTGGCAGGTCTCTTTCCAAAGTAAAGCATTTTTATTTTTAAATTTTTTATGCTTTTTGGTAATTTTTACTGCTCCTAAGCTAGTCTAAATATATATTTTTTTAATACTTTCAAGGCTGGGATGAATGCTGCTTTGAATAATCTCTTTTTTATTCTTTTTACTGTTTCTTTCTCATCTCGGTTCAGAACTGCCTCACTTCTAGACATTTAGGACCTCCCAAAAATCTGTACAACTGCTTGAATACTGGGGATGGGTAGATGAAGACCAGCAAATAAACATAGGAATGTGAAAAATGCAACCACTTCTGCATGTATATATTTAAACGGAGATGGGTTAATCACTGGAAAAGCTTGGAAAGTTGTTTTGATATTTTCTTAGGAATTACAAACTTTGGATGCTTCCGGTCTTTTTATTATTTTCCTTTGGTTGTCTACAACAGCTGATGAATCTATAAATGATGGATGGGATGCTTGGAGTGATACAGAGTGATCTGGAGTGCCTTGGAGCCAGATTATGATTTGTTCTTTGCCTTAATTCACTTTATTTTTGTCCTTGCAGAGCCTCCAGTTACAGTCACCCAGCCTTTGGTGGGAGGATCAGTCACAGAAGGGGGGGTGGCTCGCTTGGAGTGCACATTATCCAGCAAAACTGAGGAAAAAGTGACATGGTTCAAAGGAAAGGAACAAATAAAAGCTGGAGGGAGATACGAGATCCTCTCTGACGGGAAAAAGCAGATGCTCATTATTCACGGGTTCAGACCTGAAGACCAGGACACCTACACCTGCATGGCTTCTCCTGAAGTCAAATCTGTTGCCAGCCTGAGCCTTGAAGGTACAGAGTGTGCATTCCTGTGGTGTTAAATCAGTTCTGTTTACGGACAACCAGGAGCATGTCCACAGCTTGGACTGAAATTTACTTTCTTTCACAACCCCTGATAACAATCCACTAACAATTGTTATTTTCCTTTTTTTTTGTATTCCCCAGTACGTTTCTGTGTCCCAAATAGTTTTGAGTTGCTCAACTATGAGTTTGCTCAGTCCAAAATTTAAGGTGTGACACCTTTGTCTCTACGTGGGGTTGTGGTGTCTTTTGAGATGCTTTAGGGTATTCTGTGGGTGTCCCAGACAACCTGGAGCATCTCTAAAGGCACTGGGCACTGTGGAGAGGCAAGTGAACGTGTCCCAGAGACTGAAGCACAACCTTCAGACTCTGACACATCCAAACAGGCAGGTGAGGTGTGTCCATGGGAGGTGGGAGTCTCAGCTCCCAGCATAGCCACTGGAGGTCTATTGAAATCAGTCAGTGAAGCTCTGTCTAAATGTAAGAGAGGATGAGACTGAGGAGCTTTCCAGCCTCTACTGTCAGACTGAATTAGGTGTTCATCAACTGCAGCATTAAAAAGGGGCAAAAATTTATTTATTTGGTTTAAAAATGCAAAGAATAATAACCAAAAAACCCCTTGTTGTTTGGTTATGTTTTGAGTGAATAGAATCACAGAGTAGTTGAATTTGGAAAGGACTTCTGAAGACAGTATGGTCCAACCCCCTACTCAAGGAACAAGTTTCCCAGGGCCATGACCAACCATATTCACCTCCCAGAGAGGTTGTGGAGTCTTCTTCTCTGGATATATTCAAAAGCCATCTGGATACTGTCCTGAGCAATGTGCTCCCTACTTGAACTGGGAGATTGGACTAGGTGACCTCCAGTGGTCCCTTCCAACCTTCCCTGTTCTGTGTGATTCTGTAAATTCACATTTTGTCCCCAACAGAATGCTTATTTAAACGCCATTGATATTCTTGTGCTCAGGCTTTAGGGTGACATTTCCATGTTTCTCAAAGCTCACTCACAGACTTTGTCTTTCAACGTCTCATCAATTTGATTCTCCCCAGTGCCCACGGCGACGATGCTAAAGGAGATTACCAGGGAAGCACCCCCTGCAAGCCAGCCAGGGGAGCTGGTGGACGGCCAGGTCCAGCCCAGCTTGCCCCCTGAGGCTGCTCAGGAGGGAGATCTTCACCTCCTGTGGGAAGCCCTGGCCAAGAAGCGCCGGATGAGCCGGGAGCCCACCTTGGATTCCATCAGCGAGGTGCCTGAAGAGGACCTCGAGAGGCTGCAGAAGTTGAGGAAGGAGGAAGCAGAGATGTCCCACTACTACTCAGAGGAGTATTCCACATGTGATGAGCTGGCCAGGACAGGAGAAGCCGATTTCTCTTTCACAAGCTCAGATGATGAGTCCAGAGCTGGGACGCCCTCACTGGTGAACTACCTAAAAAAGAAAGCTGGGAAGACGAGTATCAGTGTTACCAGCAAGGTTCAGTCCACCTCCACAGGCAAATTATGGAAGCAGTGGGAGAAATCCAGTGCGGAGACTGCTGTGACCACCACAGCTGCCAAACCAGCTGAACCGGAGCTGCCAGACTTAGACGACCCTTCCATGAACAAGGCTGCTGTGAAGATCCAAGCTGCTTTCAAAGGCTACAAAGTCAGGAAGGAGATCAAGCAGCAAGAGTGCCCGGTGTTTGCCGAGACCTTCAAAGACTTCTCTGGCGAGCCTGGAAGCACTCTGCACCTGGAGTGTGTGGCCCACAGCAAATCTGACATGAAGGTCCGGTGGCTGAAAGACGGGCAGGAGCTTTCGGACGGCCGCTACTACCACATAGACAACTACAGCGACGGGACCTGCTCGCTGATCATCGCCGGCCTGGACAGGAAGGACGCGGGAAAATACACCTGCGAGGCATCCAACAAATTTGGCAAGGTTTCCCACAGTGCCAAGGTGGTGGTTGGCGCTCAGGAGGCTCAGGTGCTTCATAAAAAGCAGGCGAAGCAGAGCACGGACAGTGAGACCGAGAGCTCGTCCGGCAGCGAGCTGGACGACGCTTTCCGTAAGGCAGGGAGGAGACTCCACAGACTCTTCAGGGCCAAGATCTCCACGGAGATCTCTGATGTGGAGGAGGAGCTCTTTGTCAGCGCGGACGAGGGGGACATCGACGTGGTGGACCACCAGACGTACCGGGAGGACGACCAGTATATCTACATCAAGTTCGAAGTCTTGTCCGAGGCCAAAACGGCCGCCACTCGGTTCAGGGAGATGTTTGGGGCCCTGGGGATCCCTGTGGAGATCGATATTTTGGAGCAAGGCCCTAAAAAGGTTGAACTGCGTATTGGGAAGGCCTCGCCACCCACCTTTGGGAAGTTTGCACCACCCACAGCGAGACCTCCACCGCCTTTGCTGACTTCTGACACAGGTAGGAGAAGCAAACCTTGAGGATTCCTTTTTTCGTTTGTGAAAAGACAGCTGGAGTATGTCAAAATATTATCTTTTCACTCTCAAACAACTCCAAAAACCACGTGTTTTTTTTTTTCTTCATTTGGTGCAGATATTTTTCTGGAAACTTTGCACTTTCAGAAAAAAAAAATTGAATTTTTTATTTTTATTTAGAGGGAGAGAAGGGACATTAGTGCTGAAGGAGGGGTTTGTAAAGTATCGACTTATCTATGAAGCTGCTTTTCACGATATAAATGTCCCCTATTACAATAATATAGCCATAAATGCTGTGATTATTGTGCTTAAATGAACAAAACAGTTTTTAGAAAGGTCCTGAGGGAGACAAGACATTTTGGCAAGGAGAGGAAGAGAGGAAATGCATAGTTGGCAACTGTGCTTATGGAGGATCTTCGCAGTGTTTGTCAGGGAGTTTCTTTTTGACTGTTTTCACAGACATCACTCTGAAAATAAAAACCTAGAAACCAGAAGTCTTCAGACATTGGGCACCTCAAATAACATCTTTTAACACGACTTTTTCCCTTTTCTCCTCTCCGACCATGCCCACTTTAGCTCCCATGTTCATGACTGAGCTCCAGAACCAGGAGGTGCAGGATGGGTACCCGGTGAGCTTTGACTGCATCGTCATCGGCAAACCACTGCCCACGGTCCGCTGGTTCAAGGATGGGAAAGCTATTGAGGAGAACGACCACTACATGATCAATGAGGACCAGGAGGGGTGTCACCAGCTCATCATCACCGCCGTGGTCCCCACTGACATGGGTGTTTACCGTTGCCTGGCTGAGAACAACATGGGAGTGGCTTCAACCAAGGCTGAGCTTCGGGTGGACTGTGAGTCTCAACATCGCTGTAGGAAAAAACAAGGGAAAGGGTCCTTTGGGGAGGTGGATAATTTTTTTCTTTTTTTCCCCCCCAAGAAAAGCACGATTTACATGAGAAAAAAGAAGTATGTGTTGCCCACAAAATGTTTCACTTGTAAAACTATAAAGTTTCCTAGGCCCAGCTGGGTTTTGCCTCTTGGGTTCAGGTGGGTTTTGCCAACTCCGAGGCAAGACTCAGAGCAAAGCTTTTCAGGTAAGCAGAGGTGTTTCCTGTAATCCAGGTGGTCATGTGGGATCCTGCTGCAGGGAAATCTTAGTGGGAAATCTACCTACCAATCACTCGAATTAGCAAAGCAACTTATTTTTCTTTTAAATTCCCCTACTTACTTATTAAAGCAAGAATTATAATAAGTAAAAAAAAAAAGAAAAATAGTTTCAGAGCTCAGATTATAGAAAACACATCTTTTTCCATTTAACAGTGACCAGCACTGACTATGAGACAGCAGCAGATGCAACAGAGACATCCTCTTACTACAGTGCCAAAGAATATATTTCAAGGTAAAATATCAAACTCTCTCTCCAATTTCTGACTTGATGAGATCAATGGGTGTATTTATGTCAAGCCTGGTTTTACCCTGTCTAGCAGGACCAGTTTAATGTCACAAAGGAGCAGCCAGACCAGCTGAGATGCAGAAACTGCAGCAGCTGGACATTCATCACATGCACATTTGTTCTGGCTGCCCTCAGGCAAGCCTGGATATTTCTTTGTGGTGTCACCCCGTTACTTTATTGTCAGATGGTGCTGAATCTGCTGTCATGATGACAAAACTTGCAGTCTGAATTAACCTAAAATAGGCCATTCTGATTCCTGACTCTTACCTGCCTCGCTGACTTCCTTCTTTCTAATGCTCGTTGTTTCTTAGCCGAGAGCAGGAGGAATCCACCACCGAGGAGGAGCAACTGCCCCAGATCTTTGACGAGCTTCATGACATTCATGTGGCACCTGGAGCATCACTGGCTAAATTTCACCTGAAGGTCAAAGGTGAGTGGATCCCACAGCACTGTCAGTTTTCCGGGTTTGATGTCAGGTTGAAGAGCTGGACAAGGTTTTCCAAGGTGCTCTTCCTCAGCTGTGACCCCGTTTGTGCATCTTGCACCACGAGTGCACAAACCAGCCCGGAGAACATGTTCATGCTGATGAACATTGATGAACATTGACTTTTGCAGCAGATAAAGTGTCTCCAAGCATAATGACAGGCAGATGTTTCTGAAAACTGCATTCTGTCTTTCTCTGAGCACAGGAGCAATAAGGAATAATAATAATAATAATAATAATAATAATAATAATAAAGTAAGGATGCCCTTTATTCTCTCAAATAAATTAAACATTCATGGACTTGCCTTATTCTATGACGGGGTGGCTGCCACAACATAAAAAACTCCAAAGACATCCTCCTGGTGTTGACTGTGGCAAGGAGAAGTGGGGATTTTCCTGTTTCGTCATATTGCTGTCTATAAAAATTATAAGAACTGATTTGACTTCAGCTTTTCTCCTTGTGTACGTTTCAAATCAAACCCAGGTGTCGTTTTTCCAACCTTCAAGGCATTTGAACTTGCAGCCAATGTAGGGAGTGCCAGAAACTGAGGAGACAGGAAAGAACTTCAACGGATAAATAGAATTTAATGAATTTTTAGCCATTCCTAGTTGGGTGAATCCTTGAAACAGCAGCCCAGGACAGAGCTGGAGGTGCATCACCTCCTGCCTGTTTGGAGATGCTCCCAAAGGGATGTTGCCAAGGAATTCTGTTCTCCATGTCACAGGGTACCCACAGCCTCGTCTCTACTGGTTCAAGAATGGGCAGCCCCTGAAGGCCTCTGATCGCATCCTGAAGACTGACAGGCAGGAATTCCACTCCCTGGAAATTCGGGATGTCACCAAGGCAGACGCTGGGCAGTACCTGATCTTTGTCATCAACTCTGCTGGCTCTGCCTATTCCTCGGCCAGGCTGGTGGTCAAAGGTGGGCATTGCACTGTTTTGGGCACTTACTTTTCTCTATTCTGGTGTCTTTTTCCATTTGATAAAGTTATTTTTCTTGAGAAAGCCTACTGAGGTAGCTCAAGCGAGGGGGGGAAGTCTGTAGGTAAAAAATGATGTGCTTTAATTTTGGTTCACCAATAAATTTACTGATTAGGAAGATGAGATGTGTCACTTCTCTAGGCTCTCACAAACATGCATTTTATTCCTGCTCAACCTCATTAATTTCAAAGCTTATTTTATTAAACTGAAGGCCTCTTATGAATCATACCAATATTTTTGTGTAATATCTCCAGCAGGGAATAATCTCCTGAAGTTGCCTTTGGAGTATTTTTTCTGCAACTCATGGGTCGAAAGTTATTTATATTTTTCATTTTGTTTTTTCTCCTTTCATTACAGATCCCTATGAGAAAGAGGAGCCATCCAAAACAGGTGAGAGAAGGCACAGAGGGACATAACAGAACCCCCAGGAATCTTTCAGTCTAAACTCACCGTGTTTCATCAATAATGTTATTTTCAGATTCCCATGAGCAGCTGATACCACCGAGGTTCCTTGAAAGATTTACTAATAAAAAGGTGAAAAAAGGTGCAAGCATCACATTATCTGTAAAAGTGGAGGGTAAGTGGGTTGATACCTTGTCTCCCTGCATAAAAAGTTGTGTAACTTCATGACACATTCTGGACTCTCTCTGCCCCAAGTCGTTGTAACCTCATCTCCTGTATCTCAAATCTGGGATTCCACTCCCAGTTTACATCTCTTACAAAGAGACTTTGCACAAAATGATCTTATTCATCTTCACCTCCATCTTCTTGTATGTGACAACTGGGATAACAACATTTATTAGTCTTATGAAGATTTATTAACAGTTTTGGTTTTACAGAAAGACTAAATGTCTTTTCTGAGGGTGCTGTAAAATGATTTATGATCCTTTATTGCATATTATGCCTGTTACTGTCGGAAAAGTGTCAGGAAATGGATCAAAACAACATTTATTCACAGCATGGCTCATATTTGTTAGGAAGGAACACAATTAGGAGGATGAAAGCTCATTGCTTTGCTTTTCCTTTAGGACATCCACCCCCAAGTATTACTTGGATGAAAGAGGAGTCCCGGAAAGACATCCTGTGGATCAAACCAGACACCCCTGGGTATAAACTTGCCAGTTCCAACATGCACCACAGCCTGATCCTGCTGGATGTTAA